CTGGAACACATTTGGGTAAGAGGCTAGAGGGCAGGCCTAGGTATTGTGTTGTCTGCGTTGTAAGTCCGTAAGCAAACTTTAGATTGGAATGATAGAGCTTGTTCTCCGTGTTCAATCCAAACTAGTGAGGTGCCACATTTTATGCTTGAAGGAGAGCACCGCCTAGACAAGTCTCCCGGAATCTTTGCAGGGTTATGACGTTGTAAGGCAACAATAGTGTACGGAACATACAACCTTGGTTGCTGGTACGGTACTCTCAGCAGCAGTAGCAAAGATGTTGATCATGGAATCAAGCCAGCCGATTATGTTGCTCTGCTGGGAGCAAATTAGCAGTCTCGTGAAAGTCTAAGGACTGTGGCTTGCCTGTATGGCTGCTGAAGGCCAATAGCACCTGGTCTCTGATGACACAGGGCTCAGAGAGCTGAAAGAGATTACAATGCGTGAACTTCAAGACTCTATGTGGAAGTGGTCCGTGGCTTGTAGAAAGGGACAACGTTAACAAGTATCCCAAGGGTTTTCTAATTGTACAGGGCATCCAAATGTAGGCAATTGGCTCAAGGTAAGGCATAGAAACACGATTGGTTGTTAGTTGCATGTAATGATCTAACGCAATCTCAAGCTCGTGCCGGTCATTACCTGTTGGCAAAACTGAAGTAACCACACGCTCATTTATACAGTCCTTTTTGTTCAACATACCATCTTTATAGTTCTATCCTTGTTGATTACTCACATGATACTTCTGTGTAAGTCACATCCCATCTCACGTTTGTGGACCCAAGGTGTAACATGGGATTGGACTCAGAGTCACATATTGATGGAGATCCACCTGCGTCTCGTCTTGGCACGGATCATGTGACTTAATCAAGTTAACGCTCAAAGGGTTGAATCTGTTGCCACGTCTACGGGACCTTGGTGGAGAACGTCTAAGTGCTAGTAGAATCTGCCCGTTGCTCAAAGCAAAAATTGTCGTGTGAGCAACAGCTGATGTAGGGTGTCAAAAAATTTCAAAATTTGTGGGTGACCCTGGAATCGAACCAGGGTTTCTTCGGTCGTCATGTTTCCTTGTGGAACCACAACGAAGTGTCCTAACCACTAGACGAGTCACCCTTTGTTGGATCGGCCGCCAATCATCTTCACCTATGATCCACCCACTCTAAACTGTTAACCACCGCTGTTGGAAAGTGAGAACAAGCTTCCAAACACGCGCGATGATGATTAAAACGTTGACTGCGTGTAAGGCAAGTGTTCACAGAGTCGACAGCGTACGCTCTCCAATTAAAGGCAACCTTCCCCCGACCGACCTAACCAAATGGAGCAACCTTTTGGAGGCAGTTCACAAAAGCCCAACGGTGCAGTGCTGTGTAGACGATTCTCTTGGCCCCTCTCAACCGGAGGTGAGAGGCGGCCTGTAGGTCAGGTAGCCAGCCTCAGGCTCGAAATCAGGTAGAAATGCCCTATCTTTTGTTGGGGGGAGACATTTTCCATTTTGTCTCAACTTTTTGATATGAACAGAGGTCTTTCATACAATTCATGTTGCTGACGGCGCGGAAAAGATTATCAGGAGCTACCAAGACGTCTTACTATTTGCTCACTCATAGCTGAGGAAGGAGAAGAAAAGAGACGCCAACTGCAGAAATTTTTAGAAGAACATCGTGTCGGTTACTTGTTGGAAGCCCACCCGCATGCTGGCAACTATACATAGCGACATTGTGGACCTGGTGCCCTTTCTTCATCACTGGCAGTAAGTATCATGCTTCCTGTCATACCTGGGCTCTAAAATAAGAACCAATTGACTCCGGTCCTTCGTCCAATTTCCATAATGTATAAACCACACATCCACCTCGTTCCCCCTCACTCCCCCTCACGCTTCTCCACAGCTTCTTGACGTCTCCTGCACCAGCTTTGGTTCATTGAGACCTCATATCATCCGAGCTGCGGTTAGGCAGTGCTTCCGACAGTTTAAACGAGCCCTGACGCATGATGCCTTGCCGTTATCTGCCCCGGCATAGATTTTCCCTGGTCACAGAGCCTGGCATTGGGATGAGAGCTATCACTAAGGGATTCTTTATTTACTTTCTGGGCATATCTACCCCTTAGTGCGGCCCTCGCTCCCTCTGCACTTTCTTCCTTCTCGCTTTCTCTTCGTGCACTTACATGGTTCCTGATGACCGGTGTCGCTGGGTTGCTGCATGCCAGTGCTTTACCAACAGCGCAGAGAGCTCTAGTCGTCAAGGTGGGCTGTTGACTGCGAGGAAGTAAGGATATTTTATGGGGCGCCAAACCCAGGAATGAAGAGTATCCCGAACGGCTTCTTTGTTGCCTCTGCAAGCATAGATATTCCCGTTTCTCGTTCGCCTCACGATCTTGTTCACATCCACAATTTTTCTTCGCACCTGTAACGGGTGACTTGGTCTGGTGCAGGCAGGGATCGACAATGGGTAAAGTGGGTTAGATGATGGCTACTGACGACGTGGGGTGCACAACGAGGTCAATTGCTACGGGTAATATCCTTGGTCCTCAGTGTCCTTGTGTTGAGGAGAGGAAAAACCAAGAGAAATCCTTCATCTTGTCCAAGTAGCTCCCTTTACAAGATCCCTTTGCCATGTGGGTACCTCGCGGTCTCCTGGGATCTTCAGGGGTTTTCTCATAGTGGCAAGGTTATCTAACTCATTCATGGCAACCCCTTAGATTTCCCGGGGTCTACCAATCAAATATGCCTGTACCCTTCTTAGCTCTTGTGTCACTGGTGTTCCATACATTGGCTATCAGGAATAAATTTCACCCTGAACTGCCATGTCCATGTAACAATGTATGCCGTCCTTCGGCCCCTTCCCTCCTTTCAACTTCCCCCCCTCTAACCTGTTTTCTGCAGGACGTCGGTCTATGGCTCTTGCAGTAACCGTACTTTTCTCTTGGTACTTGCCTCAAAAGCGGATCGCAGGGGTCTCAACAGGGTATGATTGCGCTATGACGTTCCGAGGCCGTATAAACTCAAGGCGCAATGTCATTTTGCGTCGACACACAACAGAGGTTTGAAGTACACGTCTATGAGTTCATTTGATGCCAAGGGCAATGTATGCTAATATCAATCCATGATGCAACTGAAGTCTACATTCCCAGGACGCATTGCATGATCTTGATATCATTCAGAAGTTGCATGCGATATTGTGGCTTGTTGCTGAAGTACTAACGCATACCGTGGTCACTCACCTCAAGCTAGTTTTCTATTATGTTTTATCATATTGCTAATTGGTTTTTTAAACTTTGGCAGCCCTAGAAACTATTCGAACGAAGATACGACAACTACGGGGGATCATTCGCATTCACTTCTTGAGCAGGTTCCAAACCGTCAAGCTCAGTCTATGTGCTCGTCAACCACGGACAACATCCTATGAGCGTCTTCGCTGACACAGTCATCCTAGCAAGGATCTACTGTGAGAACATCAATCATATAGCGAAAGCTCTAACTCTTTCAACCATTCTGCAATACCATCAAGCTTCCAGATCACAAACTGACAAAGTGCCAACTTCCACAAGAACATTTTTCTGCTCCTGGCCGAACTTGAGCACCATTTCCAAAAGGGTCTCGATATTCTGGTAAAGGAATTTTATATTAGTCAATCTTGAGGCTGGAAATACATGATTCCTCTACCCAGTTTGCCCTGACGATGTATCTAAGGTCCAGTACTGACGAGGACAAAGACTCAGAATTGTGACAAAAGCCTAGCTAACATCTCATAGCACCTTTTCACCATCATCGTTAACAAGACAAACGTATCCTATCCATTGCTCAGTGTCTCCAAACTTGTTCCAGGACTCTAAGTTACAATGTGAGCCTACAACCTCACCGATGTGCCATTTGGGTTAGTGTCTACTGACTTTAGAATTCTTGTCTATAAGCCCCTAAACAATGAGTCCGAATGCTTTCAGGATCTGATTGAGACACTTACACATTGTTCACTAGGCACAGTATTGCATCTGGGGAGGACTGAAACATTTTGTTCCTCGTTGCAGAACTGTAGTGTTTGTAACAGAATCCGTCCCATTTGATGGAGTACCTTCTGGGGACAATGATGCCTGACGCATCCTTTTCATCAACCCTATGTTTCCCTCAGTTGCTGGCTGCACCATATCATTGCAGTAGGGTGTTAATTTGCCTTGGTTTCCACCGTCTATTGAACCTCCACGACTGTGTTCCTTCTGCTCTTCTTCATCTAACACTCACCTGAATTAAGCCCATTCTAAAATACTGTACATCCTCTCCCTATCCCTATTCCTGAGACACGTCGTTGCGTTTAGCTTCCCCCATACTCCACTACACTACAGAGACGTCGATCTCGCTTGTGGCCATGGCGTACATCCGTGCTATGCTCTGATCCACCGAAGGCGCCAATGATTTTCATTGATCCCCTGCCAAGAGCGACTGAAAGGGCAGGTGGCTCGTGCATGATTCAGGTTGCCAAGAATGCCTGTGGGCGCAACCCCCATCACCAACGCCATACGCGGGATAAGAGTTAGGGAACCTCATGAGGGTTAGGGTTCCCTTTGACGTAGCGATGCTAACGGCTTGGCAGGGAAATGTCGGTGCCTGGAGGCGATGTTACAAAAGCACTAAGAGTATCATGTCGGTTAAGGATGTTGGCACGATATAATTGGATAATTCTTAATTTTGGCATAGGTCTCCGGGCTTGCATGGGGAGCCAAGGAGAAAAACCCTGGTAGGTGAGAGTGTGCTTAGTGATCAGCAACGAGATAAGATGGGGGATCATAACGAGTGCTCTGTCATGTCTTGTTGGTGCATGGCTGTTCTCTCTTCATCCCATACATTTAAAGAAAATTTCGTCTTTTGATGAGGCGTCATATGTCCTGAGTCTGCAATGAATATTTGTTTCTGCTTTCCTTCCCGTTATGATGAACGGGAGGGTTCCTTTACCTGGGCACTTCTCTCCGATTAACACTCCCCGATCATAATCTCTCTATCAACTGGGATGTTATGCCTCATGACCTTGCTCATACTCACCTCCAGCGCCCTCTTGGTTGCGGTGTCCTGCTCAGCATCCCCGCGCTCCAGTTTCGACGGTGAGGATGTCTCGTTCGACTTCCTCGAGCATCGTGGGAACCAGTCACTCAAGGACCCCACGCAGACCAACTTCTGGTATTCTAACCTGAATCACCACACTCCTGGAATCCGTGGCTATGCTCCCTATGTCGATGACCCGGACAGTTACCCCGTTTACATCGAAGTCGACCCTGGCGATGGCGATGGTATTCAGAATGCAATTGATTGTGCTGATGGGAAAGAGAAGAGGAATGGAATGTGGTTTGCTTCTCAGCCAAGGGTAATCTAGCATTGCAACGTCGGTAATCGGATAAGTAAGAGGTGTTGACACGAGGCAAACTAGGTCGTGTACATCCCGCCCGGAGAGTATATCATCAAGAAAACAATCAAGATGAACACAGCAACTGTCTTGATGGGTGACGCGACGAATGTGAGTTCTGCCAATGATCCAACCAAACAAAGCCAATTGCAAACTTACAACCCACAGCCTCCTGTTCTCAAGCTCTCTCCTGACTGGGAAGGCGACAAAACCCTCCTCGACGGTATGGACCCAACGACCGACAACCGCGGTGAACTCTCCTTCGCCGTCGGCGTCAAGAACATCATTCTGGACACAACCCCCCGTCCATTCGACGAAGAGTTTCTCGCGCTCTACTGGGGCGTCGCGCAGGCCGCGCAACTGCAGAACGTCAAGATCCGGATGCCGCCAGCAACGGGCAGTACAGGACATGTTGGCATCAGGATGGGCCGTGGCTCGACATTGACAGTGGCAGACGTCAACATCTCAGGAGGCTCGGTAAATCTCCCCTCTCCCGCTATCAAGCAACAGGACTGACACTACCATAAGACTGGTGTGTGGGTCTCCGGCCACCAACAAGCCCTCTTCAAATCGATATCCATCTCCAACTCCACAAGAGGCTTCCACATCTCTGCCGGCTTCACCTTCACCCTCCTCTCACCAACCTTCACCAACGTCGACATCTGCGTCCTCCAGTCAGGCGGCTATCCCTGGCTTGCCCTCGTTGACGCAACAGCCATCAATTCTGGCGTCGTGCTCAAGGTTCAGACCTACCCTAACTACATGATCGAGAACCTCGTCCTCCAACAATCCCGCCTTCCCCGGCCAAACGTCGCCGAAGGGCCGGGGGACTCCACCCTCTCCTTCCCAGAAAACGGCCGCATACAGCGATACAGCTACGCCAACACTGTCCATCGTACGCCTGTCTACGGTCCCAACCTCGACGTAGGCTTTTTCCGTCCCAAAGCACTCACCGTCGACGGAGGGAAATACCCCGTCCGCTCAGCCCCCACCTACTCCTGGCTGAAAAACACATCCTTCCTAAACATCAAAGACCCCTCCCAAACAGGCGGGCTCAAAATTTACGGTGACGGCGTCCACGACGATGCATCTGCTCTGAACAAAATTCTCCGTCTAGCTGCTGTCCAAGGAAAGGTGGCTTACTTCCCCTTCGGGGCGTACCTCGTTCGTTCGACGGTGTACATACCCTCTGGTAGCCGCATCATAGGTGAGGCTTGGCCGGCTATTGTTGGAGCAGGGGCCTTCTTCAAAAACGAGAACAACCCCAAACCGGTCGTTCAGGTCGGTTGGCCGGGAGAGGTCGGGTCCGTCGAGATCCAGGATATGCGGTTTACTATTGCGGAAGTCTTACCCGGAGCAATAATCGCACGGTTCGAGTTGGCAGGCCGCAGGCCCGCGGATGTAGCGATGTGGAATAGTATGATCACCGTCGGGGGCACGCGTGGTGCCTCCTCTCTCACGGACACGTGCATCGACCCAAGCAGCCCGTGTAAAGCCGTCTTCATGGACTTGCATCTAACCCCAACGTCGTCAGTATACCTCGAAAATGTATGGAACTGGGTAGCGGATCATATAGCGGAGGACTTCCCTGGGGGCAGTAACTTTGCCGGGGGACGCGGGATGTTAGTCGAGTCTCGTCGCGGAACCTGGCTTATTGGCATAGGGAGCGAGCAATGGTGGTTGTACCAGCTAACCCTGAAAAAAGCAGAGAATGTCATGTTGGGGTTGCTTCAATCTGAAACGAACTACGACCAAGGCGCCAACAACCCCATTCCTCCCCCTTCCCCATGGACCCCCCACCGGGCGTTAGGTGACCCTTCTTTCAGTTGGTGCTCCCAAGAAGACAAGCGCTGCCGCATGGGTCCCGCAACGTTCTTCACTGCCGGCGGTAAAGACATTTTTATCTACGCCGCCGCATCATGGGTTTTCTTTAGTGGACCGGGTTATCAGGGGTGTGAGGGGATGGGGTATTGTCAGAGGTATATGCATTTTGTGGAAGAGATACCAGCCCGGTTGCATGCCTTTGGGTTGTGCAGTCGGGAGACGTATGCTGGCCTTAGACTGGCGGGTGGGGAAGAGATTATCACAGAGGAAGGGTTCACGGGTGCATGGGGGGGTATTGTGGGAAGGTATGTGAGTTAGGGAGGGAGCTTGAGCACGGGGAATGCAGGCTGGGTGGTGGTTTGGGGGCTGCTGATTCAGTGCGTGGTGTCTTTGGCAGAGATACTAATGTCTTGCAGAGAGGTGTTGACCTTCGATAGGATCTAAGATTCTGCACAACAACGGCGCTTATGCCTTTCAAGACCTTTTTGGCCTACTAACGTCATATGACCCATCAAGCACTTGTGTAGCATTTATATCGCTTTAAAAGGGCCGCAGCTCGACAACGCGGTTGCTTTCGTGTTTGGTCGGCTGCCAACTCCGAGGGAGTAAAAGTGTTGACGCAAATGCTTTTAGCGAGGAGCAATTTATTGCAGCGTAGTGAACGAAATATGGTGATGAATGTCTGGTTGACATACGCGTGTAAGCGTAGCTGACCGTTCGCGTGTCGACTTGCAGATAATGCGTCGTGTACGACTGACTTGAATTAAATTGAAGTTGCATTGCATCTTTAATTGAGTTCATCGCATTCTTTCGCCAAACGTTGCCATAGCCACAATTCATCAACATATATGTGATCTTGTTGTCGACTACAGTCATATTTTATATTCTCATCGGCACAAGTACCTCGATGCTAGACCCGTCAGTTTTATCCCACAAGGCTACGATTAAAAACAGGAATAGTCGTTTTACCCGACCAATCTCTCCTCACGCTGAGTAAGCCCAGCCTGCCATTCACGCCCTGCACGGCCCCTGTGCCTCACGCCCGGATATATGCGCCAGCCGAGCCGAGCCAAACGGCCGGTCTGGCCAATGCATGGCATGAAAGTGCCGATTTCCGGGAGCCGCTGCTCCCGAGGCGAGCGCAGAGAATGTTCAAGGCTGGTAGGTTACACAGGGCACAATCTCTGGATTATGGAAGAAAAATAGATGGCTGATGAGGAAGAAGCAGGTAGTGCCACCGACGATACATCAGAACCGGGGATAGGTATGAAGGGGATAATTTGGGGCTGCAGAAATAGATGGGTTACAGATGAACTGGCGGTGGTGGTAACAATTCTGGAAAAGGATGGAAAGTATAAATGGTAAATCTGGCGCTGGTCTGGCTTCGGCTGGCTGGCCGACAAGTCCTCAATTTCTAAACGCGACCATGCTGCTTTCATCATTCACAGTACTCTTCTTCGCAACGCTGGCCTTCGCTGGCGCATATCCCCCCGATGTGGTCGACATCCTCCAGCAGAAGAGTATACCCAAGCTGAAGGAATGGCTGCGGAAGCATCCGCAGGGGAACTGCACTTATGAAACAGCTGCTAGGAGGAAGGAATGGTGAGTGCCTTAGCCAACAGGATGTTTGCAGATGTGGCTAACCTAGCTGACCGACACAGGAGCGATCTCACCCTAGAAGAGCGCCAGGATTACATCCGCGCGGTGTACTGCCTGATGGAGCAGCCATCTTTGACACAGTTCGAGGCCCCTGGGGCTCAACATCGGTTCGATGATTATGTGGTGATTCATTTGCAGCAAACACATAGGAATCATGGCTCAGTGAGTCTAGCGACCTTGACAAACCCATATCCATTGAAGATCCTAGAGGACGTGCTAATCGCCTGTCCTTTCCAGACATTTTTCCTCCCCTGGCATCGCTACTACGTCTGGCACTACGAATACTCCCTGCGTACCCTATGTGGGTATAAAGGCTACCAGCCGGTAAGCACTCAGGCTTTCCCTCTCCTTCCTTCACTCCCCCCCCATTCTGAACACGATCGTGGCAGTATTGGAATTGGGACCGCTACGCCGACGACCCCGCCAACTCACCCCTCTTCGATGGTAGCGAAGGCTCGATGGGCAGCGACGGCTCCTATGAAGACCATCCCATCCTTCGGTTCCCTGATACCCCTGCGCCATATGACGTTGTTCCCAATGGAAATGGTGGGGGATGTGTTATGAAGGGTCCGTTCTCGAAGTAAGCCTTCCCCTTCCTCCCATTTCTGGTTTTATTATTCCTTCCTTCTATCACCTAGTACCTCCCCTAGCTGAGTCCCCTAAAAGTATCATGAACTACGAGCTAACTGCATGCCTATCTGCAGCATGACCGTCCACATCGGACCCCTCGCCCCAACCTTCAATGTAAAACCCAACCCGCGCCCCGACGGCCTCGGGTATAACCCCCGCTGTCTTCGTCGCGACATCAACAAACATTCCGCCGCCGTTACCAAAGCGAACTACACCTACGACTTGATCACCTCCAACCACGATATCTACTGGTTCCAGACCGTTCTTGAAGGCCAATTCCCCCTCGGAAAATGGGGCGTCCACGCAGGGGGGCACTACACCGTGAATGGCGACCCAGCCGGTGATTTTTACGTGAGTCCTGGAGATCCAGTGTTTTGGTTGCATCATGCGATGGTGGATCGGGTGTGGTGGATTTGGCAGATGCAGAATTTGGAGAGGAGGTTGCAAGAGGTGAGTTTTACAAAGACATGGAATAATAATCCCCCAAGTGAAAATGGGACGTTGGAGGATTACAGTGGGTTGGGAGTTTTGGCAGAAGATGTTAAGGTGGGGGAGTTAATGAGTACCATGGGGGGTTTAGGGGGACGGTTTTGTTATATCTATGAGTAACCCGATACTTACTATCGAGTGTCGGAGTTCATGACCTGACGAAGCAGGGTTGAGCGGCTGGTAGACCTGTTTTCCTTTCTTCTTTCCGCGAGTTTGGATAGTGGATCATACGACGGTGGTTTAGGTCGGCGTGTCCCAGTTCAGAGTCCAACGTGCTCACTTGCTACCTCCCGAACTACGGATTGTTTTTGGCTCCCGGAATCTTCCCGTGAGGTAATTGTATTCTCGTGGGAATGTAGATAGAGTTTACTTGCTATTGATTGGGCTAGCGCGCTCTCAAAAATCTAGCGGACATAGTTCGGCTACTTATGTTGGCCATTGGTGAAGCTCTATAACTGTCATTCCTGGTAATTATTACGAAGAGGAGCGAAGTTAATCGAGAAATGAAAGTGCTGCTTTCCATAAGCTGTTAACATCGCCTTACCCAATTCCCCAAACATGACCGACTCCATGGCAGAACCTGGTCACCAGATTTCAATGACCAACCATGTAGATCAGGATTTGTAAGGAAGTGTGTTAGCAGCCCTGGTGCGCAGCGATGGGGCGGTCTGATTCGTCTCTCCGTTAGAGGGGAAAGGTGTGGGCGGTATGTAAGCCGGGCTGCCGACTGCTAGCTCGAAGCAGGACACTAATGCCCTTGATATTTTGCTTCTGGAAACCGATTTTGGTCGTGTCCCAGCTTCTAGTGAAAACTAAGTCTTAAAAGAGACCCTGTGTCACCGTTCTCCCTGAGATTACCTTTCAAGTGAGAAGGATGGAGAAAAAGAAGCTTAGGAAGTAGGAAATACGAATACTTTTGCTCGGTGAAGAGAATTGAGCTTTCTGGATGCATCCTCCAGACCAGTTATCTATGGTAACGAGCACACACAGGGCTCTAATCGCTCAGACGCAGCTCGGTTGACTGGATTCTCAGGATGTATAGACGGGGGCGAGAGCTGATTACCTAACCATCGAAGGCAGTAGAAGGTGATATACCAAAGACTGGGTCACGCAAGCAAGGAGAAGGACACGGAAGAGCTAGGACATAAAAGGACTTAGACACCACCAGGAGTGATAAGCTAGGGCTCCGAAAACTCTTTCGCTTCGCTACCTTCTTCGCCATACATGATTCTAGCGCTCTGTCTCGGAGTCACGCACATCGAGTCTTCGTATGGCGGCAAAAGTTGAAGGTTTCTGATTATAGAACGCGATACCCAATAGCGTAGCGGTGTGTAGGCAGTCTGCTTGGTTTCTCTTCTTGGGGACGCACGTAGGGTGGGCAGTCAGCGGCATCCGAAGCAAATCTATGCGCTTCTCGTTTTCAGTTTTTGAAAATTTGTCTAGATTTTTCTCCTAACTTTTCGGTCAGAGCTTCTCAAAGCGGGGTAATGCAAAATTTCTGAGCCATTCCACTTCTTCTCCCGGTAGTTGAGTTCTAAAGTGGTAACGAGCGACTCATCATGCTTAGAATCACGCTATATCTACGGCATCGGATAGTGTTACTCTTGTTCAGAGGACTTCTACAGCTGTTTATCCGATTTAGCGTCAGGTAGCTTTTGCCCGGCGGCGTCGTGGGCGCGACCCAGCACCCTCGGGGGTGAACCCAGTCAAACCCAATTGTTCCTTCAATCGAACCCCCGACCCAGCGGTATTTACCGTAACCAGCCCCTTATTCACCTGTCGCTGCACTTTATTGTGCCTCCTCAGCGCTGATCGGCAACTGCTCCGTCAGTCTGCAAACTACCATCGTGTGCGTCATCACACAGACACTGTGAACAACCTTCCGCGCAGAAGAGCCGATACCGGCATTCCCGCCGTTAACGGCGACTACGAAGCCAGTGAGGAATGAGTTTGGCGAGGGCGTAAAGAGCGTAGAGGGGACGAGTGGCGTGCCCAAGAGTTATATTTCCCCGTCCAGCAGTTCGACATTGAGCGGTGAGGGCACAACAGAAACGTTCACGGTAGAACGAAATGAGGAAAAAGAGGGAGGAAAGAGGGGGCGGGGTATGAGTAACAAGGTTATGGTTAGTGTTTGGTCGGGGATTGGGCTGTCGTTGTTGATAAGGGTGACCGTGGGAGTTGTGTAAGTCTTCCTTGCATTTCTTTAAGCTTGCGGCTTTTCTCATCTTCAGCATTCTTACGTCCCAGTATTGGCTTTTTTTCCCTAGTCGAGAGTTTTATTGTGAGAGATGCTAACGACAAAACACACAGTGCATCCGGAAACCGCAGTACGAAGTCCTGCCCGAGAAAATGCACAGCAAAGTGGATTGTCTTGAGGGAGAAAGCGCGGAAGGAGAGAAGAGCAAGATGTTAGAGAAAAGGACTGCTGTTTTGGTTGTAAGGGAGACACACTGACATGACCACCAGGGGTTTCGGATAACCACATGCTTGGTCGTCGGGATCGAATGCATCTTGGGATATCGTGTGTTCGGCTTTTTTTCATATTTGGGATCCACTAATGTTGCTCCGATGCTGTATAGGTCAGTAACCCAGTCTCACCTACCTGGTTTCATGTTCCCCAGACCCGGGTGTTACCCTCCTTCGGACTTGCTATGTGTGGGAGGGTGAGGGAGTGTAAGACGGCAGCTTCCTGTGTAACAATTCATGTCGTCTAGCTGCCGGGGCTCCGGACCCCCATTATGTCCGGATAAGAACTCATCTGTCCCAGGTTGAGTGTTCTTCTCAAAACATCATTCAACTGACACAATCGAACAGATCAAGCTCCAAGCAACACCAAGAAACTAGATAAAATAGGAACAATGGGCGGCGCAGCAATAGACAAGTCTAAGCTCTCCGCCGAATCCATTTTCCGCGTAGATGGGCTCGTGGCTGTTATCACTGGCGGCGGCACTGGTACCCTTCCCATCTCTGTCCATAAGTCCATTAAACTCCCCTCAACTTTCTAGATATCTCCTATACTAACCTCACTCTCTTCAGGCATCGGCCTAACCATGGCAAAATCCCTCTCCGCCAACGGTGCCAGCAAAGTCTACATCCTCGGCCGCCGCCTTTCCGCCCTCCAATCCGCGTCCCAATCAGCCCCCAACCTCATCCCCATCCAATGCGACGTCACCAGCTACTCCTCTCTCCAATCTGCCGTAGACAAGATCACTGCCGAAACAGGATACATCAACCTGCTCATTTGTAACGCCGGCGTTGCCGACCCTGCCAGCAAGAACTTCGATCCTACATTAAGCCTCAAGGAAAACAGGGAGCGGATGCTTACGCCTGAGGCGATGGAGGGTATGAACCGGACGTTCGAAACAAACGTTACGGGGGCATATTACACCATGGTGGCGTTTCTTGATCTGCTAGAGGAAGGAAACAAACGTGCTCTCAGAGGGGGCTGGGGAAAGCCAGAAAGAGAGGGGGGTGATGTATTGAGTGTCCAGAGTCAGGTAATCTTTACGGCATCGATTGCGGCGTACTCAAGGCATGCGGCGAGTGGACCGGCGTATGCGGGGAGTAAGGCGGCGGTGGTGCAGTTGGTCAAGCAGGCGAGTAGTGGACTGGCTAGGTATGGGTTGAGGGTTAATGCCATTGCGCCGGGGTGTAAGTTGTCCTGCTATCATTCTGACATCCTTCCCTCCCTCTCCCCCCAAGAGAGACGCGGCAGAGATTAATCGCGGCATTTGTAAATGTATGAGCAAGGGAGAAGAAGCTAACATGAACAGTATTCCCTTCGGAACTAGCGCAGGGCCTCACCGGCGGACGGGACCCCAGCACAGAGGGACCGGACCACCCGCTGTTTATTCCGGCACGGAGGTTTGGTGTAGAAGAAGAGATTGCGGGAGCAATTCTGTACTTGGCAAGCAAGGCAGGCGCGTTTTGTAATGGGAGCATCTTGATGTTTGATGGTGGGCGGTTATCGGTTATGGTGGGGAGTTACTAATACAGACACCAAAGAGAAGAGTTGAGGAGGAGCAAGGAATAAGAAAGGGAGAACCATCAGAGAGAGAGATCAGAGTATTGGCTATCGGCAAAATTCGGTATTTCTATTCGGTGAGTGCGAAGACGGTGAGTTGACTTCGGGACTAGAGCCGCCGACGGAGAGAAAAAAAAGCCATTGATAGACTGACCAATATACACGGCCTAACCTATATCCACGCAGTCACTTATATCCTCACATCGCAAACTCTTGATCCTTCTTCCCTGCTTCATCAGCCGGCGGCAGGTTCGCCTTTGCCGGCCCATTAATGCAAATCCCGTCCTTCGAGAACCTGCTCCCATGCACCGGGCAGTCGAAGCTCTTCTCGGCATCATTCCAGCACAATACTCCCTTCATGTGCGGACACAGTGCGCTGTACTTAGACACCTTGCCATCAGGATCTTTGTACACTGCCAGTGGTTTCGCCGTCGCCTAGGAAGTCAGTCAGGGGCGTTGCTCTGGTGATAGAAAGTAACCAACAGGGGCATTATAAACTCACTGAGTTCAACACCCCTCCACGCCCCGGGGCCAAATCCTCGATATCCTTGATATCCGTCTCCAAATAACGCTTATACTGAAGGTTAATTTGCACATCATGCTTAATCATGTGCGGCAGGCTCTTTGCAATGCTGCCCAGCCTCTTCGGACTGTACAGTCCCGCCCAGTCGTTCGGCACGCCGTCGATCTCGTCCGCGATCAGCCTCCCGGCGATGACACCATGCGTCAGACCGTCGCCGGAATCTCCCGTGACAATGAAGATCCTGTCGTTGCCTTGGTTCTTGCCTATGAAGGCAACGTAGTCCACCGGCTCCATAATCTGCCCGCTCCATTTGTAGTCCACGCTCCCTGCCTGCGGAAACCTCTCTCTTGTCCACTCCTCCAACTCCTTGAACCGCGGCAGAGTGTCTTCTTGTCCAACCTTGTGATCACACCCCCCCACCACAAGGTAATCATGACTCTCATCGCATGTCGTTAGTCGAACGTACTTGTACTGTTCTGCGCTGTCATACACCAAACAGTCCTCAACACTCCCCTTTGGCACTTGTACTGCGATGCAATACGTACGCATGTACTCCATCTCGGCAATAACGCTCAACTTCTGCAAAGGAATATTCGTTGCCTCCACAGCTGCCTCACACCGAATTTTATACCCCGCTTCGGTCTCAATTTCCGCATGCTTGTGCCCCATCCCTAACATCTCCACGCCCTTCTCATGAATGCCGACGACCCTCGTCCTTGAAAAACACTGGAAATTTTTCTGCTGTTTCAACCATTCCAACACACCGGTAAGATACTTTGTTGGGTGAAACGTTGCCTGCCCCTCCACCACCATGCCTCCACGTTGATCCAACCCCCCCTCCCACCCCTTCACAGCCAGATCCTCCTCCCATCGTGCGTCGATTCCCAACTTTTTCATAAGCTCAACTTCTTCTTTCATCTCCTTCATATCCCTCTCCCACTCCTCCGTGCCACGTATATACTGACTCACATTTACCGCCCTCACCCGTCGGTACTCACACTCCACCCCAACTTCTCTGGCAATCTCGCCAATGCGGTCCCGTGCCCAAGCGTGGCTTTCTGCCGCCCGTCTTGCCCCTTCTTCTCCATGCTTTTGGGCAATCGCGAGATAACCATCGTCAAGGTCGTTTGTGAGGTGGCCCGAAGTGCGGCCAGATTCGCCGGAGAGGGGGTTGCGGGCTTCCAATAAGACCACAGAGTGTCCGCGCGCGACGAGTTCGTGCGCGACATGAATTCCGGAAATACCGGCGCCAATGATGCAGATGTCTGTGGTTAGGTCGTGATCTAAGGGAGGGAAGGTGGGGATCTGATTGTAAGGGTGCTTATGGATCCAGACAGGATCATTGGCTCCAGATGTATGCATATACTGTTCCGGGTTAGGGAGGGAAGGGTTCGATGTCATTTTGGCAAATGTCGTGGAGACGAGGCTGGTGAGAAGTTAGTGGGTAGTGAACTGAGGAAGGCGGTGACAAACAGCCTGCTTACCGATGTTGAGTGAACAATGGGAGAGATGTGAGGGGGGTTTTTGCTTTCAACTGGCGATTGATGCTGAGTGAGATATTGCAACCTTTGTGGGGGCTTGGGTTGAGGGAAATAAGGTGGCTCTTTGTCGACAACCCCCTCCTGGTGACGTCAATGACTCCGCGGGCCAAAAGCCGTCGCTCTCCTTGGGCTTGTGCGAGATGCTTGCCCAAGTTGATTAACATCTGCTTAGAGCAGAGGAAAATGGACATCTCTACACCGCGATTCCAGCAAGACACTAAGCTCACGGGTAGCAGCGGGCTTGTGATCGGGCTGTCTTGGTGCTTATAAGGTCCAGTGTGGAGACCTTCAGGGGTCATGACGGAATGACATCACCATGACAATTGGAAGATAGTGATTAGAGGTAGCGACAGGGATGAGGACACAATGGGTCAGTAAAGCTTCTATTTACATCATTCTCTTTAGCATCCACTAACTGGCTGCTCTGTTTTCTTTTCCAGTGCTCATTGCTCGTGGAGAGGAGAGGAAAACAACACATGGTTGTCCCCATGGATGCTAGCCTCAGTTGGTAAGCAACTGTTTGTATTGCTGACTGGAGTGTTTCTTGGGCCAGATGGCCCTGCTTGGAATTTATATATATCTTGTGCACTCTTGTGGCTTCTCTTCCCTCTTCCTCAGCAGCAAAAACTATTGAGAGTCAACATCCTTGTGTGTTGAGGAACACACTCCCAAAGCTCAGTTTTGGGGGGCGGATATCCGGGTTTGATGGATCACAACTCCCTTCTACTCCGATCAGTGAGTTGCACAGAAGCTACTCTCCCAGGTAGAGTCGTTGTTGGTCATGACAAGGAGAGCATGAGATGCTTAGGATGTAAAAAATTGTCCGACTGTTATATGCGACCCAATCTAGGCTGGGAATTGTAGATATATGCAGAAGTTATTTACTCAAACCTAATTTTAACACATTCAATTATCAAATGTAGTATGTGTACAGGATTCCCCTCTTCGTTAGCCGCAGTAATTCTCAAGGACTCATGAACGGGAAGAATGGCATTCGTCCTGCACCGTTGAAGTATTCACAACAGAGCCCCACTGAGGTGAGATTACAAAGTAGTAGAGTCGCACACAAAGCACTGCTAATATTGTGACGATTCACTTAGCCTTCCTGAGATGGGTTCGAGTCCGGATTAGGGCTAATGGATCTGAGACAGGGATTCCAACAGACTTCAGAGCACTGTGGTCACCAGTTGTATTGCGTAACTATTTGTATTGCTGATTGAGGAAATCTTTGGTCCTAAATCTTTGTTTTCAGATTTTATATGTTGCGAGATAATGCCCTCTTTTCCGGGGCTTTGTCCTAACATAAATCTTCTCCTGTCATGAGCAACAAGGGGTCTATTTGGAAGAATGGGTCCTGTGAAGTCAACTAATCAGAGCTGAATTGAATTAAAGTGCAATTTCGACCCGTAACAGAGTAAAAGGGAGTTGTGACGCATCAAACCCAGATATCTGTCCTCGACACTAAGAGGCATTGATTCTCAACATCTATTAGCTGCAAGTGACCACGGTGTGGTCACCGTTGACCTGCCTCGGTCAGCCAGGGCTCCACTGAGGTTAGGGGCACACTTGACCTTATATAAGAGCCATGCTCATCCACCTTCACGCGTGTGTAGTTTAGAAGGTAGAGCGTTATTATTCTGCGGCACCCATTGTGCTTGACAAATTCCTTGAGGGCCGCGTGTTCTGCAGGGCAACACACAAGTAAATACTCCCATCCATATCCACCATTTTCTTTTACACCCAACAACATCCAAGGGTGTTGGCTCTGAGCAGTTTGTGCCATTGAACAGGAAGGAACAAGGGAAACCACACGGGTGTACAAGATGTAGATAGATTCTATTCAGGGCCATCTGGCCAAAAAAGCTTCCTAGTAAGCAATGCAAACAGTTGTCTACTTAATTGGTGATCACAGCGATCATTCGACTGTGTGAGAACCCATGTCTCTCAGGTCCAGCGGCCTGGAACCCCTCAAGCCTATCTTAGAGGCCTGTCTACATTGTCGCATCTCCATTGACTAGACATCTATGGAGGTTCAGTTGAAGCAGCGAATTTGACACTAGATCGTTTCACAGTCAGTTACCACCGCCTTGGTGTGTTGTTGCCTGGACAGCACTCATCATAATCAACACCTTTCAGATGGGGCTCATGGTGAAGTTTCAGGCTAGGCTCTTCCTTGCTTCCAGCTTGCATATAGTATGGCGGAAGTTTATTTGACTGTCCAGAAATGATTCTGGATGAGAAATTTCCAGAATAACACTCCGGGAACCGTCACCAAATCGTAGGTAGGTAGTCATGAGACTACCGATATAGAGATCAAGACAGACTTGGCTCAATGGTGTGCAGTTATAAAACTTGGCCATCTTCACCATCAATTCGCAATATATCACGTCAGCCGATAGTGTTATCCGGTACCGCTCATAATTCCAATAAACCCTTAGCCATCTGCTCTGCGAAAGTGAAATTCAATTCCCTTTATGGTTAGTTAAAAGACTCCTTGGGTGTCTTTCAAACATCGAGAACACCTTTTAGCATCTGAACTCACCGCTACTGGAAGCCCTCAGTTGACTTTATGCCATATGACATAGCTTAACTATCCGGATGTAGTGAACAACCTGACAGATGTTAAATTGTCGGAAGTACTACTTGCTGTTGAGGGAAGCCCTTGAGGGTTCCTTCCATCGAAAGCAGGGAAGACCGGCCCCATATCTGGACTATATTAGAGGTGGTTAAAGAGCAGTCATGAATGAGATGATCTGGCAGTCAATCAATGCCGAATCATAATCATGTCATCATTGACTTGCTTTACTGCTCCGGTATTCCAATCCGTGTCCGTCATACTCTGATATCTCACTTGATTTGAGTGTGGTGAACCAGCGACATACCTAGATCATATGGCAGCTAGTTAAAGATTTATCATGAAGAGTTCTCTATATCTTGGCATCGTGGAAACATCAATTACAGTTTCAATCTTTTGATCAGCAGCAGTGTTCTCTTCTTCCCTCAGTCCATCCCAACTCCCTCATGCATTCGAGTTTTTTGCTAAACTTGGGCAAGTGAGCGGTCTCGGTGTCGTGGAATGCCTTAAACATAGCTTCAGCGACTAACCTTGTAGCTACAAGCTTTTCCTGTCTCGATTCATCCAAAAAAAGGCAAACAAGCCACATTAGATGACTCAATCGCTGCTATGGAAGATATCTCTTGGAGGACTTTGATCTCGGTATTGCGTAAGCCCTAATCACATCTTTCAGCTTCCTGACACCCAATGGCGAACCTCTCTGCTCCCTTAAGCTCAGTGATCATCTGAACTTTGACAAACTCACGACTATATGAGCTCTAAGCACAGCTTTAGCCACGATCTTTGCTACTAAACTTTTTTCAACTTTGTTTACTCCATCGAAGGCTACACCAGAAAAATACCCAATAAAAATACCCAAATAATATGATAGTGAGTTAAGATGCTATCACGACATAGTTTGACCTCGGAGTTATATGAACCTTTTGTAAAGGTTTCAGACACCTGCTCTATGACCATGCAGTTTTCCTTTCTTCTGTAGCTTTCTTTGCTGACTTTGCAATAATGGATGATTTCGGTGTTGTGTGAGTTATAATCATATCTTCAACTCAACGACTTCATGGCTGGAAACCCTTTTTACCCTCCTTTATCTCATCTCAACTCCCGCAGCTGTGTTGTCGTTAATCCTGCTACGCCCAAATATGTCGTCCTTCGCCTTCAATATCGAGTGTCGCGAAGTGCTTTCATCGCAGCGGACCTGAGTAACCCTTATAGCTTTCGGCCACCGACTTCGCCACTAGAAATCCCCGTAGTCTCTTCGTTAGTTGCATCTGTCCTCCTAGAGCTTTTGTTTTTACTGACTTCGCAAAGTACTCTTATCATGGGGTTGTGTCAGCCCTATTATCATCGCTTCCAACGGCTGGCTTTATGACTGCAAAACCCAATCTCACCACTTCACCACTTCATCCCAACTCCCGTCCCATCACTTTGCTTTGCTTATTGCAATACTATTGCCGCAATTTTTTTTAAACACTCATATGGTTAAGGGGCGCGATATTTCCGTCGTGTAAGACTTGTTCACGGCTTTGAGCTACCAAAGTCCTGACTGCTGATTCTTCTCCCTCTCATCGTCGTGAGAGATATGTTTTCCATAGTTTTGGTTTCGCCAAACTCACGAAGTCTTCCATCACGGCAACGCAGGAGCCGTCGTCACAGACCCAACACGCCTTTCAGCCACCGACTTTATGGCTGCGCAACCATGCTTTCCTCAAAAATAATTCCGCTGGCTCCCTCATCCCAGTTCCAATCCTTCATTGTTTTTGCTGATGCCACGAGACACTTGCATGGTGGTGTTGAGTGAACCCAAATCACACTTTTCAGCCACTGACTTGGTGACAAGAAGCTAAATCTTTTTCCTTCAGCTCTATTCTGACACTTAGAGCTTTTTTTCCACTGATGTTAATAGTTTAAATCAGCTTGCCGTCTTGTGAGCCCTAATCACAGCCTACACGCACCTCTTCGCCACCGACTTCGCGGCTATGGAATCATAGACCACTCTTTCTCGTGCTAAAGCAGGGTAAACCAACCAGCTTCGACGACCCGACCAGGACATCTTAGATTAAACAACTGTCACGAAGATACTTCCATCACGCTTGCATTGTGTGGGCCCTCCACATATTTTTCAGTCACCTTCGTCGCATTTGTGAAATCCTTCTCCCTTTCTTTGTCACGAAGCCCCTGCTAGATTTGTTTTCCTCGCGCTTCCTTTCTACAAAAATTTCTCGCTCCGCGCCCGACTGTATGACATTTTCCTTTCTGCATACTTTTCCCCAACCACCGATATCTCGACCTACCTTTCCTCCAACATCATCGCTTGCTACCACGCCCACAATCGACCGACCTCGCCCAGACAACGACCACCACTATGGCAGAGATGGTCTACGATTATCCTCGCCGCGACGAGGATGAGGATGCCTGCATCATCGTCAACGCCAAGTCAGGCAAGCCCGGTAGCAGCGGCAAGAAAAGCGATGGCATCCAGTCTGTTTCTGCCCCTGAGAAGAAGGTACACGGTCCCAAGCAACCTTCACGATCTAAATAATCGGTCCCAAATGCGTCCTCGCAAAAACACTACAAACTAACTGGTTCGATCCCTCGCAGTCAGACAAACCGTACACCAAAGATGCCTCGACCGCTAGCAATAATAATGATTCTACTTTCGCAAAGGCAAAGAAACACACTTGCAATAAGAAAGACCCTAATGCGCCCAAGCGTCCCCGCGGTCGACCTCCAAAGAAAAATGTCACTGCTTCGTCCAATACCAAAGACACTGCCATCGTGCTTTCCGATGATGAGGACGCTGAATCTGGTCCGTCTGCGAAGATAAAAGTTATTGCTTCGTCGACTAAGTCCAAGCAGAGCACTCTCCCTCCAGTCCCTGCCTTTCCTGTTGAGCCGCATCCAGCCAAAATTAGTACTGGTGGCGGTTTCACTGCTTCTCATGGCTATGACATGGCCCCTCCTACCATGCCCGCTCACCATCATGGCTATGGCGGTCCTCACATGCACGCCGCCGACTCCCAAGACGTAATCTATGCCCTCCAGCACGATCTCACAGCTGAGCGTTCTCTGCGCATCCAACTCGAAGCCGAGTGTGCGCACCTCCGTGCTGCCCTAGCCGATCACGAGGCTCAATTCGTCACACGCCTGGCCAAGGAGACACAAGCGATGCAACAACGGCTGCAGGAGGTCATTAGGGAGAGGGATGAACTCGGAGCGGCCTATGGCGGGGTTAGTGTTAGGGTTCAGGCGCTGGCTGGTGAAGTTTCTATGTTGGAAAACAAGTTGAAGGAAGCAGAAGAGGAGAATCAGAGGCTTAGGGCTCAGATTCAGAATGAGGTTGATAAGGATGAGCTGACTGTGGCTCATCGTATATATAAGAGGGAGGGGACTCCAATCCCGGTTCTTCGGCGGGCTGGGGATGATACGATGAGCATGGCTGAGATGGTCAACGCGGCTGAAACGAGTGCTGCTGGTGATCTTATGCAGCTTGTTGACAATAACAACAACAACCGCGACATTGGCCCAGCCAGTCCTGTTAATGATCACGCAGCTCACTTCAACCACACTACCCAACATCGTGATCGTTACCCCTCAACCAAGCATCGCGACTGCGCAGTTTCTGTGGGTGAGCCTCGTATTGCCGCTCCCACAACGTGTCCCGAGACCTTTTGTCCTCCCGAACATGGTCTCACGAGCCTTAGCGGCACGATCCGGCAGCATCACGATAGCCACCAGACCAATATCTCTTCAGCTGCCGACCGTGCCGTCGACCGCGCTTATCGCGTCCGCTCCCCCTCCGAGTCCGTCAGCGTTCGGTCTTGCTCCCAGGCGAATATGAATGATCGCAATCGCTCCCTCTCTCCGCGTCCCCGCACCGTGCCCCCTGTCAATCCAAATGATGCAGCTCTATCCGGCCAGTTACCTTACAACAACCCCACGGTTCCGGGCCGGAGTCCGGTCCCCAACAGAGATGACGATGTCTTCCTCCCGGGCCAAAACGAAACCCACGCCTCCTTACACCGTGCTTTCGTAGATAAGTACGGCTCCCTCTCCCGTGAGCAGCTTGCTGCGGCTTTACGCAACGCGGAGTTGGCTGCTGCAGAAGTGTGCGATGAGCTGTTAGAGGCGAGGGAGAAGTGGCATGTTGCGAAGGATAGGTTAGTTGAGGTTGAGGAAGAGCTGGGGGAGGTGAAGGGAGAGCTGGAGAGGATAAAGGGGGTGGTTGAGAGGGTAATGAGGGAGCATGGGGAGCAGGCCGGTGATGGCGGTACCAGGGAGGGTGATACCGTGGAGGAGAAGACTGGGACTGAGCTCGAGAGCGCTGATGCTTCCACAGCGATGACTACAACCGGCCAGAACAACGCGTTAGGCGAGCTGCCCACCGACATCCCGATTCTGCACAACATGTTAGCAAACCTGCGCAGCGAGCGCAACAACCTGCATGCCGAGCTATACCAGCTCCAAACCCGCCTGAATGACCTGCAGATCATGCACGAAAAAACGAAAGCCGAGCTTGCAGAGCGCAATAAAGAATATGATGAAGTCGAAGCCGAAGTCCGCGCGGGCCAATCACACTGGGCACAGGAAATCCGCCTGATGAACCTGAAGTTGGACATGCTGCGCTCTGAGGCGTCCACCAGCTCCTCCACCATCACCTCCCTGCAGGCACAAATTTCCGATCTCGAGAAAGAAAAGATCAAGCTTGTGGAGGAGAAAAGGGAATTGGAGTCCAAGCTCGAAAAGGTAAAGAAGGAGTTCGAGGATGAAGGTAGGAAGCTGGTTAAAGAGATGAACGCCAGCTGGGAAGAGGAGGTCCTGTGGCTTGAGGGGGAGCTGGATCGGGCGAGGGTGGAGTGTGAGAAATTGGGGGAGGTGTGCAAGAGACAGAGGGAGGAGATTCGGGAATTGCGGGAGAGGTTGGAGGAGATGGTGAAGAAGGATGGGCTGTTGAACATGGAGTTGGACACTCTAGGGGCCAAGCATACAGAGACAAAGAATAAGAAGGCAAAGGATGGGCATGCTAAGGATGAGAAAGGTAAATGAGGCTTGGCTTTGGCCCTTGAAGCAGGGAGTGTGTACGATAGCAGCGTTTGAGCTTCAGTGATTGTCCCTATTATACGGAACGTGCTCAGGAGTTGATTGGCAAACTGGAACTTTCTGAATGCTGAAGGAAGACTTCGGATGTTCACAGAATTATCGCTTTTTATTGACGATTCTGGACTCGTAGGTAGAGAAGATAGATTCATTAATTGCGCAGGTTTATGAGATTGTCTACGTAACCCTGGCCGTTGCCGAGCAACGGGTTCACACTCAAGAAGTGCATGGGGGCCAAAGTGTTGAACTAGTTATATCTGCGAAATTTTGTGACTGTGGAAAATTGAATTGATCAAATTCTGATAATGATTGAGCCACGGTTTGGTAATGAGAAGTAAAGGGGAACCTTGAGGCCATGATTACAGCCCTTGATATCTTAGGTGAGAAACATGATGCGCCAGCGCTGTTAAGCAATTTTTTCAAGAATTTGTACTTTGTTTATTCTGGAAAATCTTGATTTTCTAATGAACATGTGGGCAAAAGGAATTGAAGCAGAATTACAACCAGCTGCGGTTCAATGAAGCATTGTTCCGAACAGCACAACACCCCGTACATCTCATTATTAAATCCTTCACCACGGCGTTTTCAATAGTTGCTCTCTTGAGCCTTTCAATTGGTACTTTACGGTAAGTTTAGTCAACCTGCCAAAGAGAGAGTCGCCTTGCTCTATGCCTCAGCCTCTTGGTAACAAGTTCCCAAATCACTCAGTACAATCTCTCACTCTTGGCGATGCTTAGTACACGATGGACGAGTAAAAACAGCATCATTGGGAGGTCATTGCATGAGGTTGTTTCAAGACTGACTTGTAAGAGCAAGCCCGCTTCAGGGCAACGTGGGCTAAGTCATGACGGAAGTTTTGAGATCAGATGGCGTAGTACACTGGACACGAGCTGAACTGGTCGTGCAGCTCAAGACAGAGTCCCCCTTATGTAGGTGCAATCCACACAAAGCTGGGAGCGTTAAGCCTTTATGCATGCTAAACATGCCCGCTGGCTGCCATCCAATCATTGGCACAACGTAACTTTGGCTGTGCTTACCCTTACCATGCTGTTCGCCAGAAGACTTACGACACCACACTTGAGATGGATCAACCTACAAACTTCTTTCGCAACACTACAGTCAACTTTTACCCGGTCTAGCTTTTCTCAAAACATTGTGACTGACTTCTGTCTGACATATGTTCTCTCACAAGTTTGCTAACTTCCCTCCATGCTATTTTGGACCCTTTTTTTTCTCCCGCAGCACTATAACCCACATGTGTCCGAGCTGAAGTTTTCTCGCAACATCGTAGCCAACTTCCCCTCAAATGCCCCACTGGGTTATGTAAGCACATGTTCAACCCAAACCAAAAGTTATCATCCTTTCTTTGAAGCAAAAAAGTTCTCAACTTCGTCCATGAACGGCCAGAATCACAACACTCTACAAGCTCCTCTATTCAAGGGTCTGTTTCTCGTACTAGCTACCAACCGGCGACTTTGTTGAGCAGTTCTCAGCTCCAGGCAGAGTTGATGGTTCATTACGGTTTGCAAAGTCTCCAACGATTCCCTCGTGCTATCAAGGATCGATATATGGAAGTCAACTTGGAGCAAGCCACACAGCATGCGTCAGCGGTCTTCTCCTTCAGACCAACAGAAAAAGATCTCTCAGTTGGGTGATTCTGCTTCCTATCGTTGAGCTTGGTGGTCTTATGCTTCCTCTTGTGTGAGACGCTCCAGGAATTTCAGCCGTATCCTTCATACAACCCATTATAAGAGCCCAGTATATCGAACTTATCGTCAATGTAACGATCCAGACAGAACTGCTGAAATGGGTTCGAGAGCTGCCAGGCTGCTGGATTAAGAGACAGGAGTTCTCACACAACCAAAGTGGCCGTTGTGGTCACCAGTTGGTAAGCAACTGTTTGTATTGCTGACTGGAGTGTTTCTTGGGCCAGATGGCCCTGCTTGGAATTTATATACATCTCATTTGCTCTTGTGGTTTCTCTTCCCTCTTCCTCAGCAGCATAAACTATTGAGAGTCAACATCCTTGTGTGTTGAGGAACACTTTCCCAATGCTCAGCTTTTGGAGGTGGAGATCCGAGTTTGATGGATCACAACTCCCTTCTACTCCGATCAGTGAGTTGCACGGAAGCTACTCTCCCACATAGACTCATTGTTGGTCGTGACAGGTGCTCACTTGCCCTTATATAAGAGCCATGCTCATCCACCCTCATGGGTGTGTAGTTTAGAAGGTAGAGTGTTATTATTCTGCGGCATCTACTGTGCTTGACTGATTCCCCCAGGGCCGCTTGTCCTGCAGGGCAACGCCCAAATAAACATTCCCATCCACATTCACCATTTTCTTTTACATCCAACACCCAGGAGCTTGAGAAGCCCTTTTCCCCTCGTAGTATTCATTCGCTGCGGCGGCCCGCTGGCACAGCCCAGTGTGACACCCAGCCGCGACTGATAGGAACTTTCGAACCGCTTCGCGGCAGGTGAGCGAGTTTCGCAAATCTCCACCCAGGATGAGAGCCCTACTAGCTGCCTACCCGCAGGAGGAAGCGACCACAGCTGGAGGAGAGACGGCACAACTTCATGCCAGGTAGAAGTTGCGGGCCTCCAGCAAGCAATTAAGCAGGGTCAGCACGATTGCAGATCCTTGGCTGCATTGTATCCTTAATCTGCTTAGGCACGGGAAGCTCTGCGTAGTATTTATCTTCGTAGACAAGCCCTTGAGTGCATCAAGAGACCACCAAGCACGAGAGCCCTTCACCGCAAGCCCCAAGACATGGCTAACGCGGGCACAAGTTAGGAGCACGCCTTGAAGATGGTACTAGCGCACTGAGCCCCCGTCTGCCATTCCAACGGACACAGTACGATTTTCAGAGTGATTTGAGGAGCCAGCAGCAGCAAGCCAAGGGCCAGCACTCACCCCGTAACGGATCATCGTCCTCCTGTTTTCTTCGATAAAGACCTGCAGTCCGTTGAAGCTGCCCTTTGCAGCAGCTCTTTGCAGCAGCCCTCTGTAGCAGCCCTGTGTAGCAACCCTCTGCAGCAGCCCTCTGTAGCAGCCCTCTGTGTGTTCACTACACGGCCGAAGCTTGCTAGCGCTGGAGGGCTGGAGGACGGCGTGAGGGCATAGCAAATATAGACACGAGCTAGGAGCACACCATTACCGGCTTCGCCAGCGATGAGTCATCCCTGGCCACTCCATAAGACACAGCATAACAATGACTTGCTTCTTGGGCCAAGCGGCAACAAGACAATAACCAAACATTAGCGCTATGGCAAGTTTTCGTCTCCCTTTGATTGTATACTCGACTTGGATCTCAAGGCGTTGGAGCCGCGCCATTTTTATGCCCTCTAACTGCCCGCTGCGTCCTGCTAACGCAATGTGGGTCCCGGCCGCTTTCCTTCACCTTACTTCCTAAAAACCCCTGAGAGTCTGAGGGATTTTCCCAGGCCAAGCAAACGATGAATCCTAGGATTAGCACGGGAGATTGCTGAGAATAGTGCTTCAGAGGACATCAGCAAGACTAGATCCAGGTTTCCTCGCATCTGGCCCTTTCCTCGGCTGACACTCTCGCTCTAAGGGCCAGCCGCGACAGCCTGCTTCGACAGCCTTTCTTTGGGAGCCAATGACATTGGAACAACATGCCTGGCTTGATTATTGGTCTCTCTAGAGGAGGAGTACAAGAGGATATTGAAATGAGTTAACCTCGTGCCTGTCCAGTCGTCCTCAAGCCGCTCATACAGTGACTCACCACCCAGGCAACAAAGGGAGCATGGCTTATGGTCAAACGCGAGAGCCACTCGCGGCCAGAAATAGGTAAAATTATGTTGTCAGGCTAGAGGAACCGAAGTAGTACCGTCTGGCATTGTTAAAGGCGCGCGTCTGCCATGGCTCAACAATTGGTCTCTGCCCAACCGGCCAGCTCCGCCCGCTGTGAACGTCCACTGCAACAGCCCGTTGACGCTGCCAGCAGTATTGTCTTGAACTGTTAGGTCTCAACGCCTGGCCGAGGATATCGCCTACCCCGTCCCTCTTCTGTCCCTTCCCAACCCGCCCCTAAGAGGGAGGAGGGCTTATGGCCACATAACCGCGACAGCTTTTCAGGAGCTTGGTGTCACATGGACACGGCAGTCCAAGGAAAGGGATGTCCCCGACTGTCAACACAAGGGACACCAGAGACAGGATGATTGTGAGCGGCGCAAATACGTGGTTGATCCCGGAAGATTTCTAGAGCCGGATGACCGAAGAGAATGAGCCATATGGCCGATGCATGATGAGGATTCTATAAAGAAAGCTGCCCGGTCATGATAGACTTCCCTTGGTTCCTCCTCTCCCTGACACAAGGACACTGAGGATCAAGAAAGATTATTACACGTAGTAATTGACTTCGCTGTGCACCCCACATCGTCAGTGGCCATCATCTAACCCATTTGGCCTATTGTCGATCCCTGCCTGCACCAGACCAAGTCCTCCGTCACACCAGACCAGTTGGTCGGGAAGAGTACCCATCTGAAAGCAATTGACGCTCTCCTTAAGCGGGACTCATGGCTAGTACCGAGGAGGTAATTAACCAGCCGAAACAGCCAGATGAATCCCCCCGGCCGCTACGCATCCCTTAGAGTGGACGGGAGCAGCCGCAACTGGCGGAACGCGACCCCCGCCGGCATCGTCACTCTCTTGGCAGAGCAGGTCGGCTTCCCCTGGGCCGACATCTCCAGGGTCTATCCAGTGAAATCGGGCTTCTGCATTAAAGTCTCAAAAAGCTTCCTCCGTGAACTGCTCGCCCGAAAAATAAAGGAGCACGGCTACACAATCGAACTGGAAATGCTCACCTTCGTATATGTATTCAAAAATTACCCAAAATATATCATGGCCTATGACGGCACCAGACAGTTCACAGGCGTCCTAATTGCAGAAGAGGCCGTCACGGTCACCAAACAAAGAATGCGGTTGTCCATAAGGCTTCTCCCTTCCGACTGTTCGACTTCGATGCCGCCACGGGGTAGCCCATCCCAACGTTACGCCCTCCCCGTTCCCCTTGTTGCGCGCAGACTCAACCCCAAGGTGTCAGAAGACCCGGCGAGGACCCGGACCCATATGAGTCGGAGTCTGAGCTGGAGGTTCAGATCCCACTCGCTGTGCGAAGACAGGGAGCCTGACGCTGACTGCTCCGAGTAGGTGTCGGAGTTGGAGATTGTTGGGTGTATAAAAATTGCAAAGTGATGGGAGTATTTACTTGGGCGTGGCCCTGCGGAACACCCGGCTCTGAAGGGACATGTCAAGCACAATGGATGCCGTATAATAGCAACGCTCTACCTTCTTAACTACACACGCGTGAGGGTGGATGATCACGGCTCTTATATAAGGTCAAGTGTGCCCCTGACCTCAGTGGAGCCCGGGCTGACAGAGGTAGGTCAACGGCGTCCACACCGTGGTCACTTGCGGCTAACAGCAAGGTTATGGGAAGCCATGGCAGAGAAAGATCTCCATCTGGCCAACATGGAATGTAGAAGACAGTTCTGCTGTCGTGGCATGTGTCTTTATAAGTGTGGTGAGGCAAATGGATCGATCGAATGAAATTCTGAAAAGGAAAATTGAGGGGTGGGAGGAAATAGGGTCGGAGAGAAAGGATAGATTGTAGACACTATTGATCAGGCTTGATCGGAAGCAAGATTGGGATTAAAGTTTCATCGCAGTTGTACCTTTTGTCAGGTGCTAAATGTTCTGATAAAGAAAGGTTTCCATGAAGATAGGACAAAAGAGGTAGCTTTTGTCGAACCACTGAAGTGAGCTTGCTTGATAGAGAACAGTTTTTGACGTAACTTGGATAATGATGCTCAGAAGGATATAACTATGACATCGTCTCTTGGTCGCCCGGACACCATTGACTGCGTATAAGACTGTTGAAGAGCTCATAGAAGTCACAGTTACTATGATCAAAGTCTCCATGTTGGGAAACCCGAAAAGTTGGTTGAAAACTGCAAAGCGGTCAGGGTATTTGATTGGATTGGAAAGTTTGCTATTTTGGGCTCTGAGCTGGTTTGAAAATGCAGACGTTGTCAAACTGTCATTCAAATGTCTATGTTATGAAGAGTTTGGAGGATGAGACAATGATCCAATACATAACAGCCGAATAAGCTTGAGATGCATTCAAGATATTGATTCTTAAAATTGTGGTCTCTTAGGGGCTTTATTTAGGGTCATTCGAGGCTGCTTTGTTTAGAACAGTCGGGGCACTCCAGCAAACATTGTCTGCCTTTTTTTTTTTTCAAAACCAAGCATGATGAGATGGTAGGGTTTCTCATAGTATAATAGCACTGGAAAAGGCTGTATGACAAAAACGAGTTAACGGTTCGTAATCCCAGAGCAGAGTGACACGATGAAGGATACCAAAAAAATTCAACCTAGACCTGAACCAACTAAGACCGAAATAAAACAGCAACAATTGCCATTTTCCCTCTTGACTCCATCCTCTTTCCTCTTCTCCACCTACAGGCTAAGCCCTTATCACCTCACGAACCCCTTCCCCCTTCTCGTTGATCTCAGGCTACTCCGGTCCAGGTGCATCCGTCAAAGGTACATACCTAACCCCAAACAACTTTTTCCTCTCCACTTTCCCCTCCGCATCCTTCTCTACAAGCCAAACATGCTGCCCCCATCCCCCGGGCCCATCTTCAACGGGTATAAACATTCTGCCTCCTTCCTTAAGCTGCGCCAACAACTCCTCATGCATCCGCTCCGCTGCCGCACCCACGTGAATCACATTCCATTTTTTATCCTCTTCACCGGGTTCGAGCCAGCCCTTCCTCCCGTCTCCAACGCGGAAGCGTACGAGCCCGGAGTCGAGAAGTTCCCTTCCGCGCGCGGACTTCCTCATATTCGCTTCACCAAGATCACGCAACGGGAGGATATGCTCAACCCCAATGACCCTCGCCTCTGGGTGATTTCCCACTAATTCCGCAAAGACATGAGTCAAATAGCCCGAGCCAGAGCCGATATCTAGGACGCGAGGGGCTGGATTGGCAGGGGAAGGGAGGAGCGAGGGGAGGAGGTGTTCGACGGCGGAGGCGTGCATGTGCGGGGCCGAGATAGTGGCGGCATGGCCGATGGGTTGGGGGGAGTCGTCATAGGGGTAGGAGGGGGCATAGTGGGCGCGGTCGACCTGGTCGTGTTAGCATTGGCTGATCTCCTTTGATGGGAGCTGTTTTAGGTTTTTTGGGGGGGGGAGGGGAAGAGAGGCGAGATGGGAGATGGGAGATTGGGGGAGTATACCTTCAAAAAAGCCTCCTTGACCACCTCGTGCGTAATTAGGCCATTCCGCCACAAATTCTCAACCAAATCTCTATTTGACCCACCAGAGCATCTCCACGCCATAGCGATATTCGAAATCTCTCTCACAGGCTGCTGCTCGGCGGCTCTAAACAATCCGAAACCAAAATCCTGCGCGGGAAGGGGCACTAGGGCGCGCAGGCGGAGAGAGACGGAGCTGAGGATGCGCAGGAGGTTCTTGGGGGACGCCAACTTGTTCGTTGTCCCTGTATGTGAGGGTATATGAGGGTTGAAAAGCTTGTTGTTTGGGTGAAGTTGAAGTTGGCCAGTCGTGATTATTGGGTGATGTAATCGACGTAACCCCGCACCCCCCCTCCATCCCCCACACGCACAGTACAAGACAGGCGAGCATTGGTAGTAGTGCAGTAGAACAACTCCAAAGACTTATACTGTGTCCTAACTCCTGTATCCTTGAAACAAACACGCCGTATGCCAAAACCCGAGCTACAGAAACACAGAGATGACTCCAACTTCCAAACATCATCCCCCTAAACAACCCTCTCCGGCCGCTCACCCGTAGCAATAATCGGGATTCCTAAGCCCCGATCCGGGCTCTGCAACACCAACTGCTCATGCCTCCTGACCCTAACGTAATCCGTCACGGCCCTAATCAGAATAAACCACCCCACAATCATAAGTATATACGCGGCCCAATCGCCACTCGTAAAGTCCCCCCCCTCATTACCTCCCCCATTAACATCCTCCGGTTCGAACTCGTGTGCATTCGGGTCCGGCGGCGCCGCATATCCGCCCTCGAGTCGTGAACCATACCCCCCCGCATCGGATCCCGGTGGCGGCGTCTTCATGTAAAACCCGTACTGAATGAGCGTGATACCGAGGCCGGCGCGGGAGCCATTTTTCGCGGCGTGGGTTGAGTGTAAGAGGTAGGTTAGCAAAAAGCCGACGAGCTGGAACGCCATGCTGATCATGCCGTTCCAGATGAAGGAGAAGAAGGAGCCGACGGGCATGCCATCAATGTAGACGTCGTCGGGGCCACCGAGGCCGGGGGCGAGGATGGTTGTTTCCCAGTAGGGCGGGGCCATGTCGGCTGCTGCTTGTTCGTAGGACTGGCCGTTACATTAGTAGGTGTACACCAGAAGTGTAGAAGTGTAGGGGAAACATACCGGCGGCAAATCTTCCTTCTCCGGATCGCCCACCTCTGGCTTGGCCGATAAGTTCGAGAACACGCCATCCCTTGCCATACCACCTCCATAAACCCTCCCCGTTGTCGGCCTCTGCCCAGCCGGCCTAGCCTGACTTCCTGAATTACTCGAGCCGGCCTGACTCGGCCTAGCCGACGATCCCTCTCCATTCCCTGCGTTTGCTAGTTGGCTCCCACTCCTAACCAAGCGTTGGGTATCATCCGCCTCGTCATCGCTGTCTGCATCAAACGCATCGGCTAGATCGTCGTTCACTCTATTGTTTCGCACATTCTGCGTTGTATTGGTTGCAGGGGGATCGCGTCGCGTGGCGCCAACGGCTTCCTCGAAGGATGGGGGAGGAGAGTTCGGGATGGGATAGACGGGATGTGCGGCGAGAGGGCGTTCGTCGACGGGCGTGTGTGGTTCGTCGTCGGGTTGGGTGTTGACCTGCAAAGTCAGCCTGGGCTACGCAATCTTGAGCGGAGGACATACCCGCTCATATCGCGCCATGGCGATGTCAATCTATGGGTATCGTCGCGACGATGAGGATGATGCTCTGGATGATTCGTAATGCGGTCGGCAAAACGGGGATTGATATCCGCGAGTCTCTGTCAACAATGGAATCACAGAAAGAAAACAAAAGAAACTAAACCTCGAGGCAGTCAATGAGAAACAAAAGGAAAACAAACAGAACGAGCGCGAGGTGAATGCGATGATGATGGGCGGCAAGGCTTTGATTGCGCGGCGCCAACAGCAAAAGGAGACAACAATGATGAAAGGGAAAGGGGAGCGCAAGGCGCTGTTCAGGTGACGCAGCTGCGAGGTGGAGCCGCCGTTGCCTGTGCCAAGAGGCTAAGGCTTGTCCTGGGTTGCCTCAGGAGTACCTGTTGCGGCTGGGATTGGCGAATTGATAAGTGAGCATAGATAAGATTGGCTTCTCTCACTTGATTCTTATCGATAAGGATAACTGTCAGCCATTGTGCGCTATAACAAAGATAACATGTTTATCGATAAGATGACGGGCTCGGCTGCTTATCGATAACTTCAATGATGCAATCGCCCTCACCATGCGCTCCAGCCCTCAACCATTCGAGCGCAATTCGGCGCATTAGCACCCGCAACCTCAACACGCCGCAACCATGTCCGCCGCAAGAACAGTACGTCGGTCGCGTTCCCCTCTCTCCCATCGCTCCTCTTCACCATCCCACTTGTAACCATCTACTGCTCTGCCCTCAATCTCCCGTCCCCTCAAAACCTCTTCCATCTATCTGCACGCCCTTATTCCCCCTTCTTGAATTGATTTTCGTTCTACAAAGACTAACATGCCCCACCTCCCCAAGCTCCCCGTTAAACACTTCCAATCGCTCCTCACCCGGTGGCCTGTCGACTCCCTGCGGCCGGACTGCCAGCTGCAGAACGTGCTGGCGAAGCGGCTGGGGACGGGCAAGCTTGCGCCAACGGTGCCGAAGACGTTTAAGAGCCAGGAGAACGCGGATTTGGTGCAGGTGAATGCTATGTATGTGTTGGTTGAGGGGCGTTTCGGGCATGTGGTATGTTACATCCCATGTTGTTTCCGTTTTCACTACCCGGGTGGTTTCGGGGCAGGGTTGGAGGGAAAGGGGAAGATGTTGTAGAGGTGAGGAAACGCTAGTTGTACAGGCGAGAGTGTGGTTAACCAGAAGGGTGTTGTGAAGAGCGTGCAGAGAGGATTGATAAGTGTGTTCAGAAGAGAGAAGAGATGCTAACATGAAATAGTTCCGTCCACGACCGGACTTACTCGAGCCCAAGAGCAACCCGACTTACTACAAAGACGTGTTAAAAGAGATTGAGGAGGCACCGCACCGGACGTGGTGGCAGCGGATCGCGAAGAGGATTACGGGTATGATTCGGCTGCAGTGAGGGACAAGGGAGAGGAACATGTGCATTAAGTGTACTATAAGTGTACCACGGCATTAGGATTTTGTCGCTATTTTGTAGTGCAGTCTGCTCTTCCTCCTTGTTAATCGCGCCACTTTTTAGCTCTTATCAGCTGCAGTGGCTCGGCTGTCCTGACATTATATGGTCAGCTTCAAGCCAAGGTTTCCTACATTGATGAACGGCAGCTATGGAGCCCGACGCTCACTCGAGTCGGAAGATCAAGTGTCCAGGCATTGCAGCGTTGACAGTCTATTCCAAAACCAAATCCCTCTAGGATTACCAAGGCTTCCTTCTATCAACATCACGGCATATCTGCAACAGGGTATCCCCTTCTTCTCTCACTTTAGCCTTTTCACATCCCTATAATCTCCCCTCATAGATATTTCCTCTCCGGATCCAGCCTATTCATCAACTCCATACTCTTCTCATACATGGTAAACACAATCCCCCCGCTCATGATCAGTCTCGCCAACCTCGGCAGTGCACCCGACCAAAAAGTGAGCACACCCTCCTGCCGAAGAATAATCCCCGCACACCGGAACGAATTCCCGTACAACGCCCGCGCATTTGGATCTTGCATCCTCGTCTTGATCGTATCCAGCGGCTGCGTCACATACACCGTGATCAGCCCAGCCAGGCCGCCAATCAGGAACGTGCTCACCGCGCCGAGCTTCTCGCCCGGCGCGACATAGCCTTCAGCGAGTTGTTTCAGACCGGTGTAGGCGCCAAAACGAGTTGCGCTGTTGGCAGACTGGCGCATGGTTGTGGGCACGAAGCCCTGGAAGAAGCCGCGGATGCCGCGCTCGCGCGCGATGATGGGGACTGCATGCAGGAAGCCGCGCATCCGGGGGTTGGGGGATTTGCGGTCGTCGATGCTGCGCAGCAACAGTTAGCCTTAGGATGCGGGAGGGGAGAGGAGCGCTTGGGAAAAGACTTGGTAAAGGGAGTGGGGAGGAGCATACAGCGTAGTCTTGATACTCTCCGTCGGCGTCACCGCCAACAATGACTCGGTCACACCAGCACCAAAGCCAGCGAGCACATTACGCGGGCCGGAGACCTTACCGTTCTCGTCGGCTAGCAATTTCTTATACTGATCAAAAGCGACAAAGCCTGTTCCCCCGTCAGCATCTCTCCATTGAGCGTTTAGTTGTGCAAGATACGTACGAATACCCGCCTTCGCCGAATTTCCAATAATCAGCGTCGTGCACCCCGCATACCACTGCCGACCGAACGGTGGCCACGGCAGCTTTTGGCCTTCGGCGAGCCGCCGGTTGAGCTGGATGCGAGTTTTGGCGACTGGGGAGGTCAGCGTCGTCGAAGGAGTCCGGGGAGTCAGAGAGAAGACGTACACTCGGCGGGGTAGGTGATGGCTGCCAATTGTTAGCTATTCAAATTGAGTAGCAGTAGTACGAAGGGGACATACCAATCTCAACAGCGCCCGCCGTCGACCCAGCGATGATACTCCTCAGCGGACTGGGCGAAGGGCCTTTCTTGTCGTCCTTACCCTGCGACGCCATGGCTGGGCTGTTTCCCTTCTCTTAGTCGTGTAATCCTCTTCTTGTGTTTAATACGACAGCCCGCCTCGACGCCGCGTCTGGGTCTGTTGCCGCTAGATGGTTGTTAGACGGTTGAGTGAATCGCAGTCGCACTCGCGCAGCCGAATCGGCGCCGGAGACATTGAGGGACCCGCCCAAACTTTTTGGCCGCTTCCCCGGACGCCAAGACAATTTCGCCGATTGCGGGGCCAAAGATACAGATGCCAAGGAAGGGTTTGGAGGTGAAACGCCGAAGGGATTTCACATGTGATGATGTCATAGTCTAGAATTGCGCTCGAAGGACCACAAGAGACTGCACTTCAGCGATGTTATTTTTGTGTTCATAGATGATGTAAGAAGATGGGATATAAATGAAGAAAATTCTATTTTTGCTCCTGGAAATTCCAGAGCAAAGATCCAATGGTTTTGTACCTCTCAGCCACTGCTTCGATACAACGATTTCAAAGGCTTTCTAAGATACAGTGATATTATGCCCATATGGGAACTGACCACCCCGATACAAAGAAGTCCCTTCACTCTTTCGACTTCACTCGTTTCACGAGAATCCTAATCATGACCTACCATAAACAATTTTGTTACCATGATCAGTAATTTGAAGAGCTTCATTTAGCTATATTTTAATGTAACCATCATCTACAGTGATATTGTGTGCTCAAACCCCTGACAGAGCGAATCAATGATCGCTTGCTGTTATCCGTCAGAAGTCACTAGGTCGCTGTCCAAGAAATCATCCCACTCCCTCCCACATCCACATTCCCCAGTCGCTTCTTCTTGATAGTTCCTAATAATTCAACCCTCCATTGAACATCCCATATCATTTTAAGGCTTTTTTTACATTCACTTCATCAGGGTTTGCTAACAACGAAGCCATGTCCCCTCACTCTGCAGCCAACTAAGACTATGAGATCAACATCCATCAGAAGGATTTCGTGACCCTCAAAAATTCCTCCCCCAGATAATCTAAAAATACCCCCTCCCTCTCTTTCCGAAGAGTGGAAAGCTCTCCTTACCCTCCACTCACATACGTCTTCACACACAAACAAGACGCCCAAGACACATACAAAACCAAGCCAATGTGCAAACACGATTCAAAACCATGTCGCCTAGTAACCATTGCGGCCCATCTAAGCTGGATATTGAGTACGAGGAGAACCTTCATCCTGGCCCCAGTCCTGCCCCCTCTGACAATGGCGGTACGTCCTCTGGCAAATCACATGTAGAGAACTCTTGGGAACCCATCAGCTCTCCTTTGGCATCATTGTGGAGAGCGGCAAGATGCACTCTACAAGAGGAATGCAGCATGACTAGGTAATACTTGACGATAAATGCATTGAAGTAGTTAATCTGAGAATTGAAAGGGCACCGAGCTAGCTTGGGGAGGACGTTGATTCTTTGGACATGACCATCAGGTGTGAAGTGCGAAACATGCTTTATTCATTCATTTGGTGGGATGTTTCATCAATTGAGCAACGTCTTGAGTTCATTGCAGTCATCAAGCACAAATTTAGTAGCCTGACAGGCTTCTGTGACAATTATTTCAGTTTGTGCTCCACTACGCCGTCCTTGCGGCGGTTGAGAGAACTTCCGGATCACGGGTTGCCTGCATAATGTTGCCTATTGTTTCCATATAGACTCTTTGTAATACCAGAATACTTAAATGGTTGGACCCCGACAATTCCATGACTTATGAGATGAACACTGCGCCTGCCTGCATATATCCTCCTGTCTGTCAAAATTCCGCATAAGCACTGGTCATCAGGTTAAGTTTGTCTGTTGGTCTATATTTGCGTAACGTGATTTGTTCGTAGCACTGTTATACGCTCAAGTTTCATTTTCTCCGTTACTGTTGCCGACACGAGTTACGTCCGTTCGGGATCCAACATCACATCACGCCCCTGGTATTCTGTTCGCCACTGTTCCAGCTTCTCAGAGTGTCTCCCAATGGAACAATGCCCACAAATATTTGTCCCGTGTCCCAAAATCTCACAGACTTTTATAGATTCACACGTATTCTGATTGAATGGTTGTCGTACTCTTGTAGATGAGTTCATCCTATGCACTCAAGACCAATACATGCATGAAACGTGGAACATCATCTAAGTGCTCCATTGAAGAGCCAAGTGCTAGATACCCTCTCGAAACATGCCACTATGTTGTTCAATTGTTTTTTATTATTATTTTCAATTTGTCTGGTTCCAAAGAGAACAGTATGAAATGAGCATCGTGCCACCTCAAACAGCATACGACGTTAACTGTCCTCCTGCAAACGATGTTAAGAAAAAGCCGAATACACACTGAAGCCCCTTAAGACCATAAGTGCAGCCTTTTAGAAATCTTTAGATAACCTCCCTCCTTTCCCCAGCCAGGAAGTCACCTCACCACCAAGCACTCACAACACCCATACACCTCCACAGCCAACTATATAACCAAGCGCATTTCCAACAACTACAAAGATTTCTCCCCTTGAAAAATGTGGCATGACCAAGGCGGACGTTGAGGAGAATAGCACCCTTACCACTGGGGGCGGTGACAGCCAGGGCGGTCAGGGCCAGGGTAGTAACTCTGGTGTCGTCGGTGTCGGCAATTAAAGGCCAACAAGTTCCTCACTGCCCACAAGTTGACAGGATTGCGCGCAAGGGGATCAAAGCTGAGGTTGGGAACATAACTTGAAAGCGACCGGTGCCTATCCAGCTAGAAAAGTTTACAGAAGAGTTCAAGTGTGAAGCAAGAAACAACGACAACTTTGAGTCAGTCATGAAAAAAAACGGATCTTATCTGTCAACTCTTGATTGAGCAATTGACCAGGCTATGTTGAGTTCTGGTACTTTAAAGGTTGACTGTGTTTGTGCTATGTGGGATCCATAATGTAAAGCCTAAGTGAGACAGTTCTCCCCTGGTCTAAGCATGTATGCCCTCTCGGATATCAAAGTGGTCGATCTCATCAACAAAGGCAATGCCTGCTAGATGGATTTGGATTAGATGTATCTTGGCGAAGGAAATTGGACTTATCATCGTATCCAAAATGTGGTGATGGGCGTCAAGGGGATATGGCACGTGTATATAAACGCATCGGCCTCATCTATCAAAATCTGGCTGTTACCACCGGCAAACGTTGCGCGACATCCCCTGCGACTGAAGTAAAACAGAATCAAAAAATTTTCAATGTTCCCAGCTGTCCCAGTAGCTGTTATACGCTCATTGACTAAGCATCGGAAAGTTGAGATGAGATAAAAGAGGAATCTTTAGCCACAAAGTCAACTCAAGAGGTAACTGGCTAGCGGGTCTCAGCGGGTCTCAGCGGAACTCTTAGTAAGAAAACTTCCCACGATCGTTCCGACTCCATACGCCTGTTTTTAAACCCCCTACACCACTTGAGTCAGTGCCATTTCTCCTTCAAACCTAAACTAAATACTGGGCTCTTTCCACCTCATTTTCAAAATCCCAACACAAGCATATAGGCTGCCTCTTCATCCACCAGCACAACGGGAGTTATTTTCCTGTCTGTGAGAGCTGACCAGCTCAATCCTGAAACAAAAGAAAAAGAAATATCTGTCAATATTGCCTACTGCCGCTACTGATCGAGTGATACTGTTCGCTCAATGGGCAAGAACACCATACAAACCATCTATGAGAGACATCAACACTAAGAGATCACTTCAATAGCCAGAGAGTCATCGTATTCTGGGGTCATGACGATGCATTGGCTACCGAGACATCTAACTGCAAAAATCCTAACTCCGTGGGTATCATCACCATGTCTGCCTGCTATTGTAGCAGAGAATGAACCCATCTTATCAACGCCCCGATCCATCCTGAACACAGTGTCTTGTCCATCCTTAACACCACGAATCAACTTTGACGTTAACCTTGCTCAAACTCCATAAAGCACTCGCGACCTTACCTCATACTCACTCCCCATTCCTCTTCCTTTCCACTCCCTTTTTTCCCCCTTCAGAATCCTGCTTCCCTCCCAGGTCCTGCATCACCATCCCGAACGTCGGCACCACGCCAAACATATGCTCCAGCACCCGTTTCGCTTGCAAATTCGCCCCAAACCCGTGTGCCTTCTCCTCACACCACCTTCTCAGCACCGCATTACTCTGTGGCCCTTGGACACCCTCATATCCCCTGCAAACCAACACCCCCCACCGCACCGTCCCATCCCACATGGTCTCGCGATGAACAAGATAATTCCACTTCTCCAATCCGAACGGCAAAACCCCGAACGCGGACTTGACCCCTTCGAAAAATTGCGTCGTGCCGTTGTCGTTGGGAAGCGCGGCCACCCCGCCAGTGGGCCAATCTCGCCGGAGGAGGACGACCCCGTACACAGCGTGGTCCCATTCTGTAGCAAACGCGTCTAAACCGGCGGTGGCGCCCCCAACGGCAAAGTGCATCAGTGCAGACTTTGCCAGCATCTCGCCTGACATAACCTGCGGGCTCTGGGTGAGCGCATGGATCGGCAGGCGGGAGACTGCGAAAACTGCGCGCGGGTAGAGCTGGCCGATGGACGCGAGGAAGCGCAGGGGGACCTGGACGGCGCGATGAATTGGTTCCGGGCGGAAGGGGGGCAGGTCGTGGACGCGCCAGGGGGCGAAGGGGAGTGCAGGGTCTGTTGGGAAGGGGGGGATGAGGCCGGAATAGAAGTCTTTGAGAGAAAGAGATTGGTGGGGGGATGGATGGGGGTTGTTGCGGATCCCTGGAGATAAGGTGTTAGCAAAGTTTATCCCTGAGGAGAGGATGGGGCGCGAAAAACGTGTGGCAAGTGAAGAGCTGACGCCGGACAGGAGCGGATAAAGCGAGAGCAGAACAAGCAATGGACGATCTGCGAAGCATATGGGTGAATAAACAACAAATACCACTTACAAAAAGCCGAAATAGGATTCGCCTCCCAATCATACATCTTATCTTCCGGAATGTTTATCTGGTGCGGGACAGCAGCAGCATTTGACATTTCCAAACTGCTGTTGCTATTGGCGTCATCGTTAATGTCACCATAGTCGACAGCCTTGCCCTTGCCTTTATCAATCTTGATGTTGTTATTCATTTCATTCACTTCATCTGCCTCATCATCACCACTCTCCATCTTCTCATTGTTGTGATCACTGTTATTATCATCTTCATCAGTGGCAGGAGTGGCCAAGGTTGACGGACCGGCGGGCGAGCCAGCGGCCGAGGAGCCAAATGTAGCGCCTGAACCGAGACCAAGACGACTAACAGCCGAATGGTCGGGGGCAGAAGACAAAACCATAGCTCTAGAACTGATACCACAAGTGGCGGCAGTTGCAGAGCCAAGGCCTGCAGCAGATGAAATAGCTGCAAAACCTGTGGTTGCAGAACCAGGGAAAGTACCGGAAGCAGTGAAATCGAAACTGAGACTTGCTGGAGGAGAAGACGCGAAACCTGTGAGAGAACTTCCTACGGTAGCAGCAGCGGAACCAGAAAGAGTGGAAGCAGGTGAGAACAAAGGGCCAGCCAAGGCGGAGGATGAGGAAAAGAACGAAGAGCCCAAGACGAAAAGATTCTCGTTCTTGTTCTTGGTGGTGTGATGTGAAGGCTGAAAAAGAATTAGTGCTTTGTCTAACACAGAAATGAATGCATTTGAATGATGTGAATAAGAATAGACAAAACAAGACAAGCCATGTTTTTCGCCTATACTGAACAGATGGGTCATCACAAGGCATGAGACAAGCTGTAAATCAAGAAACAAACTCACCCCAACGAACGGATCCGGTGATGAAAATCTCAAGCCACTCGAGACAACCGGACTAGACGCGGACGTGGCATTCATGACGCCATTCCCATTGATGCCCACGTTGGCAGCCAAACCAGACGTAAAAGAACTTGAACAAGAAATCGGATCTAAAGGAGTTGCCGGAGCCGCATCACGGCCTCGCGGAGAAGGAGCGAGAACACGATTAGCAGGCGATGATTGAGAAGCTGGACGTGAAGGCAGCCCACGAATAACCGAGGGCCCAGTGGCAGCCGAACGCAACGCAGCGGGCACAATGCGAGCAGGCGATAACAGCAAACCCCGGTCTTGACTGTGGGTAGGTGCAGCAGTCATACCATTCGAGGGCCCAACAGCAGAACGATGGGTGGGGGTGGCAGTGGAGAGCACAGCATCAGCCATTTGCTCGAGGGTCGGGTCGACGGGTACGGTGTTGCCCGCGTTGGTGGCGGGTGCAGGCTGAGATTGGGTAGTGCCATTGCCAGCACTGGCAGCGGGGACGGACAGGCCCAGGGCGGCGTTGAAGCAGATTGACTGAGAGGGATCGTTGGGAGGGCCGGAGGAAGGGGGTGAGGAATCGTTCATTTTGATCCTTTTGTTGGTAAAAAGGAAAAGAGGAAAGCGAATGGTGAGAAGAGAAAAGAAGGCAAGGAATGAGTGAAATAAAAGAAAGAAGCAAGAAAGGACAGAAAAAAACAAAGAAGCAGAGGGAGTGACTAAAGAGAAGCAAAAAACCGCCCTTCACAAGCTCCAACGGTCTAGCTTCCAATGATCGGCCTCTTCTGTTAAGGAAATAACAAAAGTTTAAGGAAATGCTCCGCACTCGGACGACTGGTTAGATTTATATACCTCTCGACCCTATAATGGAATCAACGCTTGCTGGAAAAGTGGATTTTGACACAGGATGCACGACACGTGCGTCTGTTCGCATTAACAATATAGGATGCAAGGGTCTCGACGCGCCGATATGCAATCAAGGTGTGAGAGTGAGGGTCAAAGAATGTGACAGGCGATTTGAATGAGGAAGGATATTCTGGCATATTCCGCAAGGTGAATGGCATATTTTCATTGGTTGGGCTTGGTGAAGTGAGGAGCGTGGTAATCAATAAGGCTATTGTGGGCAAGGATCTTTATTGACCTTCGAACAAGGGTGTTGAGCCGCCGGGTACGGTACCCGCTAGACCTCACCTGTATGATAAGGAGATGATTGGGTGCCGAGAGGGTTATGACTCTGTTATTGACTTGAAACCCAGGCATCATGCTTTTCTCTTTGAATAACGTGGCTTCTGAGAGCAGACTATGAGTTCCCATCTCGATTCCATGTCAAGGAGTCCAGTCTTTGAGACAATAAGCGGGGTGATCAATTGGCTGTTCTTAGTAACCTGTTGAATGTGATTGTCACATTGTCAATAGAAAAGTTTCGTAATTAACCTTTTTCAGCACACTTTAATAGATAGGTGAAGTTTTATTCTCGGCTACTGTGATCTGTTGCTCCAACAGGCATATACACCCCCATATCAGTGCTTCTGACACCCCTAACACCAGACACTTAGAGCAGGAACCATCTATCGAACATACGCGCTATCTCTAAACAACATGAGTTATATCAACAGATGCTACAGTACCGACAGAATGGCCCGTCGACTTGTGCCGTCCGCAACAAATTGTGTGTTGTTTCAGGGACACATGCAACAGGGACAATGCCGAGGATGTTATCAGGGAGTGGTCACAGTAGATATCAAAATTGGGTAGTCTGGGGGTTGTTAAGTTCCCGGTATCTTCGGCTAAACTTACAACAGCTGAGATGTCGACTTTACGACATGCATCATTTTCAACAAACTGCATTGCTCAGACTGAGGAACGTGGGCTGCCCTGGTGCTAGCTGTGGGCAGATCGATTGCCTAAGCTGAACGGAGATGCAGATAACAGGAGATATCCGACGGTGTGAAGTGGTAAACACGTAAAAACAAGTCCCGTAATTTTGCTTTGGACTATTGTAGACAGCCTACGTCTCAATGGAGACACTGGTGGCGAATGATGGTTGCTTCAATAGTGCATCGTACATGGTGACGGTTGATGATGGGCCTTCTGACACCATGACTACGAACATATTTTATGAGCTTTCAACTTGGGAGACCATATCCAAAAAAAAGGCTCACTAAAGGTGCATTCCGTTCACAGCCAAGGCTCCTTCAGTGGCCTGCACAAGGGAGCTGTTGGTCGTGATGTTTTGCTGGTGTGAGAGTGTCTTTGTGATGTGGAAATATCAGGTGCCCTGCATAACTGGATGTCAAGAATTTGTGAGAAAGACGGACCATTAGCACTCAGCCAAATGCGTCGAATACAAGCTTCCTTCTGCCAGGCGGCAGTGCTATCATGACTTGTTATCTCTTCCTCGTCCCTGAGCTATTCTGACTATTAAACTTTGCATTAGCAAAGTGGGCTGTCTTGAAATCCTTCCCAGTTGAGTCTTAACTAATATAAGAGCTGACTTCGCTGTTGAGTGATGCACCAACGGTCGGAAAAATCTGTGCAGGTGCAATAGAAACAATTATACCCACTAGCAAAAATTCAACTTGCTGAGCAGGAATCATTCCATCGAGTCAGTTGAGTGGGTGAGCCCACATGCTAACGATGACACAAGCCGACTGACGGCTCAAAATCAAGGTTGCTTAGCTGAAGGCCCAACTACCAAGTTTACTTAGTTATGATTTACGGATATCAAAGTGATTATTCAAGACCCGAAGGGAGAAGACGCATATGGAAGGCAACAGGGACACACAAAATACGAACTCGAAAGCAAGGCCCAAACAACTAAACGTTCGGTCTATGTGCATACTTACGCTGTGCACCACTGGAGACTTGACCCTTAGGCTGTAGTACCGGGAACATACTTGCAGAAACTGTATACTAAAACTGTATTGTTATATCACGGATTGATACTGCCAATGGCTAGATGCAATGCCATGTCGGCAAGCTAACTGTTGTAGCTCAGAAGATCTATCCATGATGCAAGTGCATATAAGTGCGGACCACTGTACACTCTACTCACCCGTGTCACTTTAGCAAAAAACAGGAGACGTATCTCTGGCTGTGATGAAAATCGGTATGATGGATGTAAGGGCGCTCATGTTGTTTCAACGCTCAGTGGCTTTTGCTTGGTCTCAGACAATACGGACGACATGTTTGAATGTATAAATGCGAAGAAAGGACTGGAGCAGGGAAGTTAAAATGCGGGCCGATACTGCAACTTATCGAAAGTTCTTTGAAGGAAACGGGCATCTGATGGATGTGTAATGTTGGTAGACAGAGAGACGAACGTTGAGAATTGGTTTGTGGCTGGAACAGGTTCTGAACAGGAGTAACTAACTGCAACCTTTCCAGTATTAGTAGAGACAGAGTCATTCTGAATTTCTATCTTACGGGGGCTTCAACGTGGGAAACTCACCGACTGGACGATTTTACGAGGAGGTCGCATGACAAGAGAAAATTGGGCGAAGGAGGCAAAGACGCCAGCAACCAGGTAAGGCCAACTGCTTGTCCAAAGCTGGGGCCTTAGGCCACAGGCAGCAACGGAGCATAGGTCATGGGCCCTGGCACACGCAAATAGGCAGTTTCGGATGGAATTGAAAATAAAAAAAAATGCAAAAAGATGATTCGATCTGGAACAAACAACCGGCTCTGATATGTGGTTACTACCGTATAAAAAAGAGGGTATACCGATAGAATCGCTTGGCGGGCGACACTCCGCCTCTTTAACGTCTTGACGATTGCTACCGGAACCGCGATGTATGTACCCCAAGTCCTTAACTCCCCTGTCTTGGGACCATAAGACTCAGGGCACAGCCCTCTATGCCTGCCAACACGTCAACCACGGTCTAGTTGGAGAGGCCTGAGGCTATATGTCTTGTCCGTCACATAGTTTGCTTCTCTCGAGAGAGAATTGGCAGTAGAGGAAGATACGATGGTCAAGCTTCCTCCTGTCTTTACTCCATTCCATGGAATCTATCTTTCCAATTACGACACAGATGACTCTACGTAGATCGGAATGAGACTAGGGACAACGGAGAGGAATGCAAGGTCTTGTGTATGAAGGAAGTATCTGACGGTGGTCGCTGCCCACAGTACCTAGCAAGTTTGCCTGTTGCTGTCAGGCAGATCGGGTGCTGACTGCGTCCATGGAGTTAAGACCAATGAGATGGAAGTGAAAAGGATCATCTTGAGAAGGAAAAGTTGTTCCATGAGCCAACCACCAGGCCCGACCCAGGAAGATCGAACCAGAGCCTCCAAGATTATCTCCATGAGACCATGCTACTTAGATGTACAACTTCTGCCCTTACACCACCTGGGTTGGTGACAAGTAGGCACACTTGAAAAGGCTGCTGCCCTTTACACCACCCGTGCTGCTGCGACATTGGCCGGGGACAGTTGCAGAGTATCCAAATGATGCAGGTGACAACTTTACTGAACATGGGCAATATTGATATCGACTCTGCCCGCCCGCTTTTTGCAACCTCCATGATAGGACAATGCAGTAGATAAAATTGAAACTTCTCATTATTTCCTTTCACTTCCAGGCTTGGACCATCTCCCTCAAGCTCCTCGTTGTTCAGATCTTGAAACCTGACGACTTCTACTGTTGATCGGAACTTTTGTTTCAATGGTCCCCCTATCCTTGTCAACCAGAAGTGAGTGATGTCATAACCCCTGACCCTGGAGGAGGCGATCGCGGCTGATGCAACTGGAGCTTTAGCACGTACAAGACCCTCTTATTCAGTACCTTCAGAGGGGATTTACCTGCTCCAAAGTTCCTCATCGAACCCTGACGACGAACTGGTTTAAAGACGAAGGCCATTGAGGATGTTCAATCTTGTCACCTCCTCTCCTATGTTCATTGGACAGCAGCGTGCCAGCCACTCACCGCCGACAAATGTATGTAGCACGAACCCCCTGCATATGCATAGAACTGGTTCAGAAAAAACCCTACGAATGACTGAAGCCCTGGAAAGATGACACGTTCTCCTGCAAGTCCTCAGCTGGCCACCTTACAGCAGGACCCACCGAAAGCAGATGCAACTCCCCTGCGGCTGGCAATAAACAACGTAACAAACACCTCGTCTCCGGTCTCTCGCGCTCGACTACTCTATCTTTCAACGCCAATGCTATTGTTCTAGCGCCACAGACATTGCTGTCATGTCAGCACCAATCCCAAACCTTGAACAGCTTCCCCTGGGAAGTCCCCTACCCCCAGGCGATTCTCACGTAAACCCTTCCCCTCTCTATCCCATCTACCACAGTACACAGCAGGATTAACCTCCTCAGGCTATAAGCGTCCAACTCCCAACATGGGCCGACACCATCGGCTGGGCACAGCGCGATCCCCGCGTGCTGGATGCCATGAAGACGGGATACCCTCGATTCTTTATCCCTCGGTCCGTGAACACACTCTGCGAGAGGTTGCTGGGCATGCTTGAGCCTGAGCCAACCGAGAACCTGAAGACAAGAATGGCGCTGGCGTGGGCCAGTTTGAGGCATGCTTTGTATTGTGTGCGATTTCTGCGCAACAACCATACTGCGTTGGGGCATGAGTCGGGGGTGGTTAGGCTTTGGAGGGTGTCGTGGACTGGGGGTGGACGGTTAGTCGGAGACGAGAATAAGGACCTCGAGGCGCTATGCAACGATCCAGAACCGTCAGAAGCGAATTACATTGGTGAGAAAGACATCTACCTCATGACATTCCCAGAAAAAGAGATGTTTGCTCTGGGCAAGGCGGCATGGCAGCACTCTGGTTTTGGCATCTCCAGTCGGAGAGCTCAGTACTGGCTTGATCATGCGCCTTTCCTTACCCAACAGCCGAAGATGTCGCTCCCTTCAGCAAAAGAGATCGATCTCCGAGTCACTCACGCCCGTACCGTGATCAGACGCCGCATCGCCGCAGCACACTCAACACCCTCCCTCTCCGTCTCCGAATACGATGTCTACCTCTTCCCCACGGGGATGACATCCATCGCCGAAGCCTCTCTTGCAGCGCTTTCCCTAACCTCTAACTCCTCCACCTACAAAGGAGTCGCCATTTACGGGTAAGCCCCATTCCCCTTCGCCTCTCAATCCCAACACTGACTGTGGCGCAGATTCCCCTACGTAGACACCTACAAACTCCTCTCCGTCTTTTTCTCCCACCCGACAATCCTTTACAAACCCTCCCCTTCAGACCTTTCCTCCTTACTCGCAACCGCCTCCTCGTCAACACCCTTCCGCATGATGGTTACCGAGTTCCCTGGCAACCCTCTACTCCAATCCCCTCCATTAAGGGAACTCTATTCCGCCGCAAGGAAGGCGGGATTTCCGGTTATCGTGGATGACACTGTGGGGACGTCCGCAAACTTGGCAGTGTTATCGGCATGCGATGTGGTATGCACGAGCCTGACGAAGATGTTTTCCGGGGGGTGTAATGTTATGGGTGGGGCGGTGGTTATTTCTCAGCAGTCAGCTTTCCATACTAGGCTCAAAGCCCGATTGGAAAAGGTGAAAGGGGAAGGGGACAGTGCCTGGTTCTGGCAGGACGTTTTGCAAATGGAAGAAAATAGTCGGGACTTTGTGGGAAGAGTGAAGAAAGCTGGGGAGAACGCCGCGAGGATGGTGAGATTGTTGAGGAACTATCAGCGGTCGGAAACGAATCTGGAGGGGATTGTCGAGGAGGTGTATTACCCCTGGGGTTCGGGAACGCAGCACTATTATGACGAGTTCCTCAGACCTCTCACGGCGAACGGTACCTTAACCGCCGCAAACTCGGACAGCAAGCTCCCCGACAAGGACGGGGACAGCTCTCGTGACTCCAAAGTCGACACCGAACTCACCAGCAGGAACGGCTACTCTCACGGGTCAAGCTTAAACTCGCTCACCGACTCTACGGAGCACGTCCCCTCAGGCTACGGCTTCCTCCTCTCCTTCCGCCTTTCCACCCCCATCCTCGCCCGCGCGTTCTACGACGCCCTGTCCGTCGCCAAAGGCCCCAGCTTGGGGACCAACTTTACGCTATGTTGTGCTTACACCCTGCTGGCACACTATAAAGAGCTAGAGTGGGCGGCGGGGTATGGGGTGGTAGAAGATCTGGTGAGGGTTAGTGTCGGGGTTGAGGAGTGGGATTGGCTTAAGGAAAGAGTAAGCAGGGCGTTGGAAACAGCGAAGACGATGGCCGGGAAGGATGAGGATGGGGCAAAGAGGGAGTAAATATAGTCGGGCTGATGGGGAACAGACACCTGAGGCGGTTAGTAGACGGGTATAATATACACGGTGTGGATTGGGAGTTTTTTTGGGGGGGGGGGGAAAGCATGGAGCGAGGTTAATTTCGTGGACTTTCAGCTTTTCGAGAAGCCATTCCGCCGATTCTTCGATGTCTTTCTGCTCCTTGTCTCGCCTGACATTACGAGGTTGATTACGTGACATTGCTTAGCCAGACTGACGTTCAAGCTTTCACGAAAACAAATGTCGGAGTCGATGGCTGGGTATCTTGTTACCGCTTCCCCCCCCCCCTTTCCCCCAAAAATAAAACAATAAAACAGCTTGCTCCAGCGATTTATTGACTGGTCGTTTAAGCCTTTGTTTATTTACCAAGTGCCGTTGCCACAGCATCCAGGGGTACATTAGCTCCGACTGGAGTCTTGGCATCAGTCTGATAAAGTGACACTACAAGAAAAAAAGAAGGGCTTAGTGATCTGGGTATCAACATCGCAAAGATCAAACGAGGACAAATTGTCTACAGATAGAGACACAGTTGCAACATCAAGAGACATCACATTAGCAAAAAAAGCGACTCTATACCTCAGGAAACGATCTATCCCCCTGTCCAGTAATGGGTCCCTCCAGCATAACTTATGCCTTCATCAGGACCCAGGTAGGTGTAGGCCAAGTTCAGCAAAGTAAAGTATGAACTGGAAACAATTGAAAACAAGTAAAAAAAAAAAGGAAAAAGAAAAACAAAAACAACAGAACATGACGCTCTACATGATGACCGTAGTATGTATATATGTGGATGTGTGTGTGACCATTGGTTGAATGTATCACACCGCCCTCTCCTGTCCTCTCCTGTATCCCTTGTACCGTCCCCCTCCTCTATCTGTTATTGCGATGATGATGTGGGATGACACCATGACCGATCGTAATGGTGTCGTTTGCAAATTGATGTGGTGACCATCCAGCATGTGCCTGGCTCGGACCGACCGACCGACTGACTAGAACTTTATATAGTAACCACTCCAAGCACTCAACTCCTCTCAAATCTTACTCTTCACCCTCTCATGCCGGTGAAAACTGCCCTGATCGAGTGCAGCCGAGCTCCCACCACCACGACCAGCTAGTCACTCGTCCTTAGGAGTCTCAAGCTTCTCGGCCTCGTGCTCCTTGGGCGGCAGCCCCGCTAAAGAAGCCACAATCTCAATCACATCCTCCGGCTCCGGTAAATGCCACCTCGCCAACGTAACCTTCGTACTGGCACCAACAGTCACCGCAAAACAGCTCTCTTCCTCCAACTCCCCTGCGCCACTACCCCCTTCCTGCGGCGGCACACACAGTCCGTTCAACGCCCGGAACATATCCTCGTCGGTGAAGTCATCGCCCATGCACAACACAAACCCGACTTTCCCACCGTCTTCAGGAGATGAGTTGTAAGTGAGGACTAAACGTTTGGCGATCTCACCCTTGTTGATAAACGTCGGGCGCACTTCAAGGTTCGCCTTGCCGGTCATGACCTCGACATCCCACTTGCGGGCGACAGTGGACTCGAGTTCTTTGTGGCATTCGCGGGACATGTGGAGGCCGAGTTCGGGATCAGCCAGGCGGTAGTGCCAGGTAAGGGCGCAGCGTTTTTGTTCGATGAAGGAGCCTTTCACGTTAACAGTCAGTACACTATTATCTTCGAGAAGGGCGGTGAAGGAGGGAGGAAGGGGGAGAGGGGGAGAGGGGGGAGAAGAAGGGAATATTTTTTTGGGGGGAAAGGGGGCGAGGGGAGAGAGGGGGAAATGGGAAAGTTTGTAAGAAAAAGTAGGGAGAGAGTGTGTAAACGAAAACGTACCCGGAACCTTGTCAGTGTAGCGTTGGAACACCTCCAATACCTCCTTCTGCCAACCCATATCAAACCTCGCGGCCAAATTTTCCCACTCCTTCTGCCCCGGCTCCCGCACAAAGCTCCCATGCTCCGCACTAAACCCTAGCCCCTCAATATGCCCCAAATGCTGCATCAAAAAATTCTGATCGCGTCCTGAAATAATCCACACCTTATTCCTGGAATCCCTGCTGAGCTGGGTCAAGGCCTCGATCACCCGTTTACTCGGCACCGCGGCACTCGGCTCCCTCACAATCGGCGTCAAGGTCCCGTCGTAATCAAACATGAACAACCTCTTCCCCGCCGCTTCATATTTCCTCCTCAAAACCTCCTTATCAAGCAATGGCGTCGAGGTCACACACCTCCGACTCGCCAGCACAGTCACCAACCTCCTCAAGAACCCCGCAATCCAATACTGCACATTCCGACTGGTCACATGCGCCAGCAAGCTCTCCTGCATGGCGCGCCTCTGCTCCATGGGCATGGTCAGTGCAAAGTTGATCTGGTCAGCCACACCGGTCAAGTCCCACGGATTGATATGGATTGCGTCCTTGAGACTGCCCGCGGTGCCCGAGAACTCGGATAATATCAGGGGACCGGCAGACTCCCGCTGGCAGATGACGTATTCGAGACTGGTAGTGTTCATACCGTCGCGGACGGAGGTGATCAGGCCGATGTCGGCGGCCCTCAAGAGGGCGAGGTACTCGTCTTGGGAGATGTACTGCGGGTAGTGCAGGACGGGGGTGAAGCCAATGGAGCCGTAGGTGCCGTTGATCTTGGACACGAGCTCGTTGACCCGGGAGGAGATCTTATTCTCGGGGTCTTCCTTCTCTTCCTCGATGTTGGTCGGCGACGTGACCTGGATCAGCACGACCTTATCGCGCCACTCGGGATACAACTCCAGGAACCGCTCAAACGCCATGAGCTTCTGCGCGACGCCGCGCACGCTGTCGAGACGGTCGCGTCCCACGATCAACTTCTTCCCTGCATACAGCCGCTTGAGCGCCTCATACTTCTGCGAGACACTCTCCGACCAGGCCAGACGCGCGACCTTGGCCGCATCGATCCCGATGGGGAACACGCCCACCTCCACGCGCGAACCATTGGCATCCACGCCCGTGCTATCCGAAGGATAGCCCAGAATGCGCGTGCAGCACGAGACGAAGTGCCTCGAGTAGCTATAGCTCTGGAACCCGACCAAGTTCGCGCCCAGCACCCCCTCCAGCACGGCCTTCCTCCTCGGCAAACACCGGAAAAACTCCGACGACGGGAAGGGAGAGTGCAGGAAAAAGGCGATATACATGTGCGGGGCGCGCTGCCTCAACATGCCGGGCAACAACATCAGATTGTAGTCATGCACAATGACGATATCCCCCGGCTTGTACACCTCGAGGATCTTATTCGCGAATCGGAGGTTCATCCGCATATAATCGGTCCACTGGACCTTTTCGGCGCGGCCGTCGTTCGGCTCGTGCTGCTTGTAGTGGAACAAGGTGTACAGCTCGTGCTCGGCGTACCGGCGCCAGCGCGCCTGGTCGCGCAGGTGGATGCCTTCGTCGGTCAGGTCGGCGTCGTCGGCTAGCCAGACGGGGACGGTCTTGATCTTGTTGGAGTGGGACAGCTGGTGCTCGAGACGGAGCATATCTTCCTTCGGGATCCAGAGACCTTCGGCGGCGAGGGCTGGGCCCGCGCGGGACGGGGGCGGGTCGGTGGGAGTGAGGACGGGGCCGGAGGGCGGTGTGCCCGGGGGAGAGGGCACATCTTGCGGGATCTCGATTTCGCCGGTCCAGGCGACGACCGTGTGGTTCCAGGGGATGTCGTCCGAGGAGAGGTAGGAGAAGGCGTCGAAGAGGGCGGATTGTCCCCGGCGCGGAGTGAGTTCCTGAGGAGAAGGGGGAGGGGGGGTGTTAGCACCGTTGTTACGTCACGGGAAGGAAAAAAAAATAAAAAATAAAAAAAAAAAGTCGGCCAACCGGTCAAAACTTACCCAATCGGCACCCTTGCGATACCGCAGCGAATGCGGGATATTGAACGTCGCCGAGATAATATTCCCCGTCAGCGCTAGATCAGGATGCTTGACGCGAATATCATGCATCAAGGCCCCTGATTCACTCGTAGACGAGGTATTCCCCACAACAACCTCACTCAACCTTCTTAGAAACTCATGACCCTCTCTAGCACCGGTATCGATCTTCTCCTGGAAGGTCTGTCCCTCTTGAGCAGTATTATCCGCGTCCGGCGACGGGGCAATCGCGTGGTCGAGCTCGCGGCGTGAGAAGTAGTGGCCGTTGGGCGGCTCGGGCACCCTCGTGCGGTCGCTCGTGTCGGATTCGTACGTTTCCCGAGTGATGTCGGGCGTGACAGGGACCTTGGTGACCGACTCGCGCATGTGCGGGGGGAGGGCCGATTCGGCGTGCTCGTGGTCGTCGCCCGGGTGAATGGGTGTCGGTTGGACGATGTCGTCCATGACGGCGGTTGTGGTGTTGAGGTGAAGAGATGATGGCCTTAGGTTGTTTCGGGGGTTGGGGTTGGGCAGACCGACTTTGCTACTTTCGCTGCTTGAGACAAACTTATAAGAGGTGGTCAGTTGGGTAAGGTAGCTGTTTGACTCAGCGCTGCCGCAGATAAATCTCAGTCAGACGGCCCAAAACGCTGCGCTCGTTTCAATCCGTGTTAGTCACCGCAGTGATTTTGTTCGTGCTAGCGAGCGAGGGTCAGGAATCCGGAATTGGCGGTCGCAGGGAATGACAAGTCGGTGACGGGAGAAGTCCACAGGACGCCCGCCTCTCGACGCTGTACAGCAAACGTCAGCGGGGCAACTGGCAGCTGGCACGGCGTACGCTGACTGGTCGACAGCACAGCAGGCAGCAGGGGTAACTGGAGGGGCGGACCAAGACAGCCCACTTTCCCGATTTCGCTGGCCCGGCGGAACCCTGTCTTGGATCGGGGCTCCACTGACCACGTCTCTGTGCTCAATGAGCGTAGTGCTGTTGGAGATTGTTGTTTCGACGCGTCTGGAGAGACAGAAAAAAGTCGGAGAGAAAACCTGTGTGAGAAAAGGCGCAATGGCTGGTTTTAGCTTGCGGGAATCACTGATGTTGGTAGCGCTCTCGGCCCTTGCCGTGCCGCAGAGAGCTCGATTCGTGCCGGTTGTTCTTGATCGCGCGTGCTGATTGGTAAGTATGGGCAGGGTCCACTGGGGCGATGGCGGGGTAGTACTGCGGGACTGCGGGGCAATTGAGAATGTTCGAGGTCAAAACACGATAACAGGCACGATAGATACGGAGCATTCGAGGAGGGAACTTGATCGAGCTGAAGGGGTAATTTATCTCCGATGGCTAGAAATTCGGTTTAACTTTTTTATTTTTCTCGGAACTGGCCGCCTTGGCCACTACCCGATTTTTGTGTGACGGTCAGCCCTGCAATTGCATGGCTCATGACAGCTTCTTGTGCCGTTGTGCCACCAGTTGGTCCGAAACTCCTACAAAAGCTAACTTAAGCTATGCAGCTAAGAGAGATATCATCAGATGGAGCGCTTTCCCTGCTCTGAGGTGCGATTCGTCACGAAAACTCGGCTCAGCTCAATGGCTCATGTCCCTGTTTCGATAGAGATCTCTTCCTAGCTTCGCTAGCGGATCGAGTGGACCCCCTGCAAGCGGCGGGAAGACGGGCCTGCTGATACTTGGCTTTTTCCTCTAGGTTTTTGGCCGTCGACATCACCACGCTCGCAGCCTTGCACACCCTTGCATAATTTCCCTCTAGCTCGTAACTCGTAACTCGTACGGGATACACCTGGTAATTCTTTGACAATTAGAGGAGGAACAATTGAACGGCCTATTGTGGTTGTCAAAGGCCCGGTCCAAACGGCCGAGTTCTCTCCTGCAACTGCGCCATTTTCCTCAATTTCCCCCCATTCCTCCTCTCCCCATCCCCATCCATGATGGTCGTAAGGTAGACGGCTCGCTTGTTACGCTACACTTTGCGTCTGTCTCGTCTCGCGTCTTTCCCGGCACAATTTGGAATTTGGCCGCATTTCCCCGATCCAGCAGCCATCGGGTCATTGTGCAGCACTCGCCGGGCCTTTCCTGTTTTTTTTTTTTTCTCTTTCCTTCCTCTGCAAATGATACGGTATGTTTCGATGAGTGGCCGCTGCAGCCGCCGCAGCGCTGAGCTGTGTACTCCTGCTTCTGCACGTCAGAGATACCCAATTACCTGCAGGCAGACTGGTCTCTCTCTGCTGGTCTGGCTTCCATGGCTTGGCCCGTCTGCTGAGTCGCGGCGATAACGTCTTTTTCACATGGCCTAGCTGCGGCCTTCCGACTGGCTGATGTAACCCTACGGGCACCTAGAGATCGGCGGTTTCTGATGTGAGGGGGAGAGGGGTGAGGGAGGATGATGACAGTGAGTAATCATGGTGGTGAGGAAATGTGCAGGTTGGGATCCGGGTCACAGCAGGGGTGTGTAACAGGCTCATTCTTGATGAGACATTGAGATTACATCCAGTGCATTGGAGCACCTAGTTAAACCAGTCTTGACAAATCTTTAGCAGTTGATGACAAGATACTGCACACTAACGGAAATAACCCCTATCTGGACTATCATCTCTTGATACTCATAAGGTCTAGATGAGATATCCGAGAGCATACGGAAACACTGTGTACAAGATATCCAAGGAAACGAAAAAATACTACCTTCGCTCCTCATCAACAGGTTATGGAGTATATAAACATCACCGTCAACTCTTCACACTCAGCAACGCCAACCGCATCCTCTTCTCCCTTCCCCCACCTCCCACCCCCAAATATAACCGAACAATCATCAACCCACCAGGCAGCCGAGGTTAACACCCTAAGCTGTCCCTCCGTCCTCAAACCTCGACTTTCTTCAGCTCCCCTAGATTCACCCACCAATTATTTCTGCTTCAGGGGACGAACAAGTAAATCGACCGCATGGGCGCGAGGTCAGCTCAAGGAGGGTCAAACGTGCGGTGATGCATTCCGAGCGGATAACGTCCATAAGGCAGCATTTTCGACGGTGATGCAGATGAGGGTAGCGACCTGTCGCCGTCGGAACGCGACGCTGATAGAGGGCGTGTGGGTTTGTTGTTGTTTTGGGGGGGGGGGGAGGAGGGGAAGAGGGCAGGTCTCTTACGTCAACGAGGATGGAGTCGGCTGCTTAAGGTCCAATGACTCATATGGGAAGGAAGAAGTTCTGGTAACATTCTAAGTAGTAAGTTTTTGGGAATAGAGTTGGGATCTTGTGAAACAAAATTACCTCGAGTGCGTCTGATACAACTAGGGGACTTTTGACCATATTATATTGAAGAAAAGCCCTACCCCAACGCATAATTGCCTCGAATTTAAGCGATCGTTTGTTATACCTCATAAAACGGTAAGGCCTAACTTAGACCCATAAACGCATACAGGAAACTGGCCAATCAGAAAAGAGTCGCGCATGCCCTGTTGACAATCACCCACCCAAGAGTGACAATTGACTACGCAGTCGTGAATATCACCTAGGGAAGAGTAATATTCATCTTGGGAGAACGATCTGTATTGTGTATAGAAGGCTGTAGCTAGTCACATAGTCGAGGATGTCCGTGGTAAGTCATCAATGAGTGATACGAACGGCTGCTTGCCACAAGTGATGACCACAGTGTTGAACATTCCGTGAGAACTTTTGAGATTCCGTGGCCTGGTCACGACCTTTGAGCCAGTATCAGGAGTTCTTGAAATTTTTACAACTGACGTTCTATTATATCGAAATCTCAGCCTAGCTCAACGGGAACTTGGTCCCCATTTTCACATTTCTCTCAGAGCAGGCTTTCGTTTAGGAAGACGGCATAATATCCTCCAAACTACTAAGATTTGAAGGAATATTCGACTTCAAGCAATACAGATTACAAACTTGTGAGAATAAATGGAATGTTTCCATTGAAATTTGCGCTTCAGAGAGTCGAGATATCATCTACTCTCCGAACATCATATAAAGGTGAACAGGAGCAGGACAACCTAGAGTTAGGAAGGGAAGGGGAAAAGAAAACACTATCCATATACACATATGAGAGAGACAATGCTTTATAGGTTATCTAACTAAGCAATAACGAAAGGAATGACACACCCGTCTGAGATCAGTCCTGATTATCTCATTGACATACCCAGCTATCGGATGTCAAAGCTCTAACAATCTCGGTGTGGCCAAGAGATTCCGCATAGACCAAAGGAGTTCGACCGAGGTAGTCTCGTCGGCGTGGATCAACTCGGCCGTCGGATAACAGAGTTTTGACAACCTCCAAATGGCCATTCTCTGCAGCCCAACTCAGCGGCGTTCGGCCATCGTCTCCTTGTCTGTCTGGATCAACTCGACCATTACACAACAGAGTTTTAACAACCTCCGTATGTCCATACTCGGCAGCCCAACTTAGCGGCGTTCGGCCTGCCTTGTCCTGTCGGTCTGGATCAACATGGCCATCACACAACAGAGCGTTACAAACCTCCGTCTGGCCATTCTTTGCGGCCCAACTTAGCGGTGTTTGGCCTTCATTGTCTTGTCGTTCTGGATCAACTCGACCATCACATAACAGAGTTCTAACAACCTCCGTTTGTCCATACTCTGCAGCCCAACTTAACGGCGTTCGGCCTGCCTTGTCTTGTCGGTCTGGATCAATATCCTTGGCATGCACAAGAAGTAACTCGACGAAATCATTGAGCCCATAGACACCGACTATGTGAAACGCATTCTGTGATGGCCTCAAATCTGGTGAAGAAAGCCACGGATACTTTCTGATCTCGGAAAAGATGGCACTAAGTTGTACAACCATACTGACCCATTCCGGATCTTTCAATCGGTCAATCAGTCGAAAAGTTGAGGAGGGACACGCAGAAATATGATGTCCCCAGTGGTCAACAGCGTAGGAGAAGAGAGGCTTTTCAAGTCGTTCGTACGCCTCCTCACGCGTCTTGACAGGGCCACCTGAAAAGTCATTGAACGAAAGGTACGATACGCAGGTATTGGCGATATTGGAATGGCCGTCCGGAAACCACCGAGTCAAAGTATCCTGGAAATATTCTTGAGCTGTACAGTGGACAAGTCGAATGATATCGCTTTCTTTGTCGACGACAACGAGTTCGCAACATGCCAGAAGCATGTCTTCGACATCAGGAACCGCCGCTTCCTCAATCCTGCCCTCACAATCTCTGACAGCCCATGCATACTGAACCTCTATTGTTTTTACAGGACGTTTGGCGCAGACGATCCAGGATAGCACATGATTGGCAAGCTCCTTGTAATCAGACGGTTGTCCATTGATTCGCTCCATTACGCTATCATATGCCTGGCGTAATAGGGCAAGCTTTGGATTCTTTTCTTGAGAGCTCTTGCGAAGCTTCTTCATTGTTTCACGGATACGCCTTGCGCTAACTTTACTCTTCAGCGATTCGAGGAAGAGGCGGGCTAGTAGGAACCTGATTTTGCAAGTAAACACGTGCTCAATTGGATCAATGACCCATGGTTCATGAAACACTATAACTTACATGCCATCCGCAACGCTGATAATACAACTAACGACCTCATCTCGCAGGTCCGGGTAGTTTGAGACAACGTGCCAATCGGACATCCGATTGCGTATGTATCTCTCGATGTCGTCTTTTTGGGCTATGATCTCAAGGTAGGAGTATCCACTGAAGGCTTCCATAATATCAGGTTCGGGGCGGGATGTGGCCAGGAGGTTGACATTAGTTCCTCTGGATTGAAGTTGCAGGAGTGTTTTGATGAACTTGGAACGAACATTGTTGCTCATCTGGCATTCGTCCAGTGCATCAACAATAACAAAGACTCCGTCCTTGTACAGTGCGGTAACAGCATGGAACATGTCCTCGACATCGCTCAATGATGGCTGTGATCTATGCTTCTTCCCATGTCGGTTATAGGCATCCATGACTGCGGGTGGCGGTGGAAACTTGTTTCTGAATAGTTGCTTTACGAGATTGGCAATGAGCTGCTCCACTGTCTGGTTATCTATATGCCGGTAGTCACAGTATAGGTATGCGATGCCAACGTCACTCTCTCCTAATTTCTGTTGGAGATAGTCGATGACGATGGATACAAGGAAAGTCTTCCCAGCACCAGGGATGCCGGGGCAGAAGAGAGTTACTGGCTTCCTTGACAACCTGGTGGACTGATTAGCTTGAGGAAAAGAGGAATGAGACAGGTATGAAAAAAAAAAAACAAGGTTGTACCATTCCTGAAACTGAGGAGATTGGATAAACCATTGTCCAGTTCCTTCCTCTCTTTTGTCAAAGAAGTTGGCATGCTGTAGAGAGTAGTCTACTGTGCACAGAGAAGAGAGCCAACTGAGGATTTCTACATTTTCGTGTTCTATGTAACAGATATTAGCTAAAGGTCAGTCACAAGACGATTGCTTGGAAACATGCTAGATCAAGGTTCGGACAAACCAAGTTGATGATAATTCACCGTAAGGGCGCCAGTGTTCATAGTACCCGAATTCTGCGAAACCGGGATGCCAGTAACCTCTAGGTCACCAAAATGGCCCATTTTGGAGAGTGAGAGCTCTTCAGTTATTTTCACATTCTACCCCAGAGCCTTATGCTCCGGTATCTGGTTAAAGTAAAAGGAGTTGTTGAGTTGCAGCCGTTTCCCCAACGTTGGAGAAGAAGCAGGATTTCGAAAGTTGGATCTGGTCTAGTTAAATGTACTGTCAATGATGAAGAGGGCACGATGAAAAGAGGAATAAGTTAATAACGTCATGTAAAAAGCTCGCTTGTATCGTATGACATTTATAAAGAGGAGATCTGATATGAACAAACAAGAAAAATTTCAGCTTCAACGTGCATAGGATGAAAGAAGGCCTTTGGAGACGGTGCAGCGGGGAAGCCGTTCAAGAGAGTATATATGCCCAACCAATCTGACCCAACAACAGTGCGGGGTATCGCTGAGTCTATGACTCAGCATGCTTCACACCTGCAGCAAAATTCGTGTTCAGTTGTGTGACCCAAACTATACTCTGATTCGTGATAGACGCATCAACATAGTGCTCGAGCTACAGACTCCCGTAAACCTATTGGCTTGGCTTGTCGCCCAATACCCCACCACAAGGCTCTCCTCCAGGCTATCCTAAAGACCGCATAGCTCGCTATGTCGAAGTGGCGTTCGAGGCCCAGCATGTACAGCCCTGTGTCACAATATTACCTGCAGGCTCTAGAACTTGATGTCGTAAGGATAGTGGGAAAAGTGCATTGTGTGGATAGATAGTGTTGGCGACCTACGAAAGAGCTAGGTGGCCTAACGGCAGGATTGAGAGAGGGTTCGATTTTGATTTTGAATTCTATTTTTCAACCGGCTCCACTCCCGGGATCTTAGGTCGTGCTCATGGAGACGGAGAGCAAAAGCTAGATTACTATGAACATGTGATATTGGAGAGAAAACCCTGCGTCGAGGGAAAATCACGTGCTAGCAGAGAAGGAGGTTGAGGGTTGTGCCAAAGGCCGGGACGAGGCTACCCCCGTGCGGTTTAGGGAATCTGGATCTCCAACTCAGACACTGGCTCGGAAGAGTCGATGTCAAGCTCTCTATCTCTGCAGGGTTGGGCTCAATCACGGAGGAGGGGGCTGAGGGTTCGCAGCGTCGGTATGAGTTGCCCTGTGGCAGCGTCGAAGGCTTGGCCCACGAGCTCGATCTCAGAGTGCTTCAGTAAGCGGGGCGCTAAGACCAAGGAAACCTGCTTCCCTAACTAGCCAGACGGAGTGATTGGCTTTGGGTCAGGTTGGGACGGTCGTGGCGATCGTGAACCAGGCTGATGTCACAAGCGGGTACCGTTATAGCTTGGACGCTGTAACCACAGTTGTCTACTTGAACGTCGAGGGGAAGTAGCTGAGGCGGAGAAAGGTCTCAGAGAAACATCGGGTGATCGGTAGCAATTTGTCCCTGGCTTGTCGAATAAATGCTAGAGGCACTCCATCAAGACCCGGAGCGTTAAACGTCGCCCCGAAGGAAGCTGTCAGTGAGTTCGACGTCCGAGTGCGGGACATCTAATATGATCCGTAAGTCTGGGGTGATTCTTGGTCCGGACCAAGGCGGTCTGGGGCCTGGACTGCGAACCAGCTGGGCGGAAGGCTTGGGCGGCGAGGTAAGCTGGAGATTCATATCCTCGGAATCGTGCGAGAGTGACCCCCGCCCGGCCTACGACACACAACTTCCTGCATGCCTTTCCCTGTATCCACAACAGTTTTGTCCCGGCGCCGGCTTCTCCCCAGTGTTACATGGATGTAGCTTATTAGGTAGCTATTGTCCGCCGTCGACGGGGACACGACCTAGCACCCTCAGTGTGGGATCTGTCGCAAAATAGAATTCAAATGGAAACATTATACAGTACTTAGCATATAAGATCATCAATGTGGCACGTTGAACATCTTCAACCCCGTCAGCTGACCACCTCCTTGTCAACACTTGAGCACATAAACCCCCCTCTTAATCACATATCAGCAGCCCAATCTTAAAGCTCTTGTCTAACTACAAAGGTCACCATCGTGTGGTTCCCCTCTCTGATGATGTTTCCTCGTCCCTCTAACACCCTGCCATCCCCCCCCTCTCCTCCCTTGACAATCCTCTTGCTGGCCGCCTGGACGCCAGAGCATTTTTGGCACTCACATCAACTGTTCGAGAATGGAAAATCACAACTCGAACCTTCCAGCTCAGCCAGGAACCATCAAACAGGACAAGCCAACCCTCCTCAACGCCCTTCCTACTCTCCCTCACGCATGACCTCACCATCTCGGTCGATGCACACCCCTAACAACGAAGGATCAGAATCGGAACGGTCTAGTTTGGACATCCGCATATTTCACACTCACCCCTCCTAGCCCATTTTCCTTTCTCCCTCTTTTTCCCTACTTCTCTCCCTTTCCAACACCACTCATCTATCCCACGGATACACACCGGTTTTCCCTCTCAAGTATTTCCCACGTGTACATAGCTTAGACTAGCAAGCTCATATGTACCTTTTGCCCGTCGGCGTCGTGGGCACGACCGAGCATCCTCATGGGTGATATGGGTCGGAAATGCAATTCAATTCAACTCAACTCACCCTGCCACCCGAATCCACTTCGCCAACTCTACCCTTGAATGCCAATGTTGAGACCCACAGGTATCCGAAGCATCAGTGGTTTAGTGGTAAAATTCATCGTTGCCATCGATGAGCCCCGCGTTCGATTCGCGGCTGATGCAAATTGTCCTAGCCTTGACAAATCTTAGCGTTACAGCTGGCTGAAAGTGGGCTTCCCTTTTGCACGGTTTTTGCTTTGGCCTCCGCAATTTGGTATTTCATCAAACAGCGCGGTGAACGGAGCAGATAATTTTGATTTTTGAATTCTATTTTTCGACCGGCTCCACCTTTGAGGGTCCTAGGTCGTGTTTACAGTGACGGAGAGCACAAGCCACATTGCTGGAGCATGTACATTCCGCACTGTAAAAAACCCTGCGTCGAAGGAATAACTTGGCTATCAAAGGGGAAGGAGGGGTGAGGGTTGTGCCAAGGTCGGGACGAAGCTACCTCCGTACGGCTTGGAGAATCTGAATCTCCAACCCAGACACTGACTCGGAAGAGTCGATGTCAAGCTCTCTATCTCTGTAGGGTTGAGCTCGAGCACGGAGAAGGAGGCCGGGGGGGGGGTTCGCAGCGTCGGTATGTTGCCCTGTGGCAGCATTAAAGGTTTGGCCAGGGAGTTCGATCTGGGTGCCCCTAGATGAGATCACTTGGAAGGAGGACCAGAAGGCTCTCGGGTCCAGCCTCCCCGGGAGCGGGCTGTATAAGGCGGTAAAAGGCAAAAGAGAAGTGCCTCTAGATACCACTCGGTCACAAGGGTACTCCTTGATCGCCTCGGGGGAGGGGATAGTTAAACCGTATGTGGTACTCCAGGAAATCGCCGTGGCCTGAGGCCTCCGCGAGCCAGCGGTTCAGGCATTGTCGAGAGAACCTCTCGAGAAAGGATTTAACTCTATGTCCGTCCCAGCGGGCTGAGGAGTGCCTGTTAGCTTACCGCCATCTCCTCACGTCCAGGGAGGGCACCTGGCGTTTTTTCGAGGGATCGGGGGAGAGGCCGAGCCACGCCCGGGTATCTGGACGTTGGGGCTCCCATTGAGGCCGGGTCTTTTAGAAACAAAGGCAAGAAGATGGACGATTCAGAGGATGAAAGGTGCATCACTTGATTCAAGGAACGGACGTCATGACTCGTAAAAAGTACCGCGGTACATGAATGACACACAGAAGCAAAAGATTCCCTCCACATCCTCCAAGCTAACAAGCCCTCCTTCCTTCCCTTCTACTCCTGAAGTCAACATGCAGACTCAGCAGGTCTGCTCATAGTCATAGCTGCATCGCAAAGGACAACCCCCTTTTCGTTGCATCAGGACTTCGTCATCTCCTGCACGACTTGCTCCTCAATGACAGTTATTGCGTTGAGTTTGTCCGAGGACAAGGGCCAAACAATGCCTTAACCGGAAACTGCAAAGGAAATTTAATCATCGCAAATACCGTACTTTGTCAAGAACTTATCCAGCTTCTTGATGCAGCCGGCACAGCCGCACAGCTATTGTTCAGATATTTGTTAGCCTGCTAAGCTCAAATGATCTTAACGAAGCTCTCGAAAATAGAAGGAAACTCACCGTTTTCTTCTTAGCACACTTCAAGATCCCCTTCCAGTCCTCATCGTCAATCGCATTCGCAATGCAGATGCCCTGCGAGACCACATCGATGCAGTTCAGAACCTTGCACGAGGCTTGAGGAGAGGCAAAGGTAAAGACTATTTCCATGAAGTCAGCACTTTATTCTTCTAAGAAAGACCTGTGGACCCCGGAATGCTAAGGTAGGTAGCCTTAAGGGTAGGAGAAGTATATAAGGGGCTTACTGTCAGCCTCGTTGATCTCCGCACGGGGTGTGACATCCGCCACGGGCTCTGCCGCACGGGTGTCGATCTCGACGACGCTGGGGGCAGCCAGGGCTGGGATGAGGAGCGCGAGGATGGCCGTGGCGAGGGTGAAGGCCTTCATGTTGGTAGTCTGTGTCTGAGTTGTGGATGAAGTCGTTAGGAGTAATGGGGTTCGGATGGGATTGAGATGTCTCTGATGACAGGACTTGTGCTTGATGAATGCTGATGGATGAACTGTTGTTCGGGAGGGCTATGGTGCTTTTATACATTTCCATCCGCGAATGGACTCTAATAGACTTAGCAATATCCTAACAAGTATCAAGGGTTTCTCCTCGAGATGCCTGCCGAGAGTATACTGTAGAGACCTCAGTGTTGACAAACTCGCACTCGCACTCGCTTGAGATTTCCGATTGCAGTCTCCCTGGCACAATTTTCAGGCTCTCAAAACGTGCTTACGACGGCTCTACCTCGCGGTAAACCAATCTGGTATCTAAGCACTTATGGGAGTAACATTCCGCCCTTTTTCGGTGTCTCGATCGAGCCATTCTATTTGTTTACTTGATGATGATAGTGCAAAGGACGCTATTGAAACAGGAAAACGGTGATAGAGGACAATATACAATGTTGCAATCACAGTTGCAAAGCCTCAGCCGCAATATACAACCAGTCAACTCAATATATCCGCGCCTGGATGTTTGAGTGTAAATGCCCTATCCACTAGTGGCTGCCGTGGTATGTCTTCACCGGTGACTTTGATGGGAAACAATGCCTTCTATTGAAGAGAAAAGCATGGTGTATCTTTCTCCAATGTTATTCCGGACCAGTCTTCGGTCCATGGCATGAAGCACAACCGCATCCCAGAGCCGATTATAAACAGATATTGATTCAGAAAGTCGTCCCATACTTCTGCCACCGGATTTCTTGCACTAGAGATACTTATTTCGGCAAGGGTTGAATTTAGTTTCGGCTACACTTCAGTGGCCCATAGCTATCATTGATTACCACCCCACTGCTGGCATCAGTTTTAGCTCAGGCACTTTGCGGTACAGAACATTTTGTTTCCCGCTATCTTGACAAGATAAGTAACCATTGACGAGAATATGTTGCAACTTTCTCTCTGAATGGTAACTGCAGTACGTCTGTTCACTGGCTTGGCTCCAAGCTTGCATGTGAGGAATCGATATTCCACAAGGTCTACGCCTCATTGACACTTTCACCACTCATCTATCTCCGGCACAATCACAACTGCCGACGGCAGCCCTGCCCTCAGCTGCTGGTTCAGCCGTCAGAACAAGGCGTTTTCCTTAACTGGCTCTCAATATTTCGGTGCGAGCCAAGCTCCGAATAGATTAACTCACGTCGATCTCCCGCGATTTTGTTTCACCCTTGACACGTGCAAGGCAGACTCGACAATTATGTGATCAATCTGAGATCGGGTTGGATGTTATCTTCGCCGTTGTACGTATGTTAATTAGCAGTAAACACATGGCCTGTCGTATCACGTGTGGTGTTAATAGGAAGTTAATTTTCCGGACCGTTACACCCGACTCTTAATGCTTGGATCAATGTAAGGATGCGTCTAACGGCGGATCGACGTTGAGCCGCGTGGCTGCGAGATGCATGTAACCCTGGAAAAGGCATAATTTTTTGGGTGCCGTTGACAGGAAAGATGAAGGAATTATGTAAACGGACCGAATCAAGATTGGATATGCAGCATAGGCTTGTAGGTAGAGAATACGGACCCAACCGAGCTTCGGAGACATACCCCCGTTCATTTCTCAGTCATCAAGAACAGCTCTCTCCAGATTATGTCGTTGAAGAGATGACGGCATGGGCGATATACTAGCAGTTCTCAAAACCCACACCGTGGAAGCAATTATGATAACAAGGTTTTAAGGAATGCAAGTCGCAGCGAGGACAGAGTTTAGCCAAAAATTACCTAGACCAAGAGTCTGTTTGATTGGCCGAATATTGCCATTCCTGACACCGACAAACCACAACCATGATACAGTTGCGACTCGGTAGAGCCGATGGTAAATCTCTGTGAAAAATTCTCGACCCAGGATATTGAGCTCCTCGCTGTGTTCGCTCGGTGTCACAGTTCGATAGCACTCCCTCCTGCTAACTGTAACCGGTGACTCGGTCTGGTGCAGACAGGGATCGACAATGGGTCAAGTAGGTTAGATGATGGCCACTGACCATGTGGGGTGCACAGCGAAGTCAATTACTACGTGTAATAATCTTTCTTTGTCCTCAGTGTCCTTGTGTTGGGGAGAGGAAAACCCAAGAGAAATCCTTCGTCGTGTCCAAGTAGCTCCCCTTATAAAATCCCTTTGCCCTTGTGAGTGCCTCACGGTCTCCTGCAATCTTCAGGGGTTCTCTTCAACGTGGCAAGGCTATCTAACTCATCCTTGCCACCCATCATATATCTCGGGCTCTACCAATCAGATATGCCTTTTCCCTTCTCAGTTCTTGTGTCACTGGTGTTCTATATGTCGAGTGTCAAGGATACTTCTTCTCCTTGAACTGCCGTGTCCCTGTGACACTAACAGCATTCTCTGCAATCTCCTCATCACACGCGATGTGAAGCTCTGGCAGAAAGAAGGCAATCAAACCCTGAATCAAAACAGGATACATGACATAGAAATCAGAAACTTGATGGATAGCTCCGAGCATGCCAAGTCTGTGAACTACGGCGGTCAAACACGGATTCCTAACTGGAGGGTCTGGTATGAATACTCATGATCAGTCTAGGCGCAACCTACCTCTGGTTCTTGTAATCCATCACGATATTGAGGAACTGCCTGTAGATGTTTGGTTGGTACTGTAATGCCGCATTGACATAGTCAAGGTACTCAAGTGCGTGCTATTAAGTAGAAGGATTAGCATTTTTAACTTTTCTTTAGAACATAACATCCTCTCGGTTACAGATTTTCCATTGCTCATGATACACTCCAAAGACTAGGATCAAGAGAGAAAGAGGAGGAGTGTGGGTAATGAAAATATACGCCTAGTGATACCGGTAGTAAACATAAATACGCCCTCAAAGCTACCCCTTCGAACCTTGACAACAGCATCAAACTCTCTAGTAAGATACATAAAACCGCCTAAACTCAACACTTAACGAACTTTCAATTAACACCAAAAATGTTCTCTGACGACAACTACCCTTCTTTCGACTCCAAAAACCGTACCTACTCTTATGTTTCCCCTCATCTTCGTCAAAATAACCCCTTATACCGGGATTGGCGCTCCGTGACTCCTGGCCCTCCAACTCACGCACGTCGACTACTTCCGGCCCCAGTCTCCCCCCGCCCTCTCTCCTCCTCCTCCTTGATATACTCACGCCGCTGGTTACCCAACAACCCCACAAGATCCGGCTCCCCGAGTGACGCGACCGCAGGCCCCCACTCCTCGCACCCGAGTATGATAGAAAATCCCATTTCCGGATGGTACACTCCCTCCCACCGCCACGCTCACCAATCGGTTCTTTACGTTCCTACTGCACCAGCCCGGTTAGATTGTTCCTCGGCTCAGGGTTGGGGGAATTCCAACTAGACTCCGTTGGTAAACTCCCACCTCACTAACATCTCTAGCGGGGCGTCGATTCTATTGATTTCATGAACGAGGACCAATTGGTCGAATGCGCATCGCAAATGGCTAAGGAGTACCGGGAAAGGAGAGAACGTGGTGGGACAGGGTTGGGAGGAATAAGAACCATAGGCGGTGAATGGAAAGTGCGAATTTATCAAGGTATCGTAGGTGGACACTGAAGGAGATGCATAGTCGAAGCCATTTCCCAAAGCAAGGTTTGAGGGATGCCAGGAGGATACTTCATGAGCAGATGGTGAAGCTTGCATTGAAAGAACGCTCTGGCAGCACTGCATTTCGGAAGATACCTGGAGTGTCCTTGCTAGCAAAGACGTTGGTTTAATTCCGATAATAACCTATTTCACTGCGCAACAGTAATCAATTATCTCATCATCACCGTGATATCCAGCATGTCTAGCAAACCGTCAGGCCTATTTATCCACAGCAACACCCAGCTAGAGATGATTGCCCCTTTCCAACAAGTTAACCCACTCCCCTCTCCCCCCCAAAGCGTCTAAATTCCTGCCCAACACCTCCAACACTCGCCCCCAAACCCTCGGACTCACCCAACTAACGTGCGGAGTCACAAACACCCTCTCCTCCCTCAACAATTCGTGCCCCTCCGGCAATGGCTCCGGATCTGTCACATCCAATGCCGCCCCCGCAATCTTCCCCCCTCTGACCGCCTCCAGGAGCGCCTGGGTGTCAATAAGCTTGCCTCGCCCCACATTTACGATAAATGTCTTCCCTTTGCCTTTTGTGGCAAGGATGTCAAATTGTTCCGTCGATAATAGAGACTCTGTAGCTTTTGTGAGGGGGAGACTTAATACCAGGAGGTCAAACCCCTCCTCTAGGAACCGCTTGAGGGACTCTTTCTCCTCGCCGTGGAACCACTTGACAGGGATCACACCGTCTGGATCGCCTGTCCCTGGAACAAGATACGTCCTGTTATCCCGACGCGACTCGGGTGTTGGTCTCGGACGTAGGGTGTACGCATACACTTCCATGCCGAGGGCAGACACGAGGCGAGCGACGTGCCGGCCAATGGCCCCATAGCCTAGGATGCCGGCTCGCAGGCCGGGAGAGTCGTGCACAGGCAAGTGCAGCAAGCGCCTGGAGTGAGATTTAAGGCGCTGGTTGAAGGCATAGGGAAGCAGTTGGTGTGTGTGCTGGAGGTAGGTGGCTACAACGTACTCGGCAATTTGGGGACTTTGTCACTCATCATTCATGAGCACGTGTGTGTCATATACTGAGGAAGGAGGGGAAACTTACGCGTGAACACCACTAGCATTACAAAACATCACATTCTGGTCCTTATACAGCGGGTGATCTACCCAGCGGTCTGCGCCGGCCGAGCTGAGCTGTATGAAGCGGATGTTGGGATTGGCGAAGGGGGGAATGAGCTGCGGCCAGTTGGTGCAGACTAGGGTGACGCCGTCGAAGGTATCGGTTGGGAGAGGCTTCGGAGGGGTGCCTAGAGTGCGCTCGGTTTCATACCAGCGGATTTTGAGGCCTGGGTGGCGTGAAGCCTGGGTGGCGATCCAGTTAGGGTCGGGGGGATGTGGGATGGCAATGAGGAGGGTGTCGTTATTGAGGCCGGGGGACGAAGGAGGGTTGGGAAGGGAACCCATGGTGTTGTTACTTGAAAGGGCTGATTGTCCGGATTTGTGAGACTTTTGAGTGTAAGTCTGGCTGGAAGGCTCGGGCATAGAGGTGGTTGACCAGGTCTTATATGTTGGACAAATCATCCCTTGCTAGCCTGCGGCCAGCCGCTATCTCCGTTACCCCCATATTTCTATCGCCGTCGTCTATTGGCTGAGATAGGGACAGGCGTGATTGCGAGTCTGTGCAGTCGATAACGCGATCTGACGAGATTCATTCCAGCCTGCAGTGTTGGTAACCTCCCACATCACCGAGACTATCGCCCTCAAATGCTGAATGGAACAAAAATGATATGTTCCCTACTTCCAGGTTATAAGAGTCATCCAAACAAAGCTAATAATATATCAATGTCATCACGGAGACATGGCTCACCAGATAGCCAGAGAACAGCACATTGACGTGAAATCTCCTTTTCAGCCCAACATCTTTATCATCCATCCATTCCATCACTCCCTCATCTCTACCACTCCAAAGGCTTCTATCTTCTTACCAGTTCTTCATCCTCCCTCCTTAGTCACCTACAGGCTACGGAAGCCCCTCCGGCGCCATCTCCCAAGTTCTCACCCCCTCCGGAATCTCCACAACCGCACTCTTCGTCCAAATATGCGGCAGTCCCTTCCATTCCAGCCCCTCGACACACCCGCCTTTCAAACTAACCACATCCCTCTCCCTGCCATCCGGCTCCCTCAGCCGATGCATCACCCTCACACCGCAGGTCTTGCAAAAGTAGCAATCCATTGTGCGGCCCTCGTTAGCAGGGCGCGTCCAGATGCCAAGGTTAGAAGAGAGGAAGGGAGACAAGGGGAAGACGTCGCTCGCAGGGACGATCACTGACGTGCCGAAGGCGGAGGAGGACTGTTTGCGGCATTGGGTGCAGTGGCAATGGTAGACAGAGAGGGGAGGGGAGCGGAGGGGGAAGGTGATGGTGCCGCATTGGCAGGAGACTTTCATTTTGAAGAATAAATTTGAGGTGTGGACTTGTGAACTGGGAGTCGAAGCTGGACTTTGGACTTTGGTGTGATGACTATGATTTGAGGAATTGGGGGAAAAAAATCTTTGGAGCTGGAGACGAGGAGTGAGAAGATATGCAAAATAAGAAAAAGTCGGGTCAATCAAGATGGTTCTCCCGAGTATTGCTAAGGCACTAAACCCTGACACCGAAAAACTCCTCGATGTCCCATACACCTACACCACCTGCCAGCCACATACTCCACAAATCTCAAGCTCGCATCATTCGCTTTACAAGCCGCAGCAATATCTTCCAAAAGGCGCAGTCTTCTTTTATCCTCCCCCTACCTCAACCCCAACTTCTGATTAAACACTAACAGAGGGGGCAGGGCGCTGACTCCACACCTCAGCACCTATCACAGCCTCTCCTACCGAAGCAAAAGTTGCATTCTCCTAACAAATTGCTCATTCTGGTCGGCTCCAGTATGCAAGATCGGAAGCATACACGATTCAGATCGGGTATGGTGTAGCGGTAACATCTGCGACTCTCAAATTCGAGTGCTCGCAAGCCCGGGGTTCGACTCCCCGTATCCGAGTTTCTTTTTCGTTCCACAGCATTTAGTGGAATTGGTCCAATTTTGGTCTTGGGTTGTGGGTAGTTGATTGAGAGTGGATCTTGCACTTGTTGAACAGCTGTAGGTTCCATTTTTGGGTCATCGATAACCCTCAAGAAAAGAGTTAGGTACCTAGCGTGTTGAACATGGTCGAACCCCTACCCAGTTAAGTTGCTCGTTTTCCCCTGCAGTGTTTCCCCGTCTTGAGGCACAAATTCTCTGACATTCCTTTAACCTCCTTTTTTTGAACAATCACGAGTAAACTACTCGCGAATCAACTTGACAATAGCTCAAAGAATGGGCTAACTAAGCCAATGAGGACACAATCTTCGAGGTCAACTGTCCACGAAGTGATTGGCTGGGTATAATCAGGACTTTGTTGGTCCCTTCCATCAGTACCAGGTACCGGCTAATAGGAAGCTTCCGACCCCTGTGTAGCATCGAATCTCGGGAAAAACACATAAGCGCCATCACGTCTTCCTCCTGACTCTCCCGTCTAATTACTACCAATGCTGTGTTCAGTGTGGTTTCTTTGCGAACAGAATCAAGCTTATCTCTGATGCAATGGTAGAAAGCTTTGTTCCATGCGCACCATTCCAGTTTGCAGCTTCGAAGAGCTCAGGTCCCGTGGAAACAGTTATTTCCCACACCCTTAATTATAAACCTGGCTTGTTTGAGATGCTTTCATTGAGGTTGTAACCCCATTGGTGCGGATGAACAGGAGAAGGTAACAATACCGAGGAGACAAGACCTCGTCCCGCTCGATCTGCGCGCCGGCAGTTAGATGCACCCCGCAAAACTGGAGAGTTTATGGATACAGCTTCCATGTCTAGAACTATACAACACCTGACATAACATTGATGTCCTTCAACTGTTACTGGTGGACTCTTGTCAACGGACAGAAGGATTCCCCAGTGATCGTGGAGATGGGTTCAGCCTAAATCGCTGTTGGTTAGGGCTGCGACATGAACTCGACTTAACTTCATCTATAATTCATCTAATGTTGGCGTCTGCAAAAAATGAAAGTGAGGACGATAATGAAGGCATGTAACGATAGAATATGAACCTTGTATAAGGAAACAATGAGGCTGACTCTTTTCCCAGCATGTTGGCAGCAGAGATGTCGGCTGATGCGTCGAGGTGATGAAAATGGTGAAATAAGGTAAAGATAAAAGAACCTCGACTTTCCTCTCAGGACAGAAGACATCACGATCCGTGAAGCTCTAACGGCACACTCTTGACGACTTCGCCAACGCCACAGTCCGAATACCCACAATGGTCAAACTCGCTCTCCTCACAACCTCCCTCCTCGCCTCCGGCGCTCTTACCTCCCCCATCTCAAACCAAAACCACCTTCCCTCTCGAGATGTTTCCCCACGCCAATGGGGCGGCGGAGGGTACTACTTCCAAAACTGGTCCGAAGGCGGCAGCAACGTGCGCTGCGTGAACGGCCCAGGCGGACAATTCAGCGCGACCTGGAATAGCAAGGGTGGGTTCGTGTGTGGTAAAGGCTGGTCGACGGGTGGTGCACGGTAACTACATACCCTCCCTCTCTCTTACCCCCTTTCCCATCGGCCCAACGAAGACTAACGAGCTATAGAGTAATCACCTACTTCGGCACCTACAACGCCACCGGACCCGGCTATCTGGCAGTCTACGGCTGGACGCGCAACCCGTTGATCGAGTACTACATCATCGAAGCGCATGCCGAACTTTCCCCTAACGAACCCTGGACGTACATGGGCAATTTTACTTCTCCCGAAGGAGACTACGACATTTACACCAGCTGGCGCATCAATAAGCCGTCAATTGAGGGGACCCGGACGTTCCAGCAGTTCTGGAGCGTACGAAAGGAACAGAGGGTTAGCGGGACAGTGACCACCCAAAGGCATTTTGATGAGTGGGCTAAGCTGGGCATGAGGCTGGGGTGGCATGATTATGTGGTGATGGCGGTCGAGGGGTATACGGCTGATGGGGGATGGGGGAGTGCGGGGCAGGCAACAATTACGGTTCAGTAAGGGATTGGATGGGAGGAATCAAGGGGTTCGGATGGTAGGTGAGGCTCCCGGGGGGAATGGAAGTGGAGGGACTGGATGAGTTTAGGCTCAGTCGAGTCACGAAAGAGGCATTTATGGTAGTAGGAAAATACCAGTACATCAACGTGTCTGCCCAACAGCCCTTAGAACAAAAGTATCCTCTTTGCTGGCATCGGGGCAGTCCACATGTCGCACCCTTGAGCCTTCGGACTGTGCCGGACAGGGTTAGGGTTCGTCACATTGCGTCAGTCCGTTCAATGCAGAAGTACTATATGAGTTTGGACTGATCATTAAAACCCTTAAGAAAGACATTCAGAAAAGTCTTGGTTTCGTCTTGCGGTTACTTTATAATCTAATCGTCTCATGATCAACGCCAGTTTTCTGGCAGGACAGAACCCTAACCCTTGGTGTTCATCCCGTCGGCGCGATGACGTACTAATGCGGGGCCCGCCAGGGGGCCTTGTTGGCCAGGGTCCGGCACATACGCAAAACTAAGAACATCACCAACTGACATCTCGCATGGGTGCGCTCACAACAGCCCTACTTTCACCTTATCGCTATCGCTATACAAGATGTCATTATCACAAGCAGCAGCGCCAACAATCCCAGCCGCGCCGACCGGCCCGACCAGGTCGCGGTCTCTGCTCCTCGTGCCAGTCCTTCGACCCATCTATACCTCTGTCCGCTACATCCGTCGCGCGATCCGAGCAGGCTCCTATCCTATCCGCGGTATCTGGTACTTTCTTCTACACCCCGAGTTTTATCCGCTGTTCGTCGGACGACTACTCCCGTTGTCGATCATCTCGTTCATCGTGTACCTGTTGCTGTTTACGTTCACATTCCTGCCGCAGTACCTCTTCATGCTTATATTCCAGGGCCCGGCGAGCGCATTTATCAATACGACGGTTTTGGTGTTGGGTGAGGGGCAGGTCATTATCCAGGCGCTCTTTGAAGGGTTCTTCGTGGATGAGTGTCAGGTGGATATTTTTGATGTAAGCTTTGCCAAAAGTCTGACAATTTCGGAAGCCAATTCGCTGACTTGCGTCCCCAGGCCACCCTCATCAACTATGGCTACACCGATCTGATCGCCCCCCAACGCATCATCTTCGTCGACGCCCCAAACGCAGTCCGCATGCTCGGCAAACCGACCCGCCGCGCTGAGTTCTGGCCCTTCAGCTGGAAGCAGATCATCGAGCTGATCATCTGTCTGCCGATCAACCTGATCCCATATATCGGCAACGTGGCCTTCATCATGATTACTGGCTCCCGGCTGGGCAAGCTCTCTCATCACAGGTGGTTTGTTCTGCGCGGGCTGGACAGGAGAGAAAAGAAGAGGGAGTGGAAGCTGCGTAGGTGGGAGTACCTCTGGTTTGGGACAGTCGCCATGGTTTTGGAGTTGGTGCCGATTTTGAGCTTCTTTTTCTTGCTTACCACGGCGGCTGGGGCCGCGATGTGGACAGCTAGGTTAGAGGAGCAGGCGCGGGTTAGGATTGGGCGGCCGATTACGGCTGAGGATGTGTGGAATGAGGAGGTCGATGGGCCGGTTTATCATGATGATCCGGTCTGACAGAGTGAATTTGTTCTGGGCCAACCTGCTTTTAGCGTACTTCTTTTCCCGAAATCACTTACCTGTCGACCGCAGACTCTGGATACGACATGTGATTCGTCCCTGTCTCTATCCACGGTTATTGTCTACGAGCCTTTATCCTCTCGTGTCCGGAAAATCAAGGGCCTCTGCCGTCAACTCCCTCTCATTGGACCAGACCGTATGGAAAGAAGGCGCTCGTTCTTGCCCACCGAGGAGAATGCACAAGGACGCAAATTGGCTTTTCCAAATTTTGCTTTCACATGATTCCCAGGTGGGTTCATTTTCAGCTCCGTTGGAATATGCTTTTTTTGGGTCAGAGCAAAGCCGCGGGGATGGCAAGGTAGCCAGACTGTGGCCTGGTCAATGCCTGTTCACCTGGTACCACATCCCGCATGGAGGAAGGAGCAGCCATCAGGTAGTCCGTATCGTATTCGGCAGATGAAGACCACCAGCTCTGTCAGTGACCTCTGTCGCATTGAAGAGGCACGAATGCAACTGGGCAGTCGAGTACAGAGAGCGTCGGGTTTCGATACAGTGGTTTGTTTGCTGTCTTCCTCATGTTCATGTCGGGTCCGGAGAAACGCCCAAGGGCTTGAGCATGCAAACAAGTCTAACACTGGGATGCAGCTTCCCCTAGAGGTGTTAGCAATGAATCGTGCCATTTCTGGTCGAGTCTAGAATTGTTGCACCGAGGAAATGCTCTTTCCTTCTAAGTTGCCATTGTGTGCTGTCGGCGATGGCATGAGCGAACGCTTCCATCTTCCTTCCTCGACGGCTGAGGAGTGAAATGGTGAAGTTCTGATGACTTCTTCCCCAACTCCATCCCGCTCACTTGTCCTCATCCCTCCATCTCCCGATTTCTCTTCAGCCTTGGCCACCGCGGCAGAGGGTTCCGTTCTTCGTTGTACTCTCCGCATCGACATCCTCTGGCATTTGCTGAACCTTTCAGTCACTCGTTTTACTTGATTTCCACCAAAGGTCTCAGTGAGTTTCCTCAAGCCCTTCGGGGAGAAGTGTGTGTGGCGTGAAGATGCGAATCTGGACTTCAATCGCCTGCCTAAGCGGCATGGTCTCTTTGGCCACCGCCGCGGTGGTGCCTCGAGTGTGAGTACTCTTGCTCGATCTTTAAATTTAACTGCTGACCTTCGTAGGGATGAGATTGCACTGTCATCTTGCACAACTTCTGAGGAGTCTGTGACTGTCGTCACCATTACAGTCCACCCTCAGACGGCCACCACTATCACAGTCACCGCTGGTGTCTCGTCTCCGTCGAGCCTCTCCAGTGCTCTTCCTTTCCCCTTCCCGGGAGATAGCTCTCTGGGCTCTGAGTCGACGACTTGCACGGATGAAGATTCTGGATCTACCGATGTTTCTATTATTACGGTTACGCCGTCCTTGTCCTGGTCATTCACATTCTCAACGGATACAACTTCCTCGTCAGCTGATGCTGTCACTGCTGGCGGCCCCATCCAGACTGTCACAGTTTACGTCCCAGCCCCGACGCCAGTCACGGTGACTGTTGGTCCCCCGTTCAGTCCTTCAAGTGCGAGTACTGTGACCTCGGACACAGAGTGTCCCGTTACGATCACATATACGCTCTCTCCAGGCCCTGTGTTTCCTAGCGGTTTCACTGGGACCCTCACCCTCGGTGGTTCGAAACCGTCGTCTACCCCAGAGGTATCGTCCGCATTTGACCCGTTCTCAACTTTCCCAGAGAGCAGCACCTTCGGCACGCCGTCATCTCCTATCCTTGGACCAGTGACGTCCAGCGATGCAGACTCCAGTGACGTTTCTGTCGACGTCGTCACCTACACAATTCCTGCCCAGGGCACTTCGTCTGCACAAATCGGCACCGTCACAGTGACGTCCGGTGCAGCCCAATCGACAGTCTCAGACAGCGTCTTCACTCTCACGCTTTCGGTGTTTGAGCCATCGTCACCAACCTACAACATTCCAATTAGCTCTCAGCCAGGAACTGTGACCGTGACTGTAACGAGTGCTCCGGATGACGATGGCAATGATGATGACGATGACTGGTGGACAGTTTGGACGAATAGCTGGGAGAGCATCTCCACAATCACTGCTATTGACGACCACTCCTCTACTGTATCGTCTCAAGATGCTCTATCTATCTGGACGAGTGATGAAGGAGCTACCGTTGTGACCGTCACGGAGATTGAAGAGCTCACTGCCACGCCATCTTCTCCTGGCAAGCCGTGGCCGACAGGGTATGACAGTTCCGGCGCGTCGGTGGTCGTCGTGACCTACACCATTCCTGGAGGGTCTTCCACTTATACCGTCACCTACACGATCCCTCCCCTGTCAACGCCTAGTGAAAGCACTTACACCCCATTCTGGTCTGCCTCCCCGAGCTCTATCTCTTCTGTTGCTGCCGTGAGCTCATCAGCTCCGGATACAATTGTGACTGTTACTGTTTGGGAGACAACTGATTCTCTCTTGTTCCCCACTGGTGACACTGTCTACGGAGGACCTTCAAGCAATCTTCCAGATGATGGTGTTCTCACTTTGACCGTCACTGTGACGGACGACCAACCTGTCTGGGCTACAGACGTGACCACACAGACAGGGTATGGTCACCATACCACGGCTGCCAATGCTTCTGGCGCGCTGCCTCAGCCATACGGCTCGAACACCTCCAGTCGGTCGTCTTTTGATCCCTGGCTGACTACCGCCAGCGGTGAGCCTTATGGGGGTCCGGATGAATCCACAGTTGCAGTCTCTGAGGTGACTTTCACCCAAACTGTGCCGCTCGGCCCAGACAGCTCGACCGTCATTGTGGTCACGACAGAAGTTACTGTCGACGTCACTCCAACCTCCAGCTCTTCTCCCACGCCATCGCCTTCCGTGATCATCACTCCGGTGGTTGGGACGTTTACGCTTTCAGGAGCATACGGCACTACTATCGTGCTTACATACACCACGGAGCTGACAATCACAACCGCGCTGCCGCCTGAATCCTCGGACTTGTCGACTGGTCTCGTTGACCCAACATCCTTGTCGCCATCGTTTTCGGGCAACTTTAGCAGTCCCTCTTCTTCGACATCCTGCAGCACCAGCGACGTCTTAGGCCTCGAGACATCGACGTTCTCTCAGGAGAACCCTGTGCCGACAGAGGTGTCTGTTTGGCCCCCTCCTGGTCCGAGCAGCACCTCGTGTTCGACTACTTCCTCGACGAGCGTTTTGCCGTTGTTCACTTCTGCATCGAGCTCTACCACCTCGTGCAGCAACAACTCTACGACGTCATCCCATCGCTTGGCTCATCACACATCTCACGCCTCTCTTGGAGGGTCATCGACGCTTGGCGGATATGTCTTCCCAAGTTCGGACGGAGCTTATGGTGGGGAATGGTCGTCAGACAGCGAGTTTAGCACAGTGGCGCCGTTACCTAACAGTCCCTCCTCCACCCTGACCCCTGTCATCAGCTCGGCGCTTCCCTCGATTAATTCCAATACTATCTTGTCGACTCCGGAAGTCACATTGACTGATGGGCCGACAATCCCGACATGGTCGTTTAGCTCGGTCAATCTGCCGACGATCTCGTTTGTCAGTTCTGTCTCTGCCATCACTGGATCGGCCGAAGCCTCAGCAGCTCCAACCGCACCTGCCAGTTCACTGAGTACCCCGATCCCAGTCATCTCAACAGTTCCTACGCTCTCATCGTCTGTGGCCCCGGACCTCACAACTAGCCACGAGTCTCCTGAACAGACAAGCAGCTCCATATCATCCAGTTCTGGAGTTTCAAGTTCAGTGCTAAGCCACTTGTCCTCTGGCACGGAGTTAAGTCCCAGCAGCACGATCTCTCACACTACGACGACCTCCATCAGCGGCTCCCCGCCACCTCCATTTGTTCCAACGTCTTGGGTCAATAGCAGCGCTCCGAGTACCCTACCAACTGAGGTCTCATCGACATTAAATGGCACCATTTCTCCTCCAGCAACGCTTACAAGCAGTGTGCCTGCTGAACTGTCATCTGAAATCTCAACCACGCTCAATGGCACTATACCACCTGTGCCTCTTACGATTAGCATTGTTTCAGTCCCCACTAATGTCTCATCAACATTGAATGGCACTATCACCCCTACTATCCCGCTTACAAGCAACGTTGTCTCAACGTTCACTCCATCTGTACTGCCCACAATCCCGCCGATGCCGCTGAGCATCCACCAGCCTAAGTCATCGGTTTTTTCCCTGATGACCATCTCCAGAGAGGTCTCTCCCGATTATGTCGCCAAATGCGGGGCTGAAGAAGATCGCGGTAGTGTTGTCTTAACGGTATGTCTCCGTGGCTTCCAGGCCGGTGCATATTGACGGCTACTGACCAACACAGTTTGATGACATCCCGCCCCTGTCTGTCGACAAGAGTGCGAACGGCGAGATCGGTCCCCAACCCGTGCCCTTCCCGTATCACAGGTTCTTCTTCTCCCCTGATCTCCGTGTTGTGTCTTCGTCGTCGGTAAAGTACAAGCCGATCTCGGGAGGCCAGCTCTTGCAGCACAATCACTCTCACCACTCCGTGGCTCAACTCGGGCTAGCTTGGCTCCGCAGCAATGATTGCTTCCGCTTCAACTTCCGAGGCATCAGTCTAGGGTGTGACTCCGTGGACGCTCCCTGCGTCTTCACAGTGACGGCGTTGAACTGGGACGGGGTTGATGATGCAGTTCAGGGAGCGACCACACTGGAGATCCCTGCTTGCCCGGCGGCAACCGATTGCGAGCTCAGACGTCAGATTTTGGACCCTATTACGGCATCGACCTTCACCAACCTCACTGCCGTTAACATCACCCTATCTTCTCCCGCTCAGGCACAAGCCTGGTGGGCTGATGATATCCAGATCTCTTGGGCCGACACTGGATGCAATGCCGCTGCATGCCGAGCCAAGGTACCTGACCGAACCATGACGAATAACTCTCCCAAGTCATTCCCTGGCAAGCCCCGCCGTTACATGCGCTGGGGCTCTCGTCAGCTTCATGCCTAAGGTAGATTCTGATCTCCATCTGTTCTTTTCCCTTTTTGTTTGACACCTCTATTACACACTACTATTCTTTGCATGTCCTCTAATTGCTGTTGACCACTGTGGGCTATTGAGTGCGCGTTACTGTATCGCAAATTAACCAATCTTGGCACGAGTAAAAAATATAGGCGGGGAGTCGAGGAGGTAATGGAATTGTCAACTTAAGATCTTTTGGCGCACTGTAATAATAGAGAAGCAGCTTTGCCGCTCACTTGGTTCCTTGGGTCTTTACGTGTCTTGTGAGGTTGACGCTGAGGGTCAGTCGCGAGTCGACGTTATGGCGGGCCGAGAATCGGATCGGGGTGGATTCCGGTATCCACTTGGTCGGTGATCGTCGATCTCCGCCCCGGCCCCGTGTGGAAGTCTTGGATTATGTAAGTGTCAATTATCCAACAAGTTCTTCCTTGTTTCTGGCTTTTGTCACATGATGGAGAATTTGTGTGTCCGGGAAAACATATCCTCGACTGACAGAAAACCAATTGCACTATGGCTGGTGTGCAGCAAGGACGGGCAGACGGAAGAGCGGCAAGATTTTGGTGGAGCACAGCAGCGCGCCCTTTGAAAGGCAGATCCATGATGTCTCCGCGGACATGAGTCCGGGGTAACATCCAGCTTGGTCCACAACGGCTCGTGGCATCTTGACTCCACTGGAGGGCTAGATTTTTGCAGCATCTTTTGATAAATCACACCGCTCGTGGGCTTCTAGAACGCTGTGTTCCTGGTTGGCAAACTTGATGTTGGAGCTAACAAGCACACTAAAACATGATTTTAGCCGAGCTCCGCCGGGCCCGAGGGCCGAAGCGCGAAGCTCGCTGAATCCCTGCAGCTTTAACTAGAGCTGGGAGTCATCGAGTTTCTCAATGACTCTTTGCTCTATGGGATCTTGACTGTCTGGATGGGTGAGTGGTGTTCATATATTGAGAAAGGATCTTTGACGGATTTTCCAGGCCTAAGAGAAGACATCATTCCCTAGCTGTCACTGAGCCGCATAACCCCTGAAGTCCGTGGGTATCGGATGTCTTGACTGCACGGCGCATCGGCGACTGCAGGGAGTTTGACAAGTTCCCACCATGCGAGGACCATCCAAAGACAGCTCCGATAATTCCGATGTGGAACAGCCTTCTTCTCGGGCCGACCTGATCTCGATGCCTCTCTCGCCTTCAGCACTAACACCGCCCCCTTTGCCAGTCGAGACAGACTTGGAAAAGCAGAGCGTCAGGGGGGAAATAGCCGGGTTTTCAAGCGATGATACCGAAGGACCCAAGATGAATGACGCCCAGCTAGAGAGGAGAGAGGATGAGATCGCAGGTCAGGGGCAGTCTGATGGAGAGAATGGAGGGGGGTTATCCAAGGTCGTAAGTCGTGTCCTGAGCAAAGTGAGCACCAAGACCGGTGATATCGGACCTCCGCCAGACGGAGGGATGAGAGCATGGATGGCGGGTAAGACCCCTCCCTTGACCCTTACTTCCCAACCAAACATGCTAACTGCTCAGTCGCCTCCGCCCACCTTGTCGTCATGAATACATGGGGCATCATCAACTCCTTCGGCCTTTTCCAAACCTATTACACTGCCCGTCTGCCCTCCCACACGCCCTCCGACATCTCCTGGATCGGCTCCCTCGACATTTTTCTCCTCTTCTTCGTCGGCGCGTTGACCGGCCGTGCCACGGACGCAGGATACTTTCGTCTTGTCTACTGTATCGGCGTCGCGCTCCAGATCGTGGGCATCTTCACAGCCTCTGTGGCAAAGACCTACTGGCAGTTGTTGCTTGCACAAGGAGTGTGTGTTGGCTTGGGGAACGGCTTCCTGTTCTGTCCATGTATTTCGACTGTGTCGACATATTTTGCGAAGCGGCGGGGTTTGGCTATCGCGATGGTTGCCACGGGGAGTGCGACGGGTGGGTTGATCTTCCCGGGAATAGTGCGGGCTATGGTGAAGGGGGAGGATGGCGAAGGTTTTGTGCAGGCGGTTAGAGCGATTGGGTATGTCCAAATTGCGACGTTTGTGGCGGCCGGGTTGGGGCTGAAGCAGAGGGTTCCACCGAGGCGCACAGGGCCGTTGATCGATTGGGAGGCATTTTTGGATGGGGAATATACACTTTATACCGTTGGGAGCTTTTTGGTAAGTGTTCTGGCACAAATATCGGGGCCGGGGGGGGGTTTAGTTGCTGACAAAAAACAGTTCTTCCTCGGCTTGTACTTCGCCTTCTACTACATCGCTTCCTTCTCCCGCGACATAATTGGCCTCTCCTACACCGACTCGCTCAACCTCCTCATGGTCATGAACGCCGTCGGATACCCAGGCCGTCTCCTTCCCAACCACATCGCCGACCGCGTCGGTACGCTCAACATGCTTGTCCCTGTGACGGGCATTGCCGGCATTTGCATGCTCTGCTGGATGGCCGTGAAATCTACCACTGGTTTGTACGTCTGGTGCATCTTTTATGGCACTGTTGCGGGAGGCATACAATCCCTCTTCCCTGCGGGAGCGAGCAGGTTGACCACGGACTTACAGAAGGCGGGCGTGCGGATGGGGATGATTTTTACGATTGTGAGTTTTGCGACGCTGGCGGGGCCGCCGATTGCCGGGGCGATTGTGAAGAGCTGTGGAGGGAAGTATTATGGGGCACAGGCGTTTGCGGGGGCGGCGATATTGTTGGGCATGGGGTTTTTGGCGGCTGCGAGGGAGATTAAAGTTCGGAGGGAGATGAGGGAGAAGGGATTGGAGGGAAGGTGGGGGATTAAGGTTTAGTTTAGGGGGGTCTCTTTTTGGGGAAGTGAGGGTTCATCGCTTGGCTTTTGAGTAAGGATAATGGGGGTTATGGAGATCTACTAATAATTAAAATAATTTTTGATAAATTTGGATAATGATCAACTAACTTCCGTGTCTTCTTCGAACGCCGCGTCCGATGAATATTAAATAGTCCCTTCAGCATGTAGCTTGTTCCTGATGAACGAAGCGTCAAAGACGGCCTGACCAACGTTATAAGCCAGGATTCCGAAGTCAGCACGTTAAGACCCTTGATTGGTGTGGTGGTACAGAGTATGCGGTGGGTTATCCCAATGTAAATATGGCATTCCCATGCGGCATGACCATGACTGGCTGTGAGTGTTCGGATTGACTCTTCTTTTTAACATTGTTATCTTTTCATTTACATTTCGTCCCAACTTGGGGCGCCTGCTTACATAGTCATCATAGGGACTGTGGGTGGTAAGGCACTGAGATTCCAGGCTGACTTACAAATAGTATTGGGTTATTCTTAGGGTTTGACCGACTCGCGCTCTCGCAACTGGCCGCGACTGTGGAGGTATGAAAGTGCTGGCTCATTCGGTCGTGTGGCTCCATATATCTTCCGGGATCAACCACGTATTTGTGTTGTTCACAATCATTCTATCTCTGGTGACCCGTGTGATGGCAGTCGGGATACCCCTTTAGGCAAAATGTTAGCAATCTGAAATCTAAACTCAAGTTGCACTTACAGATTTGCCTTATTGAGCGAATAAAGATGCAAATGCCGAAGCTTGAGAATGTTGATTGAAACGACCGACGGTGAGGGACGTTGGGGGGAGGTGTTGACTAGATGAGAGTTACGATAAGGAGATACTGAGCGGTTCAACTTTGGTTAAAGCTCCTACAGAGTGGATTGCGGACCATCTACTCAAGGCTTTGCATACCCACCAAGTCCGAATTTATGTGTTATATCTCCAGTGCCTAATCTATATATTCTATTGTTGCCTTTCAAAATCATATGGCGACATCTTCCTTATAATCTCCCCATGAGCCGCCAGGTGGACGATAGAAGGTTGGCCAAACTCCTTCAATAAGCGATGGATGTGCCGTCAGAAACGCAACTGTATATCGATTAGGACCAGGGTCAAGCATATTCCCTCCTCTCATAGTTATCCGTTGCAACCGCTGTTCTGGAAGGTGGTGGAGAGTATGTAAATCTGGCCCTGTAAAAGTTCCCTTTCAAGGTTCACTATAATTCGAACCCTGATGGATCATGACCAGGTTATTAGTCGCCTAAATATGCCAAAAACCGCTTTTCATACATTGACCACCAAGATAAACCTCGCTTCATTGACTGCAATTTTGTTGTGATACGCAAGGATTCGAGCTGATACTTGCCATAGTCTGCATAGTCACAGAACAAGGAGTGGAAATGCTCGACTTAACTTTCGACTTGTCTCTTGTCATCCAGAATGTTTCATTCGAGTATGCACGCCACCTTATAGGGAGTCTTGCCATCGAAATGTTTGTGAAAGAGCTGCTACAACTATTGCTCTACAGGATAACCCTATGGCAGGGTGTCTGGACCCCAGAGCCTTTGGGCACTCGTACCAAGTTTTTGAGAACAGGAGAGTACAACTCGAGCTTCACGGCCCCGCTCGAGAAAACAGACAAGGCGACCTATTCTTATTCTACGCCGCCCTGTTATCTCTCCTCGCTGGATACAGCATCCCCAAAACCATCACCTCTCCAGCGACTCATAATCAGATACAAAACTGTGTAACGGGTGACTTTGTCTGGTGCAGACAGGGATCGACAATGGGTCAAATGTGTTAGATGATGGCCACTGACGATGTGGGGTGCACAGCGAAGTCAATTACTACGTGTAATAATCTTTCTTGGTCCTCAGTGTTCTTGTGTTGGGGAGAAGAAAGCCAAAGAGAAATCCTTCGTCGTGTCCAAGTAGCTCCCCTTATAAAATCCCTTTGCCTTCATGAGTACCTCGCGGTCTCCTGCAATCTTCAGGGGTTCTCCTCAGCGTGGCAAGGTTATCTGACTCATTCTTGCCAACCCCCTCATATTTTCCGGGCTCTACCAATCAGATATGCCTTTGCCCTTCTCAGTTCTTGTGTCACTGGTGCTCTATATGTCGACTGTCAAGGATATTTCTTCTCGTTGGACTGCTGTGTCCATGTGACAACTGTCTAGTTTGGATAATCAATTCCCTGGAATTATCCCCACTTAGCCCACTCCAATGAAGCCAACAAACGACAGAAACAAGGAACTTTTAGGGTGCTTCTTATTTCTTGGCGACCGAAGCCTGTGAAGAACACAGATTGCCAGCTCGTCCTCTCTGGACTTTTGGTTGCACTGATTGATCATCTCTCGCGAACGAACCCTGGCCTCAACATCCGGCTACACATTCTCAGACCTCCTACATGGGAGCATTTTTGCAGCCACCTAGCCGAACACAAGTTTGAATATGATCTGGTTCATTTTGACACCCACTGGAGCATCCAGCTCGGGCACTCCGCCATCCTGTTTGGGTGCCTACAGGCTGACAACAAATCCATAGATCGGCCGGATTGGATAAAGGCAGAAGATGTCGGTAAAGCGTTGGCCCTGGCTGGTGTTCAGCAAGTTGTTTTTAGTTGTGAGCCAACTGGTGTTCGCAACCCGGAAACTGGAGCGAAGCTGGCCGAAATACTCTTACAACTTGGAATTGAATCTGTGCTGGAGATGGCGTACAAAGTTGGCAATGACGCTCTCAAAATCTTTCTGACATCGTTTTATATCTCTCTGGTGCGAGGATCAACATTTGGTGAAGCCACTCAGATTGGGCGCCAGGCACTGCGTCAAAGCAAATCCCGAAAAGCGTCTTACAGATTCAACGTGGAGTTGTCAGACTACATCGCCCCTGTTCTTTACACCTCAGTACCAACCTCTAGTGGCAGCTCGATACCTCTCAATGACGCAACACAACCCGATGTCACAAGAGCCATCGAACTCACCGACAGATCCTTCCCGTTGATGCCTTTAGGACGTGACTACGACCTTGTTGCGATGGAAATGCTGCTCACTGCAAATCGAATGCTAATTGTACACGGCCAGGGTGGTGTGGGCAAGTCAAAATTGTTGCGTTATGCTTGCCAGTGGTGAAAGCTTTCTGGATTTGTCGATGGCTGCGTCTATATTGATTTCGACGCTGAATCAACAGATGAAGCAGACCAGGCTGATAATGTGCACAACGACCTCGATTCTGTCCTGGCAACACTAGCCAGTCGCCTCGGAATTTCAGACACTACGCAAGATGCAATTTTAAGAGCGCTTAACGAGGGCAGATACTTGATTGTGTTGGACAGCGTTGAGGACTTCAACTACATAGAATCAACCGGCTCCGTCTATGGCACGCCAAGAGGCTGGGGCTTTCGACTCAGGCTTATCGGACTCATCCAGACAATGCTCCGTCTGACGACTCAGACTAAGATTGTGGTTGTTTCTCGGCTAGCGAACAGCGATCTCCTGCGGACGTGTGAAGTGAAGTACCGCATCTCTGGTCTGACTCTCCCGTTCTCCATGACGTTATTGGAGAATTTAGCATTCGGCAACGCTGAGGCAGTACCCGAGGCCTTCTACCAGCGAGACAATCTTGATCACCTGCATCGGGTAATCACTCTCTTCGAAGGAATTCCTGCAGCAGTCAAGTGTCTTGTTCCCGCACTCAAGGACATGAGATACGATGCAAAGACGCTGTTCTCAGAGCTGATGTATGGTTTCGACGTCGGGCAGAATAACGGGCTTAAGCGAGAGCTGATGAAATCACGGATCGGCCGCACCATTTCCTTGCTTCACCAACGAACGTGGACTTCGAATACCTCGTTATGGGATCCAATCATGAGCATTTTTGGCTGGAAGCGTTCTGCGCCTCCTTCCTTTCAGATTACAGCAACAGATTTGGCACCGTTCTGGACGTTGATGCCGTTGAATCTCACTATGTACTATGGTGCTCTACACCTACCCAACGAAAACGACATGAAGATGAGCGAATGGTGCTCAGACGAAACAGGGCAAAAAGTCCTTGCGCTTCCAGTGATTAAAGAATTTCAGAGGCTATGGCCCGAGGTAGCAAGGGACCTCCGCCTCGCGGGAATACTCGACGATGCACGTATTGTTCGCCGGAACGGATCTGCTTCTGACGCTTACCATATTCATCCTTTATTCACTCTGCTCGCAAGGGCTTTCAAACCCCTAGATGAACGGAGTACGGCACGCAGGGCATATGTCTGGCAAATCATATCCTGGCAACAAAATATTGGCGAGAACCGGGCAAATGAACGGGACAGGTTGGGGTGGTTTCAGGAAGTGCAGGATGAAGACCATCTCTACAACTGGCGATTTGTCGCCTTGAGATGGGCCCGAGAGCTTGGTGAAGCTGACTCAGCTCGGGAATTTCGAAGGGCTGGAGCTAGCGAGTTCGAGTCCGCTTTCGAGCTGGTTCACTGGATGTCGCGCAAGTTCCCACAGCATGCCAAGTTCCTCGTTACTGATCTCCGCCAACGACTGAAACTGTTGCAGAAGATTGTCAATCAACAAAGGTCCATGGAGGTTCCTGGGGCCTGGGAGGTTAGCAGCATCGGAATGCTAACTCACGCGTTATCGGTGATTGAGGTAGAACACGGCTGTACTGGTTCATTGTCGATGGAGGAAATCGTTAAGATCCAATTTGCCGATATTGATACAGCCATTGAGCTTTACCTCCGCTGGAAGAAAGGCACACGAGAGGATACTGAGGGCACCGATCTCCTGATTCTCAAGTTGTTCCTGGCGAAGGCCCGGAACTTTGCCGCAGTCGGCAAGTGGGAGGAAGCCCAAGAAGTCTTGGAGCGCTATCTTCAAACAGATGCCTCCACGCTCCTCGGAGGACATGCTCCCCCACTCAGATTCGTCAAATATTGGAAGCTTGAATGCTTGCTCGAGTGGAATAAATATGTTGCGATGGATCCGCGCTTCGGCAATCCTGAGGCTGACAGAGAGTGTGTGGCCCGCCACTGGCTTAAGCCAATGGCGGAAAAGATCACCACGGAGCTTCAGCGTCTTTTCTCGACGGATCCCAACACGGATATCAGCAGTCTCACTGTGCAGGAATTGGTAAAGTTCGCGCTCCGGAGCAAACCAGATGCAGCTCTTGGCTTCGACAGAGTCACGAAGGAAGTCCTCGACGCTTCTTTCATGGAGGTCATGTTCGAGTTCATTGGCGGTGATATAACTCAGTTCTTCGGCAACTTCCTGACGAATTTCACTTCAAACCTAATGTCAATGCTCTCGGGATCAGGTATGAGCGGAAGACAACCGATGGGGGGCGAACTTGGAAACGTTTCAGGAGGATCAGGCGCCATCTTCAGAGACTTCGCCAACTATTTTTCACAAAATCCCAATTTCCCATCGTGATTTTACACTCTGTTGCCAGTACCAAAAATCAATGTGAGGAATAATGCAAATCATGACAATGTTCAATTGCTTATTACATGCAGTTTGCGCTTTGCTGTCTTTGAAAGGTTCAGGCCCTGATGAAACGGGGGGGGTTAATGTTGAGTATCTCATTCCTGGATACTCGTGTTTGACAGTTTCTCAATGAGATGCAACGTTCTCGCTTTGTTCAATCGGCAGTAAGGCAAAAGACTAAATGTATGAATGGGTCTATCCTTCAATTCCGGCAGCAGCATTTGCTTCGCTATAGCAAATCCCCCTCCACAACCAGGACAACCCCAGCTCATCAAACTTGAACCAATCAGTGTTAAGTGAGAGAATGATGCTCTACTCAAGATGATACAGTGTTCCAAAGTTGTGGGAAGCCCCAATTATAGTGAAACCAGCTCCTGATACTGTACTCGGAGGTAGTCCCCAACAATCTTCACCTCTCGTTGAGCTCTTGATATGAATGTGTAACCCGCTCTGAGAAGTATCATTAAGAGGCATCTAAGGAGCGGATCAGGGACCAGTTCTAACTCACTGACGATAGGTAATAGTCCAAATGGTGAAACCTCCTGACCGCCTACATGACCTATCGCTTTCTATTTGCTGATAAAAGTGCAAACTATCCTGTTAACTATGCTGTCGATCTTCCTGCTGCCGTGACCCTTGTGATCACTCACTTTCGCACCCAGCGCTTGCAGAACATGATCTCGAACTTGGTCTGACAGACGGGTGGATTCAAGCTACGGGAAATTGACATACGTGCGATAGATGTCCCCCGGTGTTAACTTGGGCTTTCCTGGACAAGTAGATCACTATACTAACCATTGTTCATTTGCTTGCCTTGACCGTATGGAGTGGTTAGCAGTGAACTCTGGTGTTGTTAATTGGCCAAGATCATGCTGCTATAAAGCACAGACACCTCTCCAACGGCGCCCCTGCTTTTTTTTTTTTGTATTTGGTGCGAAACAAGGGCCTGTGAAGAGAAAATGTTAGCTGCAAGTGACCACGGTGTGGTCACCGCTGACCTACCTCGGTCAGCTCCGGCTCCACTGAGGTCAGGTGCACACTTGACCTTATATAAAAGCCATGCTCATCCGCTCTAACGCATTTGTGGTTTAGAAGGCAGAGCGTTGTTATTCTGCGGCACCCCATTCTGCTTAACAGATCCCCTCAGGGCCGCGTGTTCTGCAGGGCAACGCCCAAGTATATACTCCCATGCACTTTTACACGCTTTCAACATTTGATAGAAACTGTTCTTTCTTGAATCAACAACTTCGCCATGTGTTGCTCCGAACTTTTTATGCCACAAGAGTCGGACTAACTGTTTTCTTACAACTCTGACACCTCTATCTGCTCTTCCAATGGCTTAGTCGTTCACCGCACGGTACCCTGCTGGAATGTATCAGCGTCCACTATTGTAATCTCATTAAAAGGACAGAGACAATTGGCCAACAGCGTCTTTTGAACATGACCTTGTCTTTCGGGGAATGAGATAGACAGCGACATTAACAGATATACAGAGTCCTATGCAGCTTGCCGCAAGTACAGTATGCGATGAAGGCTTTGCCGTGCTGTAAGTGTTGTCACCTGCCTAAGCTATAAACACTTGAAAGGACATCCGGCTTGCGGGAAGAAAAGCATCCTCATCAGCACTTAACGTGCTCTAGACAAACTAGTTGCATGACCGTGACCTGGAGCAGAGGGGCTGGAGAAACTTGGAAGGAAAGGGTAAACTTGGTGTCGCGCTTGACATCGAAGAGGGATGTTTAAACGACGAGGGTTCGCGGACATACTGGGCTTCATTGATTAGGCAAGCGAGGGTTCAGTGAACTCAAGAGAGTTCTACAAAGTGATAGAAACTCTGAATGAGGTTGTAAATATTGGTAGATACTCTTGCATAGTCACAAGCAAAGATGTCACAATTGCCTATGGCAACCATCTTGTTCAATCGCCACAGATTACGGGACGCTATCTGATCTAGCACTACCGTTGCAAACGAGCGACTATCAACCATACCTACCTTCCACAGGAGGTTCAGTCTCCAGCCGAAGCCAAAAGCCAAGACCTCCTGCATCAGAGCATCATCATTAACCCCAGAATCCATTCGCTGGTAAACAACTCCACCACTTCCAGAGACAACCATTAACCCCACCATCAGCCCTACAAGCACGCAAGCCACAACCATCTTCACCCCCACACTGTCGCAGCTGGGCACCGCCACATCTTTGACTTTCTCACTCTCAACACCAGCAACGGCGCCAGACCAAGAAAGAGAGGAAAAACCGAGATCCACAAACCGGACACCGCAACCCATCATATCCGCGTTCAGACGACGTTCAATCTCGGCTCTCGCCCGGGGCTTCCCGCCCCTTCTTAGTCAATCCCGTCCGTTAGCAGCGATGCGAGCATTCTTATCTTCGATAGCACCGCTAGCGGCGACAACGGTATCACCACTCTCGTACCCGCTGGTGAAGTAGTCGCCAAAGACGCGCTCCTCGATATCCAGATCCTTCCAGGACTTCGCACCGGTGCGCTTCTTGGCCGCCCGCCTAAGGTAGACGCGCTTGCCCCACTTCCAGGCTTCGACGCCGGTGAAGAAGAGACCGGCGCAGATGAAGACAATACCCCACTCCCAGCTGATTCCTGAGTGCTTGAACACCTTGTGGTTGATGACGGGGATGTAAAGGGTCGGGAAGAGCGTGATGAAGCCGATGATAATAGCCCAGAAGAGGAACTGGTTGCGCCAGACATCGTAGAACCATTGGGTGAAGTATTTGGTGGAGCCAGGCTGCATGCGGAAGAAAGAGCGGCGCATGTCGACGAGCTCCCAGGCGAGGAAGAGGGCGAACCAGGTTAGGCAGGCGAAGGTGGTGGCGCGGGCACGGAAGACAGTCTCGCAGCTCTCGGACCAGGCGTCGTTGCAGTTGCTACCGAGATTACCCTCGCCCCAGGCGTAGACGCGGAGGACGAAGCTGCATAGGCAGAGAGCAGCGATCCAAATGCCGTAAACAACCATGTCAATCAAGAACTCCTTGGTGAAGATACCAGTCTTAAGGGATTGAGGAGGACGACGCATGATGTCGGGAACGGCACGCTCGAAGCCGAGACCCATGTCGGGCATGCCAGAGGTGACCATGATGATCCAGACGATCTCAACGGGGGCAAGGGCGAAGACAGAAAGGCCAGAAGCATCCTTGAACACCAGACCAATAAGCAGGGTGCATGCCTGGGCAATGTTCTCAGCCAAGACGTGCAGGACAAACTTCTGAATGTTGTCGAAGATACGACGACCCTCCTCGATGGCAGCGACGATGGAGGCGAAGTTGTCATCAGTAAGGACAATGTCGGAGGCATCCTTGGCAACATCGGAGCCTGCCTGACCCATGGCAATGCCGACGTCGGCACGGCGAAGCGAAGGAGAGTCGTTGACGCCGTCGCCGGTCATCGCGCAGAACTTACCACGGCGATGGAGAGCTTCAATCATGCGGACCTTAGTGCTAGGAGCGCAACGAGCAATGACCAGAGGAAGCACGGGGAGTTTATCAATCTCCTCGTCGCTCAGGGCATCGAACTCGCCAGCAGTCATGACCATGCATTTGGCCATTTCGGCGCTGACACGCTCCATCTGCTTAGGAAGGATGCCGACTTCCATGGCGATGGCCTGGGCCGTCGCGGGGTGGTCACCAGTGAGCATGTGAACACTAATACCAGCCTCGTGGCATTCCCGGACGGCAGGAGCAGACTCGGGGCGCGGAGGATCGTACAGACCGATGAGGCCGAGGAAGATCAGGTCACGCTCGACATCATTGCGGTCGGTGTCCTCGTTGGCGTGGAGGGACTCGTCCAGCTTGCGGCGGGCAAGAGCCAGCACACGCAGACCAAGACCGGCGAACACTTCCATGTTGCGAATGACTTGGCTACGGAACTCTTCGGTCATGGGGCTGACCGTCTGGCCCTCGATATCGTTGTCATCAACAGAGCGATAGTGGCTGCAGACACGGAGGATCCGCTCAACAGCGCCCTTGGTGAAGGCATGGTGCTCACCGGTCGGATTGTGCTTCATGATGACACTCATGCGCTTGATATCACTGTCGAAGGGGAACTCAGCTACGTCGGTCCATTCGGCATGGTCGACGTTCACTTTGTTACGGCGGTTGGCGCCGAAGCGGCTAGCAAACACTTGAATCGCGATCTCAGTGGGGTCGCCACGGGCGTGCCACTCTCCCTCTTTCTCAAAGACGGTGGCAACATTGGCCAGGGAAGCAACATTGAGGAACTGCTCGAGACGATCCTTGCCATTAGCGATGAGATCGGCAATGGTTTGGATGGTGCCTTGGTGGGCGTCCTTCTCGCTGTCAGAGCGAGGGCGCCAATTGATCTGATGTGGCTCGCGGGAGTCGAAGCGGATGTTACCCTTGGTAGGGTTGAAGGGCTCATTCGAGGTAAGCTCAACGGTGTAGGTACCAAGACCAGGAATCCAGGCATTACGAGCGACCATCTTGCCCTGGGTAAGGGTACCCGTCTTGTCACTGCAAATGTCGGTGACGGCGCCGAGAGCCTCCAGAGACTTCAAGTTGCGGACAATGACGTTGCGCTTAACCATACGCTTGGTGCCGGCAGCCATGGTAATGGTCAAGACCACAACGAGAGAAGCGGGAATCATCGACAGGCCAGTAGCAACAGCGTAGATGATGACCTCCTGAGTCGTATGGAACTTGTTGGCGGCCAGGACAATGATCGCGCACAGAACGGCAATGCCAAAGAGAAGCATGGCAAGCTTACTGAGCTTGCGCTGCAGGGGAGTGCCGACATTGACGCCAAGGAAACGGCCAATGGCATCGCCGAGGGTGAGTGTGTAGGCCTCGAGGTAGCGATGAGGACCAGCCTTGCCATTAGGCTTGCGCTTGACAGGACGCACGCGGGACTCCTTCTGATTGAGGGCCGACGCAATGGCCCCGATCTCAGTGAAGGTACCGGTAGCGTAGACAATGCCCTTCGCGCGACCCTTGGTGACAGTTGAACTGCTGTAGGCGACGTTGAGGCGGTCGCCAGGGCCGGTGGCATCATCGAAGACCAGGTTCTCGCGCTTGCGAACGGGCATCGACTCACCGGTGAGCAGGGCCTCGTCCGTCTCAAAGTTCTTGGCCTCGATCAGCCTGTCAGAGTCAGCGACCAGTCTTGTGCCTAAGCTTGTGCCTAGAAGGGGGAGAAGTGAAGATTTGGGAGGGACAAAAGAACATACCGAATGTCGGCAGGGATGGTATCACCCATTTTAACCTCAACCAGATCGCCAGGAACAACCTCTCCAGAGGGAATGACGATGGTCTCGCCGTCGCGCACGACGTTCGCGGTAGGCGAGCTGAGGCTGCGCAGAGAGTCCATGGTCTTTTCAGCCGTGTACTCCTGGAAAAACCCGACGACGACGTTCAACAGGATGACAGCAGCGACGACGCCGCCCTCAATCCACGACTTGATGCCGAAGCTAACCGCCATTGCGAGAATAAGCACCTGTCACACGGGGGAAATATGAGCATCTAGCGAACGTCGCAGGCGGGTGCGGGAGCTCACCATGGTCATGGCGTTAGCGATCTGGGCAATGATGATCTTGATCGGCTGCACGCCCTCCTCCTCGCCCAGATCGTTGCGACCATACTGCTGGAGCCGGACGCTGGCCTCGTGCGCACTCAGGCCAGAGAGCAGGTCGGCGTCGAGCTCGGCGGCGACTTGCTCGAAGGTGAGGGCGTGAGCCGGGCGGCTCAGCGGGCGGTTGGATTGGCCCGAAACATGCTGTCGGGCGCCCTTCTTGGGGTCCCCGCTCTTAGCCATGGCGCCGAAGAACGGGCACTTGGGGGGTTGACGATGGACAGACGGCTCTTAAATAAGGCTATTATTGTATGGGATGTTGAATGGGATCTTGACTAAGTTGAGAAGCGCTGGTGTTGAGCGACAGCTGTAAGTGTCCGCAGAGGACGAGCAGACCGTCGTGTCTTGAGCTGTCGACGCAGTCGAGGTATGGGTCAGAAGGGCGACCGACAATAAGGATAATGGGAGAGAGGAAGCAAGCAGTCAGCGAGTCCAGATGGGATGAAGTGCCACGGTGGCGGCGGTCGCCGGCGATAAGTACTCACGTCGTCCAGAGGACCCTCATTCTGCCGGGCGTATACTCTTTACGTCCTCTCAGCGACGGATTGTTCCACATACGGCACGTCCTCCACGCCATTGGCTTTGTTGCTCCAACGCTCGCCGCTTGGCTTCCTGTCGCCGGGCCGGATGTCTCCGGCAGCCATGCCTGGTCGCGGTGGACATCGATGGACGGGCGGACAGCAGTGCCCAGCACTTCGCTTGCCAATCCCATTTGTTGTCGGCGATTGGCGATTGGCGCAGTTCCTGCCCGCTGCAGCCCAGTGCAGGAGCGCAGGACCCAAGTCCACCGGCATTCCAGGATGGCATCCCGCAGAAGCTTCTCCATCCTCGTTCCTGTTCCACTTCGCTGCTCCTGCAAGCAGCGTGCCCAGACGCGCCTAGCGTGCCTGCACTCTGCCTCACGGGTTGCTGACCAGCCCACGGGTGGGAAACCGCAGGCTCTGATTTGCCCGTTGGTGAAAGTGAATCCCGAGTTGCAGGGCAGGCGCGGTCTTGGCAGGCCAAAGTCTTTGGTGGCGGTTTCTGAGCTTCGGAAGAGTGGAGAACCCTCACCTTTTTTCCGGCCCTCAAGCAAGCGGAAAGCTCAGGAAAGCACAACGATACGGCAAGTTGCAAAGTCTCCCGGCAGTCGGCACGGCCCCTGTTCTGTTCAATTGTAAACAGAAACGGGAACCGGCATCTCTTGCTCCTAATTGCTCATATCTGCACATCATTCCGGTCGCCAATTGGCATTTGTCGGCGACAGTGGCGGATGTCGTCATGGTAGTTCAACCACTGTCGCGTGCCCATGCCGAGGAAAGACGTTGATGGCAAAAATTCCCAGGACTCGGTAAATCAGCCCTGGCCAGCTCCTCCCTAGCCTGTCAAGCGTTGCCCCACCCACGTGGGCCGCATTGTCTCTGTCTCTGGAAGGTGCGATCAGCAGGCGGCTGCATCTGCGAGTCTGCAATCTTCGCTCCGCAACGCTGCCATTCCTGCTGCCATACTGCAAGGTCGAGGTTGCGTCGACAAGACTCTTCGGGCCCGCCTGCAAACCAAGTGCTGTGGGCCGTCAGCGATTGCCCGTCCCGATGCAATGTTTGTTTATGCAACTTTGGAAATGAATCCTCAGCACAAAAGCAACTTGCCTACTTCTCCATACATAACATGTACATACAAGAATACACAGCTTTCGTACCGTGTGCGGATGCACGTAGAAAACTGTTACCAATCCCCCGAGTCTCCGTACAACTTGACAACACCTCTTTTTTTTTCTTCTCACCGCCCGGCTGCACGTCAACCCAATCGCAGCCGAGACATGCCCAAAACACCAACAATGGTCGCAGACAGACGAGCAACTAAAGCCAGAGATGCTACAAGCGCGTCGTGTCCGGCTCTTCCACATATCTGACGCATGCATGCCAGCTGCAGTGACACTTAACTATCAAAGTTTAGCATCTTAATGTGGGGTTCGGGCCCGATAACGCTGGGATATCCGTTGATCCGGCCATGACAAGAAGGATTCTCAAATAAAAGGCTCGAGAAGGCTGTAAAATTTAGAAAAAAACAAAACAAAAAGACCTCGGCCATCAAATGTCCCCGCCCAGCTATTGGATTGACGGGACTTCCCAAATCCCGAGAGACGTGGTTTAACCTGCAGCGTGACGTCCGCCTGATGTGTGATTCGCCTACAACTTTTCGCGAGCCCGGCCCCCAGGTTAACACCTAGAAATGCCGGTCTCACAAAGTTTTATTGTCACGACGGCTAGAGCCCAAGATCCCGGAACTTGGTATCATGCAAAATCACCGTGAAGGCGGATAAAGTGTCGCAACGCAGCCGCGTCCTTTTTTCCCGCTCCAAGCCGAGATCGATCGCAACCGCGGGCTCCCAGCCAACCCTAACCCCGCTCTTCGGGTTTCCAAAAATTTCTGCTGACGACGTTGCAAGCAAATCCTTCAAGCGGCTGACGCCACCCCCTCCTCCCTCCCCAACTTCGGACAAAACTCTCGCATCTTAACGGTTAACCAGCCACAAAAAGAAGCAGAAGCTCTTCTTCCCTGATACCAAGATGCTGGCTGCCTTAGCCCAACAAAATCCCCCCGCTCAGCAGCGAGAGAAGTTGTGCGCGGAAAATCGCGCAAAAGTTAAACGCGTTGCCCAATAACAGGATTGAACTGTTGACCTTCGCATACCATGTACAGGCCTCGGGGAACCGGTATTAGTACGACGCTCTAACCAGCTGAGCTAATCGGGCAGCCAATGCGATTTGATTTGTTGATAACCGGCTCTGATATAGAGAAGATGAGAAATGGTCGAGCGGTCGGTGTAAAGTTGTTAGGCCCGAGTCAGGATCCAGGGTTAGGAACTAAGCATGAGGCTAAACTCCTAAAGCCCAATATTGAGCCCTATAGCTGTCAATTTTCATGATGCATAGAGTTCATATCGAGTAGATGACTCAAGCTGCATTAGTTGCTTCAAGCTCAACTCTGGTCCAGACCAGGCAATCAATGCCCTCAACCCTTACCCACGGGCCGCAGGCACATCTGCAGCTCCACACGATACTGTATTGTATTGTATTTGTATTTTCGGCCCATCTCACCCTTGAGGGTCCTTGGTCGTGCCTACGACGGCGGCGGGCAAGAGGTGATATGGGCTGCCTAAACTACATTATATACACGCGGGAAAAACCCAGAAGGGGGGGAAAAACGGTGTGTTGCTGTAAAGGGATATCATAAGGGAAAATGGGGAATGGGGTTAAGTGGGGAGAATCCCGGGGATTTGAACATACAAACTAGACAGTTCTGAATCTGGTCTGATTGTGAGTCGCTGGGGGTGCGAAGGTTTTGGGGGTGTTGTACTAAGCGAGGAGAGGAGACAGGGCGGCGTAGGGTGGGAATAGTTCGCCCCGTCTGTTCATCTCTGGCGGAGTCGTGAAGCTCGAGTTGTACGTTCCTGTTCTCAAAAAGTTGGTGCGAGTGCGAAAAGGCTATGGGGTCCAGACGCCCTGCCATAGAGTTATTGAAGAACGAAAGGGGGCATCTCAGGAAATGGCCCTGGAGGCTATTGATCCACGAGGACAAGTTCTGATCGCACTCGGAGGGTTGTTGAACTTGAGATGGCACTCCAGGAAGTCCCCGCGTCCAGATGCCTCCACGACTCATCTAGCCAGACGCTTTCTGTCGAAGAGAGCGAGGAAGGGTTAGACTAACTCCACGATACCATCAGGGAGAACTCCCAGTAACCTCATGCTATCAGGTGTGGGTTGATCATACCAGTTGTTGTCCTTGTTTTTCCCTTCACATCTTTCTGATCACTGCTAGATCTGCACATTTCAATCTGCTACGACCAACCCGCTCAGCAACTACCAAGTGCCATCTACTTATCCAAGTTCTGAACACTCTTCCCCCAGATGCCGGCTTGTTATCTAAACCAAAAGACAGATTCACCTTTTCTGAAGCTGATTTTCATATGATGAGACTTCACTGCTTCCTAACAATATAGAAACCTCCCCCAGAATACCCAGCCTGCTATCTGGCAGCAGTCTATTCCGATTCCTTGTCATGAACTTAAAGTTTTTTTTTTTTTTTTTTTTTTTTTTTTTTTACAAAGAGGATCTGGAAACATGTGGATGAAACGTTTAAGACATTGAGCCGTCATATGTTGAGTTCTGCTGACGAGATCCTTGTAATGCGCTATTAAAATACAAAACCTACGGAGTGGGGAAAGATACTGGGGTGGAGCGAAGACTCTTTTGACAACATACAAACGATTATGATCGTCGACGGTAGTGTAGTGTCGGACACGGAGCAGGTGGCAGCGTACCTAGCTACCCAGGCCATTCTCCCTGCCGGAGCCCAGGAAGGGTCCCGCCTGGCCTGGCTCGGCCCCCGAACGGGGTGCCCTTAGCCTTCCTCAGACACGCTTGGGAGCTCGTCCGCTTGGCAGCCCGAGCCATCACCGAAGGCTGCATGGTGCTGGGCTTTTTCCCAAAGCTTTCAAGCAGGCAACTGTTGTTACTTTATCGAAACCTGGCAGGAACCCTCGGTCATTGGCGGCCTATATTACCCTATTGTCGACCTTCGACAAGGGAGTGGAGAGGTCGATGTTTCTCCCATGCGGGTTTTTCCTCCGGCGTCTCCTGTAATTAATATATCTTAGATAGCTCTTGCCCGCCGGCGCCGTGGACACGACTTAGCACCCTTAATGGTGAAACGGTCGGAAAATAGAAAGAAATAAATAATTGAATCCAAAACCCTTAACAGAACATGCTTGGAAAGCCAGCTTTATCCCCATGTCATTCGTTGATTTATGTTGCATGAAGCCAAGGGGTTATAAATCTGCTTTCCTTTCTCTTTTTGGTGAGAGCGTGACATTTCTTGTCTTCTGCTGTGGCTGTAGTTGTGCCAATCCTTAGTGCCGTTTGCGTGAGCATACTATGCTCACAGTTGCAAAGGCAAACCCAGCAGAAATCCATGAGTAATCCTGATTGAAGTTTGTCGTCAATTGTTCCTTTGGGTAATCAATCATGGGTTGCAAGTCCAGCACATGCCCTGACTTCGTACACCCAGTCATCGAACGCTAAGACTAATGAGATTCACTTCGTTCCTTGCTGCGAATGGAAGGTTTGCATCAACTTCGACTTGGGTTTCCCCCGACCTCCCTCTTCCGACATTAATTACATCGCTTCGTTTTATATCTTAAA